CTATTATCTCATGCATTTCGCAGTTGAATATGTTAAATTTTTAGCTGGACGGCTAATTGAGTAGGTGTATTATGTGGATAACATATGAAGTTTAAAAATTTCAAGAATTATCGTCAAATGTCAACTATAGATGTGGTTACGTATTCAAATACCAAAACATAAAAGAACAAAAACAACAATTCGTACCAACAAAATCGTGGTGATGATTTTGTAAATACGTACGTACGTTAGGTGAGACAAAAGAAAAAAAATTCACAAAATCATTTTCATACGAATCAATATTATAAGAATCACGTTTATTTGACCATAAACTGTTTGATTTTCTTCATTGAATATAAGGATTGCTTGATTATTTGAAACAAAACCAGTCTATGAAATGACATCAATTTATTTGACCCTTATCAACCAAAAAATCCTTATAAATATGTGCCCAAAGGTTTAGTAGATTTAATTACCAAGCAAATCGATCCCTCCAATTGCCAGTGGAATATTAATCTGTATACTTTAAACAACCTCATCATGGCATTCAGCTCTTCTCTTAGATTCCCTCTGGTGATGATTCTTCTCTTCGCATTAGTAATCTCCCCAATGTTGATATCTCCATCTGAGGCTGCAAGATTCCCAGCTCGTGGTAAATATATTTAATACACTGTTCATCTCGATCTTCTATATCTCCAAATTAAACTTAAGGATATGAATATCAACTTTATTTATTTATTTATTTCCCCCGTCCTATAATTATTGTTCAGTTTGAGTTTTCATTTCTAGTTTAAATTGTACTAAAAGTGAAATCTCAAACTGGACAATAATTTTGGGACATAGGAAGTATTTATTTTTGTCAATAAACCTAGATGTTATTTCATATTTGTGATTGTGTTTCTCGCTGTGTGAATGCAGAACTCCTTCAGGACTACGATTCACCGCCGATATTTTGTCCGGCCTGTGTTTGCTGTGCGCCACCACCAAGACCAGGCACTTGTTGCCCCTGCGTCTGTCCACCGCCGCCACCTCCTATTTACTGAAGCACAAGGCCCATTATCATATTTCAACGAATCTCCAAGGGAGGGTGGTATTGATATTTCGTATTAAAGATTTTACTCCCTCCGTCCCATAATTATTGTCCAGTTTGGGTTTTCATTTCTAGTTCAATTTGTACTAAAAGTGAATCTCAAATTGGACAATAATCTTGGGACAGAGGGGGTAATAATTAAGGAATAAATAGCATAGTACTTCATCATTAAATAAATTGTGTCACACAATGAATAAGGTATGCTAATGTTTTAGAATTCCCAATCTGTGTAGCCAGTTTCTGGCTGGATGTTTATGTCGATTAAATGTATCCCTATAAAGTCATTCAAAGTTACGATCATGCTCATCATTTTAACTACTTTTTTCATCGTTAAATTTCTATACGTGTAGCTGTAGCTCTTCATAAATTAAGAAGAGCCTGCTTTACCATTTATCATGTAGATACAAGCCGATAAAATCTTCATATGCTTTCAAAAGTAATCAAGGCAGTGATCATCAGTGGTAATAAACTCATACAGTTAGGTTTATATCCATGTCTCAAAAAAATCACTCACATTAAACTTGAAATTTGTACTTATTAAAAACTAATTAGAATAGTCCCAAACCTAATTTGAATCTAGCTTAGGAGAAAAAAAGAAAAAGAATAAAAAAATACTATTCTATCCGTTCCAAAATAAGTATCGTTTTAATAAAATAGAGAAATTTCAAAATAAGTTTGTCCAAAGTTTCCAAAATTACCCTCAAAAGAATTAATATTATTAGTGGACATTTTTTTAATAGAGTTGGTTGATGATATTCAAATAATTTTATGAGTATATTTAATAATTTCTTAAACTATGTACAAAGTGTAGGATGACATTTATTTGGAAATAGAGGGAATACTACAAAACCCTGCAATCATCATCAACTTCTACACAAGAATTCTCCGTTGATCAAACAACATTCACGCCCATATAGTTTAGACTCTTTTATCTAGCCCAATAAACAACCAGTCATGGGCCGAATGGTAGGCCCAGTCAGCTGGTTTTAGTTTTGAAGTAATTACCTAAAAAAAGTAATTAAAAAAATATTACCGATGGTAGGTACGCTGTTATACGAAAGTACTTCCTCCTATCTTTCATAAGACATTTTGATTTATCTTAAATTTTAACTAGTATATATTTTCGATTGACAAAAAAACCTTAAAAATATAATTTTACGTTCGTCGTGTTTTCTTGATTGTTATGAAATATTTTAAGTTTTTTATGAATTAAAAATACGTACTAGATAAAACTTATGAAAAATTAAAATGTCTTATAATAAGGACCGGAGGGAGTATAATAATAATATTTTATCAGTAGATAATGCAAGTTTGCTATGGTTATTTTTTATTTATTTTATTTTCTTTTGGAATTAAAGTTAAAGCTTGGTAGGGATTGATTTATCCTCCTAATTGGATGCTTCTGGTTATGTCATAACTAAGTTTAATATTTGTACGTTTTAAAATTGTCGTTTACTTTAAATTTTTATTTTAAATTTTAATTTGTATTAAAAAAATAAACTAAACAATCATTTGAATGCAGAGCGAAAATAAATATATCGAAAAATGATAATATTGCGAGGCATGTACGACTTTTGCGCTACAATCTGTCGTGTCTTACAATTAACCCCCTACTAAAAAATTTTGGTTTTCTCTTTTCCCATAACATTTTTTAGTTAATCAGAGTAAACTTGTAATATTGGAGAACTAGCTAAAAGCTGGATGGAGATATATTCTTGTAGCCAGCAACTAGTTTACAGAAATGATATTTGGATCCAAAGTCTCCCGACATCATGCTAGGTATTATGGTTGGGGGAAAAGGTCATGTTCCAACCCATATTTTTCTGGATCATTTACTCCATTTCCCTCATCATTATTTATGCTGTCAAAGTGTCACCTTACATTGAAATCCTTATATACGCCCACATTAAAATTCATTGTTTTAGCGTCATTTCATATCAAAACTTTCCTTTTTTAGAACTTGATGGATCTCATTTCTCGTTATTTCCAATGTTCTAATTGCAGTACTTCATGATCACGTACGTCGATATTGGATTCAAATTCATCATGCATTAATGGAGAATTGTTGATTTACGAATTAAATAACAGAAATGATGTAGTATTATTCTATCGAGGACTTGCCTAAAGAATGCTTTGTATTTCCCAGATGCAAGGCAACCATTAGAAGGAATGCAGGGTTTACTCAATAATCGAGTCCCTGGTCAAAGAAAAAATTTAAATGAAAAATAAATGAACTCATGAATCATACAATTTAATTATCTACCGGACGAAGTACCATATTGTCAAAATGTGAAATGGTTGGTTTTTAACGTCTTACAATTTAAAAAAGTTAAAATTAAAAAATTCCCAAGGTAAGAAACGCCCTTCAAATTCTGGCAATAACAGTTGGGAAATTACCAGGGCAGAGTGATGATCGTCATTGATAGTGAGATAACTGAGCACCCATTTTAATAAAAATCGGCTGGGCTGCTGGTGGTTTCTTCCATCTGTTTTCCCAACTCCAACTGGCATGCATCAAAAATAGGCTGGGGAAAAAAAAAAAAAAAGCAAAAACATCTGGTACATTTCTCCGATATTTCTACAATATATTTCCTGTTCTTACCGTCCAGAAATATGTTGCCCATCACTTTCAGTTCAGAAATAAGATATAAATGATTTATAGCAAATTAATTCAAAAGAGCTATCGTCACAAAAAGGCAAAAGATATGTGATATGTCTGCACTTGTGCATCATAAATTCGTAATAATAGAGCATGCAGCTGTACTTCCACTTTTTTTTTTCCCTCTTACGAGATCGCCAACTTTAGATATTAACCATGGAAGAATCGAATATCAGATCGAAACGTATAGTCGGCGATTTTGTTGTTTTATTTTTATCACGTTACAATGCACACACGTTAGTAGTATTAACTCCGGTCACATGGTGGTCTACATTACTACTACTCTATCGTGGCCGCAACCCAATGAAAGAAGAACCCACAAACACCCAGATTTCATATCCTCAACCACTTTGTTTGCTTGATTAATAATTAAGCACTCAATACTCAATAGTGTTGTACTACAAAGGTCATGTGGACTTTATACGTGCATGAGATTTTTTGGGGAAGAAAGAGACTTTTGTTTTGAGACTTGAGAGTGACAAAGGTCAATGCGGATATGGTCCTTTTGGGAATTCGGATCATCATTATCTCAATTAATACAAAGGCCAAATTTTTTGAAACTTTTTTTAAATTAGTGAGGAGACGTTTGTAAGCTCCGATTTCATTTCCGACGAGATGTTTATGCCGTTTTATTAGTGTCGATTAAGGTTAACAGTGCCGTTGTGTTGGACTTTTTACTTAAGAAATTCCTCATTAATATTCACTCGTTGAGTTGACGTTTATCGTTCTGTATATGATTGAATATCTAATCAAGTTTCTTGGTTTGAGTTTTTGGTAGATGGCGATATAACTAATCACTAGAAAGTCCCTCGAACTCCCTCTCGAACTCACTCCTTGTCCGGGAGAGGAATCCGTAGACTTCCTGTAACAAATACTCTTATATTATAATATATTTGAATTTGTTTCTAAATTTTATCCGGTCTGTTCTTTTAATTTAAAATAAAATCTTTAAAAAATTCAAAATGTCTTACAATAATAAAGACCGAAAGGATTACTAGTTCTGTTACTGAATTTAGTAGATGGTGATGATTATGGCTAATGTACATTGTTAATCACATATATCGACATGTAATAATAGTTGAAGTATAATACTCCCTCCGTTCCAAAAAATTAGTACACATTGAGTTTTTAAATTTGTACTAAAAATAGTACAAAACTCAAAACTCAATGTGGACATTTTTTTTGGGACGGAGGTAGTACGAAACAAGCTCACTATGTTTGTTGCCTAAACTCGCTAGACAATTTTTCTTTTCTCAATAGTTTCTCTGGCAAATTCACTCTCATCAGCAGCTGGTCAACCCTTGTAGCCCTGTTACAGCTGAGAAATGATCCAAATCTCAAAGGAAAGTTGGTTGGGGGGCATCAGTCTCATGCAAAGCCATGAATGCTTCTGCTGCATAATAACCATAACCACTTTTCAGGCTAACATTTAAAACCCCTCCCTCAACTTTCATCTTCCCCTTCTTCAATGCCAACATTTAATTGAATCCCTATCAAATAATAATCTCTCTCGTTTCTTCTCCATTTTCCCATCCCTCTTATAAACCCCCTTAAATAATCCACACATGTACATTTCCAAACACCCAAAAAATTTAGCTCAAACTCCACCTTCTTCTTAGTTTCATATCATACTAATTCAAGCCAAAAATATGGGCCTAATCAGTAAAGGATCAATGGCTCCTCTAATGTTGGTGCTCTTGTTGGCATTTGCCAATATTGCAGTAGATGCCCAGCTTGTCCCAGCATTGATTATAATGGGCGATTCCGCCGTGGATGTTGGCAACAACAATTACCTCCCAACACTTTTCAAAGCCAATTATCCACCTTATGGTAGGGATTTCACCAATCATCAACCTACCGGAAGATTTTGCAATGGCAAACTCGCCACTGATATCACAGGTAAACCAAGTTCTGATCAACATTGGTCTTTCTTTTTGGATTTGCAATTGTAAATATTAATAATGCGAAACCTCGTGGTCACAATGTATGTTGAACTAGCACAATATTCAACAATGCAAAAAGTACTAATTGTAAATCTGTTTTCATTTCTGTTCTGTTTCTTTCAGCTGAGACTTTGGGTTTTACTTCATTCCCACCTGCATATCTTAGCCCACAGGCAACAGGGAAGAATCTTCTTATCGGAGCCAATTTCGCTTCAGCGGCCGCTGGATACGATGATAAAACATCCTTCATGAACGTAAGCATCAATCAAACTAATCCAATCCAACAAAAATCAGTTCTTTTTGAGTTTTTTCCCTTTCTCTAAGGCTAAATTGTTAATAAAGCATCTCATAATGTGCGTTTATGGAATTTCTGGCAGCATGCTATATCATTGTCACAGCAACTAGAATATTTCCAAGAGTACAAAAAGAAGTTGCAAAGTGTAGACAGCAAACAAGCCCCTTCCATTATTGAAGGTGCATTGTACTTAGTAAGTGCTGGCAGCAGTGATTTCTTCCAAAACTATTACGTTAATCCTCTGCTTAACAAAGTCTACACTCCTGATCAATACGGAGGCTACCTCGTCGGCATCTTCTCAAACTTTGTTAAGGTACAACACAAATTTCACATTTTCACCTCAAAACCTAGTCTTAAATTGAAGCATTCATTGGGTTCAAACTCTGAGTTTGGTTTTTTTCCTTGTAAAAAAAAAAACACAAAACAGCAATTGTATGGATTGGGAGCCAGAAGAATTGGGGTGACATCACTTCCACCATTGGGATGCCTTCCTGCAGCAAGAACTCTGTTTGGATATCACCAGAAAGGATGTGTGGCTAATTTCAACACTGATGCTCAACAATTCAACAAGAAGCTTAATGCTGCTGCTACTCAGCTTCAGAAACAGCTTCCAGGACTCAAATTAGCTATCTTTGACATCTTCAACCCCATTTACGACGTTGTCAAATCCCCCTCGAATTATGGTACTTTTTGCAGACAAACCAAATTTGTGTTTCATTTTTCTAGCACTGCTAAAAAAGCAGCCAAATTTGTGTTCATTTTTCTAATTTTTGTCTTTTCTTTTACTCAGGTTTCAAAGAAGCAACCAGGGGTTGTTGTGGAACTGGGACAGTGGAGACAACTGTATTCTTGTGCAATGAGAAATCACCAGGAACCTGTAGCAATGCCACCGAGTTCGTGTTTTGGGACGCCGTACATCCATCTGAAGCAGCTAACAGAGTTCTTGCTGATTCATTGATTGCCCAGGGAATCAGTCTCATTGGATGATGGTTTGAACTATAAAATCCCACAAGTGTTTATGATCTGCACTGATTTCATTTTAGTGTATTGCACAAAGGATTGTTACTTGTTACAGTTTTCTTTTTTGGTGTACTGTTTTTTTTTTTCTCCTTGAAGATTGTTATCATCTCTTGTAATGATGATGTGATCCCTCCGCATTCGCCACGATACAAACGTTGTTAAATTCTTATAAAAGTTTCTTGTACCATCAGATGATTAGTAGACACATGAATGATAATTCTCTTACCAATAAGATTTTGTTTTTTTTTTGTTTTTTTTTTTCTTGTTCATCAATCATCTATATATGCACAGTAACTTAAGATACAGAAACTTCACATCTAGTTTGAAAAAAATGCACCAAAAAATAGCCATTGAGACATTCATAAAGCCTGTTTATAACAAATGTTTAAGAAGCCTGAGGAGTGAGAAGTACTGGTTCACACTTCACAAGCCAACAACACCTAAGAAACTCGCAGTGGGAAGCGTACCTAAGAACTTATGGCATTGAGATTCAAATCTCAAAGTAGCAAATCATTTGGATGTGGATGTCAAACACCTCAACGAGATTATATTCTCCTCGTAATATTGCCGAAGAAACAGAGACCAAAAGGAACCTTGACAGCCGAAAAGTTTGTCGAAAGATTCATCTTTCTTAATCCAAATCTTCTGATTCTCTTTCTTTTGTGGATCAAACAAGTAAAAGGAATCTGAAACAGATGTTAGCAGTTTTCCATTAGGAAGTATTCCATCAAAATAAAGAGACTTGGATGATGCCTGAGGCTGTGGTGGCAGAACCAATGATTCTTCCTTAACCCAAATCGCTTGTCCAGAATCCCTCCTGTAATTATAAAGCACAACCGATTTCTGCCTCAATTCATTGCTTTCAGTTGCCTGATACATTATAGCCGGACGCCCAAAATCGGGAAGATAATATATATCAGGATTCCCTTCGGGTAAGGGAATGAACTGGAACTCCTCCTAAACAAGATCAAATTCAACCAAACGACCAACCCGCGGGCGTCGGTTGTTGTTGTTTGGTAATTGGTCGTCTTCAAACCAGTAAGAAATCCATCTGAGCAAACACATCGACCGTTGTCATATATATCCATCTCCTCAGGCGCAGTTTCGAGATCCCTCCAGGACAAATCCACACCAATTGTCAGAATCTTGCACCTCAAACGTTCAGAATTGATTGACACGCGACACATCCAGAGCAATTTGAATACTTGATCAGAGGGATCGAAACCGAGATGGTAACTATACCCGTGGGGCCAGCACTCTGAGCCTGAAAAGCTGGGGAGTTGCGAGGTTTCGCGGGTGGCAATGTTGTACAACCATGAATTGTTCAGGAGGTAAAAGCAAAGCAGGCCGTTAACAACGTTTGTTGCCCTCTTCCCGTCCTGGTGGTTGTGATGGTTGATGGTGGAGTAATGAGAAAATGGACATACGGGTTTTCGGGCGTGATCATCATCATCATCATCCATGGAGGAGAAGTAGAAGTAATTGGAGTGGGAGAGCTCCCATCGAGGGGGTTTTAGGGTCAAAAGACCACGAGAGCCGCCATTGTAGACAGCGGCAAAGGATGGGTTCCTAATCATTGAATTCCAAGCCACTGATACACATTTGAATCGCAACAGAGATTTGACGGGAACCCATCTCAGGATTTCCCACTGCACCGCCTCGGGAACAAGGAGCACCTCCGCCATACACAAGTTTTGGACCAAATTAGTAGTGTAGAGTTTATAGGATGAAATCCAGGAAGGAAGCCAAAACCTAGAACATATAAAAAAAACCAGGGGAGTCAAAGAATATTTACCTTAAATATAACAACCCGCGTAACTCAGTATAATTAAGGAATCTGAATTCTTTCCCATTGCTACAATGATTTATTCATTTAATCGGTAATAGACTAATATGTTTAAGTCTTTTAATCTATCTACTTCTATTAATGACCAATGCAAATTGTTCTATAGCAACAACACAACAAAACTTTTAGGTTTGATTAGTTATTCCATTCCCAAAAAATAGTCATGCTTGGCTAAAAATTAAGGAAATTACTGTTTGTTTTTGGGGGCACTAGAGGAGCTTTTTTTTTTGCCCTTATTGATTTGAAAGTGACCCCTTTCGGGTTTTGTAGTAGTAGTAATAACAGATAATTACGTTACGAAAAATTCTGTCCAGATCGGTTCACTCAGGCATGTTTCACCAATATACACAATAAGAGGACTGCAACTATAGCCGAAACACGGGGTTATCTTAGAAACATGCAAATTCATGTATATTCAGTTGAAACGATAAAACCAAAAGAGCCATTAAAGAGCCAGTGAATGATGTACTAATGTATCATGACCATATATATAACTTAGAATGTATCTCAAACTGTTATATATCACCCTTCATACTTAAAGCAGCTGGCTCCAATATATGTTAATGGTCTCCTGTCTAGATCAAAGCAATAATACAAATAAATGCACATTATTGGTATACCACCATACCAGTTTGCCGCCCACAAGACTACCATTCTGCCTGTTCATAATACGCTACCTATACTAGCCTATCCAACTATGAAAAGCTGAAGTAACTGATAACTTGTTAACCTGCAAACAAATCTTGGGTCAAGTAGTTCACTTGCAACAAACACCTAAGAGAGACATTGAGAGGTAAATCCCAAAAAGACGTTACCTAAGAGCTGGGCGACAAGAATAATTTCCCAAAAGCTGCATATTCTTCAGATGTGGAAGTTAAACACCTCAAGGAGATTATGTTCTCCACATAATAATACCAAATACCCTGAAACCAATTATTGGCACGATCAAGTGCTGAATTTTGGGAGACTGATAGTTTCGCTTTTATAGAAATCTGTTGTGTATCCCTCTTGCAGAGATCAAACAAGGAAAAGCAACGTATAAAGCTATAAGGATGAGTTTTTAGCAACTTTCCAATGGGGAGCTTTCCCTCAGAGATATCAGGATGAGATGTTACCACTTTTCCATTGGGAAGTATTCCCTCAGAAGCAAAAAAGAGTGCATCGATGTGGTAATAATTGTTTAAAGAACTCATCCTTAACCCAATTCCCTTCCATGGCCACTTGTCCAGAATTCCTCCGGCATTTGTAAATCACCATCCATTCATAACCATAACTGTCAATCAACTAAGACGCTAAAGGCAGAGGCCCAAAAATGGGAAGATCATAAAATCTGTAATGAGGATTTGGGTTTATCACGTGAATGCACTGGAACTTCTCGAGAACGAGATCAAACACAACCAATAAACTATCTTGGTCGTAATGGAGGTAAAATCGCTTCTTCTCCACCTAGAAGAGAACCCCATCAGAGCATCTATATTCACCCTATATGTCCTCAGGAGCTGTACCAATATCTCTCCAGAACATTCTCCCCCCCCCCTTTCCCCCAATCCTAAGAATCTTGCACTTCAACCGACTAACTTTGCTGCCGATACAACATAGCAATTTGAACATTTTAACCGAGGGATCAAATCCAATATAGTAAGTACAAACGCTGGCCCAACATCCTAAGCTCGGGAGTTCTACAATCGCACGGGTGGCGTTCTGGTAGTAAAAACAAAGCAGGCCATTGACAACGTTGGTGGCCCGTCTCCCCTCGTTGTCAACCACGGACAAAATTCAATGGTGGAATCTCCAGAGTAGAGAAGTAGAAGGGAGTACGGTAGGAAAGGCCTGATTGAGTGGCTTCACGAGTAAGAAGACATCCAGACCCGCCATTATAGGCTTCAGCAAAGGTTGGATTCGTAATGATTGAATTCCAAGTTCTGGAAACACATTTGACTCCCATTAGGGTTTTTTACTGGAAGCCCTTTCAGGATTCCCCAATACAATTCGTCAGGGAGTACTTCTGAACCCTCCGCCGTGAATTACCGAAACAGAGTAATGAATTAAAGAGGACCAAAATCTACCAAAAAAGTAAGAACTCAGAATCTAAATTCACGACCTGAATCAGAGAAACGACGAACATTGAACAACATGGATATAAACTCTGCAACCCAGTTACCCAATAAAAGAATTACCCAACTGATTAAAGTTAACAGAGTCATTCAATGCCACTGAAATGCAGAATCTAATAAGAGGTTGTACTAGATATGGTACTCTTTAAATTAACAGGTACCCTTTCAAAAAACAAAATCTGAAACAATCAAAAGAAGAAAGTAGTTAGCTTACCAATCTTTGCCTCGATCAGCTGATTTTGTTCACTTCTCCATCAAACGTAATTGAATTTCCTGTCAGTTATGGACAAGAAAAAAGGAGATGAAAAAAATGACAAAAACAACTCATTTGACCATTGGACATGTTTAACCTTAACTTATATTTGGGCCTTCTGCCTCTTGCTTGGTAAAAGCTCGAGTGCCAGCCATCTAGGCTTTAGTCCATTTTGAAATTAATTTAAAACTAATAAAATATAGTAGTGATATTAAGAGGAATGATAAATACGAGGAAAAAAAATCACACAAATATAAGTTAGTATATTTTCAAGTTTATAACAAATGAAAATTTTCACTTCTTGGTTGGATCGGCAAGGATTTTTTTTGTCCTTTCTTTTACTCCTTATGCAAGGAATAAAAATGTATATGTATTTGTGCGTTGATCGAAAATTATGTTTTAGGAGGTGAATTGTCTGACAATTGTTTGATTTTGGGCCTCAAAGCGTTCTATTTAATACTGTTCGTGACAATAAATTTCTCGTAATTAAGCCAATTATTCCCTTGTAGTATTACCAATACTAATGTACTATGTACGAAATGGGAGAATGATTTGTGACTAGAGCTTGATGTTAGAGAACATCTTATGTGGGATCCAGCAATATGCATGAAATTAGTTATAAGATGTAAGACGTAATATTATTGATTTCTTTGTAGCGGTAAATCGGGCAGGATACCATAGATTGAATTCTCTACGAGGGATCAAAATTTTGCTGATTTCTGATATTACAACTATAATTGACCACATTATAAAAGAAAAAATAGTAGATGTAATATCCTAGAGTTTGGATCTCCTCCCCCACAAAATTGATTGCCCTCTCTCTCGCCCCCCTCCCTCTTTGTTTTGATTTCCTTTTCTTAATCTTGTGGGGCTTTTCTTCTTTGAGGAAGACATCAAACAGTCTGAATTAATTTTGTAGGAGAAAACAATGAGATTTTCAAATAAATAGAAAATTAGAATCTTAATGCACTTGATTTCCTTGTAGACAATAATGGTGGATGTTGGATTGTCTAAATTTTGCTGAGAGAAAGTGACAATACAGTCGACCCAATATCCACTCTTAATCTGTACATAAGTAAATGTCTCTTGGTGAGTTTAGAATTTTGAACGTGATTGGCCAGAAATTAAATTGAGCAATTTGATTGACTCATTAGTTCACATGACATCATCATTTAAAATTGACCTCTTTGATCAGTTAATATGTTAACATGACATTAACAATTTTAAATAGTACTATAATTGTCAATTAATGAAGTTGATTTTAATTTTTTGCCAACCAGCAATTTTAATTTACGCCGAGAAAGAGAGCAGAACCCAAGATGGTTTGAGCCTTCTCAAATAATTTTCTTCCTCCATTGGCTTGAGCCCACGATGGCTTTATAGACAAATTCTTGTGTGTGCTTTTGAATGAGTTTTATGTTGCCGTCAAATCAATAATTATATTAATGAAATTTTCTCAATTTGATTTGTCAATAAGTTTCTTTTGCATTTTTTTTTATTAATCTATGTATGCATTCGTTTGTATTTCATATTGTTTATTACCACAGTTATTGATAGCATTCTGTTCATTGACAATTACTAATCAATTTTTGGTTGTGAATTTTTCAGGGGAGAAACAAGATGTGCTCATTAATGGGGTACTTCGCGCTATGGATAGTTTTGTTTTAGTTACAGTCTCAATTGCAGAAATAATGTTTCTAAGGAGATTTTTTTTTTTTTTTTTGAAATTTACTAATAATGCACTCCAGATCTTTTAGCAATCCTTTTATTTCCATTTGAATGCGTGATTTTGTTTGCTTAGGAATTTACTTATTACAATTCTTCCTTTTGCTGTGTGTATTGAAAAGTTGATACTTTTCTCATTTTAAAGTTTAATTGTATTGTTGTAAATAAAAATACTCCCTCCGTCCCATAATTATTGTCCAGTTTGAGTTTTCATTTCTAGTTCAAATTGTACTAAATGTGAAATTTAAAACTGGACAATAATTTTGGGACAGAGAAATTTATGATTGTATTTATGTGTTAAAAAAGGGAGAAATTTACACAGAAATATCACACTTCAACAAAGAGATGCTTACATTGAACAAGTTTTGCCCTCTCATCACGAAATCAAGTTCATGATTTCATGTTCCCATAATGCACTAAAACGAAGGTGAAACAATAACAGAATAACAGAAGATTCCAAAAAAAAAAAAAAAAACCCCCCAGTTTCATCATTATCATATCTTGTAATGATGATGTGATTCCTCCGCATTCTCCACAATACTAGATGTTGTTACATCCTTAAAAAAGCTTCTTGTACCATCAGATGATTAGTAGACACATTGAATGATGCTTCTCTTACAAATAAGATTTTGTATGTTTTTTGTTCTTCAATCATCTATATATATTCACAGTTTATCATAGTGACTTAAGATACAGAAACTTTACATATAGTTTGAAAAAATGCAACAAAAAGTAGCCATTGAGACATTCATAAAGGCTGTTTAAAATTATAACAAATGTTTAAGAAGCCTGAGAAGTGAAAGGTACTGCCTACTGGTTTCACACTTCAAAAGCCAACAACATCTGAGAAACTGGCAGTGGGAAGCATACCTAAGGACTTGGGATTGAGGTTAAAAATCTCAAAGTAGCAAATCATTTTGACGTGGAAGTCAAACACCTCAACGAGATTATATTCTCCTTGTAATATTGCCTAAGAAACAGAGACAAAAAGGAACCTCGATGCCCGAAAACACTGCCAAAAGATTCATCTTTCTTAATCCCAATGTCCTGATTCTCCCTCTTGCTTGGATCAAACAAATAAAAAGAATCCGAGACAGATGTTAGCACTTTTCCATTAGGAAGTATTCCACCAAAGCAAAGAGGAGCAAAGGATGATGCCCGTGACGGTAGAAGGAATGATTCTTCCTTAACCGAAATCCTCCCTTGATCAGCATCCACCTTCCAGTAACTGTAAACCGATTTCTGCCTCAATCCAAAGATGCCAGTTTTCTGATACATTATCGCCGGACGCCCAAAATCAGGAAGATAAAATACACAATTACTATGAGGATCCCCTGTAGGTAAGGGAATGAGCTGGAACTCCTCCTGAGCAAGATCAAACGCAACCAAACGCTCAGGTAACTCGTCTTGGTCTTCAAACCAGTAAAGAAATCCATCTGAGTAAACGCACCGACCATTGTCATATAAATCCATCTCCCCAGGCGCAGTTTCGAGTTCCCTCCAGCACAAATCCACACCAATTGTCAAAATCTTGCACCTCAAACGTTCAGGTTTAGTTGAGGCCCGACACATCCAGAGCAATTTGAACACTCGGTAGGATCGAAACCGAGATGGTAACTATACCCGTAGGGCCAGCACTCCGAACCTGAAAAGCTCGGGAGTTGCGCGCGGGTGGCAACGTTGTACAACCATGAATTGTTCCGGAGGTAAAAACAGATCAGGCCGTCAACGACGTTTGTGGCCCGCCTTCCGTCCTGGTGGTTGTGGTGATTGACGGTGGAGTAATGAGAGAATTGACAGATGGGTTTTCCGGCGGCGTGGTCATCATCAATATCCATGGAGGAGAAGTAGAAGGAATTGCAGTGGGAGAGACCCCATCGAGGGGGTTTTAGGGTTATTAGACCACGAGAGCCGCCGCCGTAGATGGCGGCGAAAGATGGGTTTGTAATCATTGAATTCCTGGCCACGGAGACACATTTGAATCGCAACAGAGATTTGACCGGAACCCATCTCAGGATTTCCCACTGCAACGCCTCAGGTACAACAGGGTGTACTTTTGAACCACCTTCCGCCATAGATACATAAGATAAGTTTTGGACCAAAAATTATAAGTAAAAGTTTTTAGAGTGAAGAAAAATCGAGGAACCAAAGCCAAAACCTAGAACATAAAACTCGAGAATGTTTACTTCAAATAGATAACCTTTACAAAACTCATTATAGTTAAGGAGTCTTGATCATTTTGGCGTTCTTCTTATCATAATGTATTTATTTAATTAATAATTAGTAGGCTTTTAATCTATCCATATCTTATTCTTATATCTAATTATACTAGTGATGTCTGGTCGCGCAATGCGCGACCCTGGCCCAGTCTATCTGTAGATTTTAGAAATATTTATATTTGAAAAAAAATAAAATTTTGTATTTGTAGCGATATATTTTAGAAATGTTTGAAGGATTTAGAAATGTTTTATAAGTGTGATCATAGAAATATTTGTATTTCACGCACACAAAAAAAAAGAAATTGTATTTCGCCATGTATGTTTTAGAAATATTTTATAAGTATTACTTATTAAATATAAATAGCATTAATCGAATAAATGTGTTGAAGTAAATGTTATATAAAATATAAAAGTATCCTAATAAATTTAAATATTAGTAAGATGATTTATTGATGTTCTCCGTTGGTCGTGCCAAATCAATACTTAGTTTTGAAGATTTTTAATAGTTTTGTAATAAGTTTCATCCGAAGGGTATACGCTTAAAACAAAGTTGACACTTTGTAACAAAAACCTAATTGATCAATTCAATTTAAAAAACTACTCTAGTTGAATGAAACATAAAGAAAAAATAAAATAAAAAAAAACGTATCACGTAAAGTGGAAAGGGAAATTTAGTAATTTAGTTATGGTTAGACAAAAGGGCAATTTAGTACTTTCTACATGCCACGTGGCAATCATATGAGGTGTTTGAAAGGGAGGTTTTTGTTTCTAATATAGTAGGAAGTTGCATGGCCAATGCAAATTTCCAAATTGTTCTATAGCAACAACAGAACGAAACTTTTATTAGTTTTTTTTTCAGTTCTTCCATTCCGGAAAAGAGTCATGTTTGAACTCAAAATTAAAAATGATTACTCTTACTAGAGGAGCTTTTGTTTTTCCCTTACTGATTTGAAAGTGACACTTCCTATCTTCTTTTCGGGTTTTGTTATAGTAATAAAAAATACTACTAATTATGTTATGAAAAATTCTGTCCAAATGGCTCATTCAGGATCCTTGATTGGAAGTAAGGTATTCCATTATGTTTCACTAATATACATAAGAGGACAGCAAATGTAGCCTAAACACAGTAGAAACATGCATATCCATATACTGTATATTCAGTTGAAACTGATGCATCCAAAAGAGCCATTAAAAAGCCGGGGAATGATGCAGTAATGTATTATGACATCTGTGTATAGCGATCAGGATTGGAAAAGTCCGTACTTGTTAACCAAAGAAAAGGAAAAAACATATATATCATGACCAATTACCAAACACACAAGACAAGCTATAATAGTAACATACATTCTCTTTGTAATGTTGTCACATGCTAACAACACTTCAAATAAGCAAAATGGAACTCGAAAGCTACAAGGATGAGAAGTTCGCAATTTTCTTCCATTAGGAAGTTTTCCCTTAGAGACATAAGGATGAGATGTGATCAGTTTTCCATTGGGCAGAATTCCCTCAAAGCTAAAATAAGAATAATACATCTGAGCCCAAGATGGTAGAACGAATGATTCATCCTTATCCCAATCCATTCCTTCCCCTGTCTATCCAGAATCCCTCCGGCCGCGGTGACGGTAAAGCACAAGGGATCCTGGCTTGATTCCCCTGTGGACAGTTGACACTGACATTAAAGCCAGAGGCCCGAAATTGGGAAGATAATAAATACAATTGTCAAGAGTATTTTTCATTTTGAGTAAGGGAATAAACTGGAACTTCTCCTCAGCAAGATCAAACGCAATCAATCCATCATCATCCCGGTCATAAGTACGGGGCCCATTGTCTTTCAACCAGTAAAGAATTCCATCTGAGCACCTACATTGACCTTTGATCTTCTCTGGCCCCGTATCGATATCCCTCCAGATGGAGTCTACACCAATTGTCAGAATCATAAACTTCAGAGGAACAGATTTGGCGGGAACACAACAGAGCAACTTGAAACGTTTCACACTGGGATCAAAACCCAGATGGTAAGTATTACCGCAGGGCCCAGAATCCAGAACTGGGAAGTCTCAGGCTTTCCCGGGTGGCTATATTGTACAACCAGGAACAGTTCCGATAGTAGAAACAAATCAAGCCGTTAACGACGTTGGTGGCCCGCCGCCTCCCGTGGCCGTCAGCAACGAATTGATTGGTGGGGCCGATTAGGGTGGAGAATTGGAAATGGGTACGGTGGAAGACTCCGGATTGAGTGGCTTCAATTGTTAGAAAACCTTGAGAACCGCCATCGTAGGCTTCGGCGAAGGTTGGATCTGTGATGATTGAATTCCAATTTCTGGAAACACGCTTGAATTGCATCAGGAATCTGACCGGAACCCGTTTCAGGATTTCCCAATACAATTCCACAGGGAGTGCTTCTGAATCTGAACCCTCCTCCGCCATGGATTTTAAGTTCGTGGCTACAACCTAGAACATAAAAGAAAAACTCTACAAAAAAATGAAACCAGAGGGAAATCAGAATAAATACAAACAAGTTACGGACCACTTTTGTTACGGACCACTTTTAGATTTCTGGGCCTTCACTTCTTGTTTTGATCGCGGGCTGCATTTCCTTTTTTTTTTTTTTTTTCTATTTATATGTTTACTTATGAATATGATGCATACCACTACAAACAAACCTCAATTCCTCCGGAAGAATCATTTTAAAACTAAAAAAAAATATGAATTTCTTAGAAGATGAGTTGCTTGTGAGCATTAGATTATTACTTGTAAGAGGATTTGGTTTACAAACATAGACATAATTGTAGTGGCTTAAAAGAGGGATGGTCATAAATTGTCTCCAATCAAAATGCCAGCTAAAGATATAGCCATAGTTTCAATACAAAGGCCCCTCGTCATTTACCCTTTTTTTTCCTTGAGAAGAATTTAAGAAACAGTTCGAAATCCATCTGCCAAGATCATAAAACTTAATTCGACTTTTCTTTTTTTTAATAAACTATTGATATACTTCATGGACTCAAAATCTCCACCATTTAAGGAGGAAGGCATGCATTATTTCTGATTGCTGTCTTGTAGACAGAAATTTAATTCATGTGGGACATTAATCTCCTCCGTCATCATACATGGCTTTCAATTAATGATCACATTGGTGGTATCAATAAACCAATCCTTGTTCGTTCAGCAATGTGAGATCGGTTACATGAATTATTTGACGCTGTTACATTTTGTCAAAATCACATAAATGGAGTCGGATCCTCCATATAACAAAAACAAGTATTCCCTCCGTCCCATAATTATTGTTCAGTTTAGATTTTTATTTCTAGTATAATTTAAACTAAGATTGAAAATCAAAGCTGGACAATAATTTTGGTACGTAGCGAGTAACAAAATTTAACATCAAATATGTTAGCCTAACATAACTCTTTTTCTTGTCCCGAACTTAAAATCGAGAATTCAAACTTGGAAGTGGTGACGAAATGAGAACTTTTAAATCATGGGATCGAAAATAAAATTATTCAACCATCACTGAGGAATCGAATTGAAAAAAATTTCAGCTAACGTTGACCCTACTACTAAGAGAAGATCCGGCCAAATCCTGCAAACAACGAGGGGAGACGGCGAACAACGAGGCCGCAGGATCGCAGGAGCAGGCTGAGTTTAATGCTACATCAGTGACCAGTACTCAGTAGTACTAGTATATGCAAGATTTTCATTATTTTCAGCTACCTTCTACTACTCTCATTCAAAGCTACTAGTATAGTCAAACTTAGCAACCGAGGTTCTCTCACCTCTTCTATATACGTATCTTGGACACACCGCCTCCAATCCATCATTCAATACCAAAACTAGATCAAACAACCCAAAAAAAAAACCAAAAAACAAGAACATGGGCATTCCTAGAAAGGAAGCCATTTCGTTATTGGATTTCATACTTATTGCATGGCTTTTTGCAATCACTTCAGATGCTCAAGCAATTGTTCCAGCACTGATAACATTTGGTGACTCTGGAATTGATGTTGGGAACAACAATTACCTTCCAACCATATATAAGGCAAATTATCCACCTTATGGAAGGGATTTCAGCAAAATTCATCGTCCCACTGGAAGGTTCACCAATGGGAAGCTAGTTACTGATCTCACAGGTTCATTGCATACCCCATCGATTACTTCTCTATACATGGACTTGAACGAGAAAAACTTCATCTAACTTTCTCTGTTTCTGGTTTTTTTTTTTTTTTTTGGTTTAGCTGATTCTCTGGGATTTACTTCATATCCTCTTGCATATCTAAGCCCTCGAGCATCAGGGAAAAACCTTCTTATTGGAGCCAGCTTTGCTTCTGCTGCATCTGGTTATGATGATCGAACAGCCCACTTAAATGTTAGCATCATATAAATACAGTGTGTTTAACAAATGAGTACTTTGTTTTAGGTCTGATTGTTTAAATCAATCCAAACAACGATCTGATTACCTTAAGTTTTGTTTATGCAGAATGCACTGTCAATATCGCAGCAAGTGAAGCATTTCCAGGAGTACATCAAGAAGTTAGAAAGGATAGCTGGGCCTAAAAACGCCTCACTTATAATCAAGGATGCATTGTACGTTATAGGCTTTGGCACTGCTGACTTCAATCAAAATTATTACATCAATCCTGCCATTAACAAAGTCTACACCCCTGATCAGTATTCTTCCTACCTGATTGGTAAATTTTCAAGCTTCATCAAGGTGAATTCTGTTATTGCAATTTTATTTTTATCTTTACCAAACCACTTTGCTATAGTCAGTATTCTCAGGATCAGGGCTGATGTTTACTTCTGGTTTTGAATAACAGGATCTGTATGGATTAGGAGCCAGGAGAATCGGTGTGACATCACTGCCACCATTGGGGTGCACTCCGGCAGCCCGAATTTTGTACGGTCGTCCCCATGGACAAGGTGGATGTGTGGCTAAACAAAACAGAGACGCACTACTGTTTAATATGAAACTCAACCACACCTCATCCCGGCTCCTGAAACAGCTTCCAGGACTCAAGTTAGCAGTTTTCGACATTTTCAAGCCCTTTTACGATTTTATCAAAAGTCCTTCAGATTATGGTATTGACGATCGGAACTACATTTTTCACTTCAAGTTAATATTGGTAATACGCGCCACAGTTCTATTAACTTATGCTGTCATACTTTCTTTTAGGTTTCAAAGAAACAACCAGAGGTTGTTGTAGAACAGGGGCAGTTCAAAACACTGCATTTTTGTGCAATAAAAGATTGCGAGGAACCTGCAGGAATGCGACGGAATATGTGTTCTGGGATGGTGTACATCTATCGGAGGCAGCCAATCAGTTCGTTGCCGATTCTTTAATCAGCCAAGGAATAAGCCTTATAATTTGATGAACCTGATTCTTGGTTATGGTGGCTGTTATTTTAATGACAGTTGATCAGCCATTTAGCCTACTGTAGTTCTTGTTCAGGTTGCTTTTTCTTCTTTTATGCAAGTACAATTATGTCATGGCGCTTCGTTTCAAAAACTTCTCATGTCATATGTTAATGGAACCTTCTTACTGTAAGATACTTACCTATAGAAATAGATTATGCTACCATCAAACTCACAGTTGAGGGGAAAAAAGAACTCAACACCATTATATCAAAACTAAAATCATGCAATGATGTGAAGATATTACCCCAAAGCATATAGTACTTTTAGTCATCCATAATTGACTACAAAAAGTGACACTTCAGTTAACCATATTCAAACAACAAAGGAAACAACACTTCAGTTCCCCATTTTACTAGGCAGATTGTTTTCTATGGGAAAAAGGCTCAGTATGCCATGAGGAAAAAGCAAAATATAGAATCTGCAGTGAATTTAGAGTTAGGGAGCTATCCGATGTAAGGAATGCTTAATGGCAGACATGTAGAGAGGGTGTGTGTCAAGCTAAGCAGCAGTCAAATTTAGTGAGAGTAACTCAGTAAGTAGTAGTCTGACTCCCAGATGTTGCCCCTATCTTTTGGATGGCTTCTTCAACAGGTACTGCCAATGGGTTTCGGGAGTTCAGTAGCTTCTTCACATCCATTTCCACGATGACTTCAGTCTAACAGCAGAGGAAAAGATGAGATGATTAGCGAGCTGATGGTGCCTAGAAGATATTCATTCTTAAACCCCAACTGTATTCTTGGATGCAAAGATCTGCTACGGTACAGCAAGAAAATTTACTTCCTAACGCAAACCTAGAATCAGAGTTATAATTACCTACCCGTCCTCTACGCAAGAGAAGATTTCATTACCAATGGATAACTATAAGTAGCACTTACCTGAGTATTCTTGGTACGAGGTTGAAGCATTTTGTCGAAATTGTTCCTGTAAACAAATTGCAATGATGATCTTGTAGGAGGGTTTCCAGATCCAGACCTTGTGGTGGATGACCCCAGATCTCTATAGGCACTTCTTTTTTTGTCCTGTTTGCTCAATCTTTTCCATTGATTCCAGCCACTAGAAGATGATGATTTTTTGGGCTGAAAAGGAATATGGCTCTAACATTAGAAGGCATTCTCGACTAGAAATTTAATAAACCAGAAACTTTTTGACACTAAAAGAAAAGGTACAACTAACTGTATTCAGCATATGGAAAAACATAGCATGGATGTTTACATCCCCAAGAAAAGAAATGACCAACTCCAAAGAATTTGAACACAATATCAGCAGCAACAATTGAACACAGTAAGGGCGAAGGATGCCCTTCGAGAGAGAAGGAAGATTTCTGCTATCAATATATATATGCAAGACTGTAAAGAAAACCAGAAATGGCAAAAAAGAACTTACATGAGACTGGTGAGTCATGTCCAGTTTAGGCTCCTGATGAGGCTGTCTACAAGGAACCTGCGAGAAAAGTTGGGAAAAACAAGGTGAAAATGCAGAACAAACAGGAAAGTTAGAGGAGGCAATAATCAATCACTAATTATCTACTTCACTTACTGCAGTTCCAGGTAACATTTGTAGATACCCCTGATCCTGAATGGGAGAAACTCGAATGAAACCTTGGCTAGAGCCTTCATACAGCTTTGGCTGGAGCGAGTTCATCTGTGGCAACGAAAATTGAGGATATGGCAGCTGAGGAAATGGGGCATTGTAACAAAGAGGATGATGCTGAGGGGCAAGATGGATGTTCCAGTAAGAAGGATAAAAAGATTGTATGGGGTACGGCACAGGAAGTCCCTGCAAATGCTGCCTACGTTCTTCTTGACTCTGAGCAAAGTCCACAAACAGAGTCTTGCCTCGTATAGTAGATCCTATGAAAAGCCCATATCATATAAGCAAATAAGCTAATAAAAGAAGGAAACAGGGGAAAGAAAAAAGGAGATTGGGCTTTACCATTACTTGAATACAGAGCCCTCTTTGCTTCTTCTGGACAAGAAAAGTGTACAAAACCATAACCTTTGCTGACGCCACCTTCATATTTCATCACCTTAGCGGAAGTAACATATCCAAAAGAACTGAAAAGTGCTTTCAAATCAATATCATCCAACGAATCGTGCAAATTCTTCACAAAGAGATTTGAATTGTTAGAACTTCCAGATATATTTCTACGCAAACTTTCATGTGCTTGCTGCAAGATCTTTTCCCTCTCTGCTTTCTTCTGAGCTTTTCCAACAAACAAAGTTTTGGAACCTGTTCAATATCAAATCTCTTAAGTCAGTGTCTAGGCCAAGTATAGAAGATTAAGGCAATGGAATAAATGTATTCTTGTACTTACCGAGAGGAGTACCATTAAGGCAATCCACAGCGCTCTTCGCTTCTTCATGTGAGCTGAAACTGACAAATCCGAAACCTTTAGATTTCCCCTCATTATCCTTCATAATCACAAGGTTGCTGACTGTCCCGTGTTCTGAAAACTTCCCTTTAAGGGAATCCTCTGAAACATCCTCATCGACATTTTTGAAGTATAAATTTGTGAATTCTTCATCAGAGGCATCCTTTCGGCCATTCTTTCTAACAAACTTGCAGACCAATCTGAAAGCACAAAGGATTACAACTGTAATTAAGAGTTCCGAGCATTGGTCAAAACCATTTTTAATACACATGCACCTCCAAGTAAAACTTAAGAGATTAGTTTAAGTTCAATTCCTCATATGCAGGTTTTTCAATTTAAGTATGCTTTCTGAAATGCTCCTACAGTCTCTTTACAGAAAAACCAAAAGAAAACAGAGACAGCATCATATGCCTTTACTAAATCAGGTGCATATTTAAACCACTGCAAACTAGTGATATTTAAAGACGCTCTTGGACTTGTACTCTTATTAATTATTTGAAGCCCTTTCCACTTAGATTTCTTTCTTTTCATGTGTTTAACTCCCTGCATTAGTAACCTTTTAGCTATCCATACCCCTAGAAGACCAATTCTCTCCAAAGACAGACGGGAAAAATGGAAGGGTAAGACACAGTAATGTGAAAAGAAGATCAATCAAAGAAAACAACCCGCAAGAACACAAAGATCCATAATGTGGAAAAATACAAAACAGGAAGAAGAACTCACAATTTCTTCCCTTCAAACACGAAACCATTCAGAGCATTCAGCGCTGCTATGGCAGAGTCCTCGGAATCAAACTGAACAAATCCAAAACCCTTACTCACTCCGTTTTCCTCAGCAATTTTACAAGAGAGGACAGTTCCATACGCACTAAACAATTCTTCCAAACCAGCACTGGAAATTGAAGGGCTAAGATTCTTGACATAAAGGTTGGCCACACCGTTCTTTCTAGTAATAGGATCCCTCTGAGACCACATGATCCTCATAGCTTTTCCCCCCAATTTCGTATGGTTTAGAGAAGACAGAGCCCTAGATGCTGATTATAAAGAACAGAAAAACTATAACAATTAATCCGTTGCTATCAAAATAATCAAGTAAATGAATGACATTCCACGGGAATACAAACACTTACACCAGCTCTACCACTCTATCAGAACACATTTAAAAACTTAGAGCACCTACGAAATTCAGATAAAATGTACGCTTAGAGAAAATTTACATCCCAGAAAAAGAAAATCCTAAATGACAATGTTCAGAAAATTCAAATACATATAACCACCTTCCTAGTGAGAGTAAGAAATTTGCAGAAATTAGGGCAGATTCATACACAAAGGATCATCATGTACTGGTTTTGTTTGACAAACTACATTGAAACTGCACGGAACTAAGGAGAAAAAATGGACAAAAACAAAATCCGAGACATAAAAACAGAAAAATGAACCAGAACATGAGCAGAACTCGACATCGCAAACAAGTTAACATCAATCGTAGACTGTAAGGACTAGCAAGAGATACAAGGAAAGAAATCAACCGAAAGGAAATTGAAGAAAAACAGAGCAACAAAGAGAACCCCAACAGGTCTTTACGTGCTTAACAAAGAGCCATTTTGCTCTAAAAAGAACACAATCGAATCACCAAACCCTAGAGCACACGAAATTCAGAGAAAATCGAGAAATTTTACCATCATCGGGTGAGCAGAAATTGACGTAAGCGTAGCAGAGAGAGTCGCCGGTGGCCCTATCTCTGCAAAGACGAAGGGAAGACAACGGTCCGACGGTCTCAAAAGCTTGCCGCAGGTCCGCCTCCTTCACTTTCGGGTGAAGATCGCCGACGTATAGCGAAACCCCCCTCGACGTCGGACCAGACTCCGCCGCCGGAGACGAGGTTGTGTCCGCCTCAGACGGTGGTGGCGGTGGAATGTGAAGAGACAATGTCACCATCTTCTGGAAACCCTCCTCTCTCTGAGGAAAAGAAGAGAGAGAGAGAAAGTAGTAATAGTAGTAGTAGTGAGCGAATTTAGCAGGGGAAAAACCCAGTCGGAAAGTGTGTGTGAGAGAGATGGAGAAAATGAGGGGAAAGCGGGAAATTTTTGTTATAACTACTGTGTGACTGTGTGTGACTGTTTGGTGGCAGAGAGGTCGCGTCCAGCACTAGTCTTTCTTTTTCTTCTCTCCTCGGTGTTGTACGGAAGATACGCATCTGAAGCGCACGCGCGAATGGGGGCTCTCCACGTGGAGCCTTTGCTATATCACCCTCAAACGGAATGGTATGATGGTTTAAGTTTTAACGGTGGCGATTGAGTGATGTTTGAGATTCTGTACCAAAAGATTGCTTTTGTAATCAATATCACGTGACCGATCCTCAAATTGTAGATACCCTTTTTATTTTTTGCATTATTTTTCCTTTTTATTTTCTTCCCAAATACAGCATTTCATTTCATAGTAAATTCATATATGCCTTCTATTTTTATTTCCGCCATTTATTTTGATTTTATATCCTTTTTTCTTCTCAATAAAATTATGGAATTTTACCATGGACCAAATTATAAAGTACTCTTTCCCCTTGTGAAAGCTACTGCTTGTTTGCTTTTTCACAAGTTATTCCTTTTGTTTTCAGCTTTTTAATTCATACAACCTTCTCCATACTTCTATTTACCTACTAAATAACTTTTCTACATTTTTAATACAAAGAAATAAAGCGAAAAAGAAAAATCCTTTCTGGTGAAACTTGGGATATCCAAAAATTCGGTTTTAAGTTTTGAGAATTATTTTAGGTTCTTTACCATCTTGATTTCAGAGAGTGATTGTGTTGCTGTGTATGAGGAGGGTAAGGAATTCGATGGCATTACTACACTCTCAGTTCCATTTCAAGATCCAAGCAGAATGTAGCCAACATGAAACTATACTTTTTATAATGCACAAAAGCATTTTCTAGGTAGATTTCGAGGCAAAAATATGTATGTACACTGGTATTACTGACTAATTAGCCTATATAAAAGCAAGACTACTGATATAGGGGCAGCTCAATGGCCTTCATTTACAGTGTTAAATTTGATCTAAAACCCCATTCATCTACTATCTATCACATATATATATAGGCCATAAGAACCAGTAAGTATGCGATGTTATGAGGAAAAAACTTGGATGCAGAAGTAAAAACTGGCATCTATCTCTTCATCCGATGTGATCAAAAGGAACTAACTGATGCTGACCTCTTGCGAAACAAGGGTTTTCGCCGCGAGTCTTTCAACGCGTCCGCATACTTTCCCAAATTGGATTTTGGAGTATCACTATTAGAACCGGGCTGCTGATTCTCTGCAGGTGTGTCAGCAACATCCTCTGAGATGGGATTGATTACTTTGTAAAGGAAGGATGAATCGTCGTGGCTCTTTCCATATACACGTTCTGATTTGATGCTATCGTCCCTTCTGATGCTCCTTGATCCTTGAAAATATGTATCTCTTTGGAGATCAAGAGAGAGTCTAGATGAGCTCTGCGATGAATTCCTTGATCTTGTATTGAAGGCATCAGTACCAGAAAATGCCCCAGGTGATGCGCCATTGCTGCATCGGGGGGAGAGACTCGAACTCCTCCCTAACAAATCTTCAGCAGGCACGGCCAAATCCAGCGATGAACTCCTTTTCAGATGGCGACTACCTTTTCCTCGTAGTATGTGAATGAGCTTACTGAAAATCTTTGTCTTTGTCGAGTTGTGTGTTTTACTGGTCGATGAAACATCCAACGATGAATCATCATTATCGCCAGATTCAGTAATGTAAGAAGCTGAGGATGACCACCGATCAGAATCAAAATCGGCAATATCTATTCCCTTATCCCCTGTGCTGCCTTCTTTGTGTGCATACTCAAGTATTAATTGCTTAGCTTTCTCCTCAGACTTGGGACTTAGTGATTTGCTCAGGTCCCTTGCAGTTGTTTGACCCGGGGTAGCCTGATAATTCCGCAGCTCATAGCGCAAGCAAGCATTTATCCATCTGAGGTAAACTAGTTCTTCAATATCAGCAACACGAGCTGCATGGAGTTGCTCCATTTCTCTAGCCATATCTTCATTTTGGATTCTTAGACGGTTACTCTCTTCCCTCAAGGTTTGAGTCTATCAAGAGTAGACAGCAACGAAAGTGGAAAATAATTGTCAGTAAAGGAAGCTGAAAAAGACAAGGGAAAATAAATGAGAGAAGCGAAAAGAAGAAAATAACCTCTTCATCATCTAAAATAGAACTTGCAATTGTTTGCAAATAATCTATCTTTTGAGCCAGTGCAGAATTTTCTACCCTCAGACTCTCATTCGATTCCTTTAGTTCCTTCATCTCCTCCTCGAAATCCTCCAGTTTATGCAGTTTTGACTGGATATCCGAGTCAGTTGAAAGAGCATTCTTTTCCGCATCTTGCACTTTTGAAACTCTTTCTTTTAGGGCCAAGATCTGCTCCCTATTTTGCTCAGCTTCAGATCTTAATTTCTTCCTGAGTAGCTTAATCTTCCCTTTGGCCGCTTCCAGCTCTGTGACAACTTTTGCATAATCAGCTACTTGTTCCTCGAGCCTTTTCTTATCTGCCTGCAATGACTCAATTTTGAGATTGAAAAGCTTAGCCTCCATGTTGTTTATCTTTAATCGGTTCTGAAGCTCCATGACAGCCGTTTCTTGCTCCTTAAGACCATAGTACTCCAGCAATTGAATCTCAAGACATCTCTCCCTTTCAGTAAGAGTTGTAACCATGTCCCTTAGCCTCTTAATTTCTTGCTCTTGGTCCGTCCTCTCATTACTGCTAGCTGCTGATCCATTTGGAAGCACTTCCACATCTTTCCTCGGGGAAAAATTACCTTTTATGGCAACCAAATCAAACTCTTTTACTAGATCATTGAACTCTGGCAAGAGATATGATTCTTTATCCCCGCTCGATCTCTTACTTGGAGAAAAGTTACATAGATGATTATCACTGGTGCTATTCGGGAGCAATGCAGACTCCTGCAACAACATCCAAAAGTTCAGTTAGCTCAATGCGATAACCTCTTCACAACACCTAACCCATCCTTTTAACCGAGCTTTGGTCCTTTTATAATCCAACACAATCATATAAAGTCACCAGCAAAGCACAAACATAAGAGTTGGAAAGATTCCAGAGAAATCACATCATTCAACATCTATTTTGGTAAAACTAAATATTTCCAGCTGATGGTCATTTATGAAACTATTAATCATTTGATTGAGAAGTGGAAGCAAAATTGTTTGTTTATCAAATTCTTAACTCAGTGAGGTGATTCCAAAAAGGTCTATCTCTACCCCTAATTTAAGGCAAAATTAGCATAATCTTAGATTCAATCCTCTGAGGTAATCTAAAGGTAAGAATCAGATCTTCCAAACTGTGATTCCAAAAATACAGTGCATTGAATAACCTCTACCTACAGCTAATAAATACATAATTATGAGCATCACTAAAGTTTCAGTACTTCAAATTATACAGAGAGCACTAGCCAAAAAACCTTCCATAAATGCAGATAGACCCTACTTCGAAATCAACAGATTTTAAGTCAAAAGAAAATAGGAGAAAAACCCAAAACATACATCTTTTTCAGAGGCGGTTCCTTCCAAATGGCAATAATTGGGCGTTTTCTGCAAAGCATGATCATCCTCATCATCATTCTTGTGCTCAATCCTTTCACAAGAAGAGTTAGCCTGATTCTGATGCTCTGTATTGAAGCATAGGAAACCCATAAGACAAACTTAAAACTTTTGATCCCAGAAAAAAATTATTAAAAAAAAAGGAGAAAGAGGATCAAACCTGGAGAAGATTGGGATGCAGAGGGCTTATTCCGTTTGTTCCTCAAAAAATTAAAAAGAATCCCACCAAGAGAGAAAGCCAAAGCTACCCCAAATTTGAACAGCACCGGCCTTATGTCCCTCTTTTCCCTCGTCATCGTTTCAAACCCAAAACGAAAAATTCAGCTGTTTTAACCTTCAATTCTGTTCCTCTGCACAAGTTAGCCGAGGGATCCACATACCAATCCTCCTTGTCCTCATCCTCCACCTAAATTCAAAAAAAAAATAAAAATTCAAACTTTTGTATCAAAGGCGGTGACTAATTGTAGGAAGAGAGAAACACAAGAGGAGAGCTTACTAATGAAATAACAGAACCCGAACAAAACAATGGGTTTGATCTAATGAAGTCCCAAGTCCCAAGTCCCAGAAAAGAGAATCAAACCAAAGAATATATAAGTCCAGGAGGACAAAAAAAATGATAAAGAAAAGGAGAAAAAAACAGAGAATCAGCTTCGGAAGCGCACTATGGGGATGTGGACTGTCGTGTTGGGAATTTTATCGTAAGGGTGATCTGGTGTCTGGTCGGCAAATATATAAATGTTCTAACCAATGACCAAATGCGTTTTCGTGTTGTCTTTCGTTTTCTTCTCTATATTTCAGGAATTTTGGTTGAAGAGAAAGAAGAAGAAGAACGATGAAAAACTGTTGCGTGTGATAAATTTATTCTTTTTTCTCTCTTCTCTAATCTCTACCTTCTTTATTGCGCTCGTGGGATCATGTGTTGTGGCTCTTCTTGCTACATGCAATGGCGAGTCCTTTATTTTTAAATTCGATATTGACCCCAATTGGCTCTCGGCAATTTTTGTCTTTATTTCTAAATTCTTTTTCAGTCAACTTTTTCAATTATTATTGCAGCCATGGACACAGTTTGACTGTTGATATGTAGCATACATCTAACCCTGATAAGTGTTGTTTGGGAGAGGAAAAATAAAAAATAAAAAATAAAAAATTCCCAACTTAATTCAAATTAATAAGTATTAATAAATTGTTTTGAACATCAAATCGTACATAAACCTGAAAAGACACGATTAGGAGCAAAAATGTACATAAACACCCGTACAGAGATTAAAATGAACTTTCTTTTTTTTTTTTTTTTGTTTTTCATTCTCAAAATGGGGTGTTTCAGACATTTTTCCTTTTGGCCTTATTATTGCTTGCTCTAAAGACTAAAGTAAAGCCATTTGTCAAGTGTTAACTAGAAAAGAGGTAAAGAGGACTAATAAACTCTTTCATTTAAATGTCAACTTTGATTGATTTCTTTACATTTCCTCTTGTGGATAGTAAAGCATTGATTCCGTAATCTCTTACACATTTGTGGATTTCATGGAGAGAGAAATTGCATTTATAGATAGAATAAAGAAAGGATTAGGATAACAAGTAGTAAAAGATTACCCCCTTGATCCCATTGCTAAAACAGCATAGTCAAACCACAAATCATACATTCACAAAATAAATTTATCTTTACACTTAAAAAAAAAAAACTAAAAATGCAAGATGATAAAGTATGTTTTGTAACGTGTGGTCCTTTTGGATTCATTTGCGGCTTTCTCTTCATAAGCGTGTACCCTTGCTATAAACATACAATTCTCAACTTTTTAGTTGGTCGAATTAAGATCACTTGAAAGTCTCTGGAATACTCCAGAAAGAATGAGGATTGAATTAATACTAATATACAGCTGGTGTACGTAGTTGTTAATCATTAAATGAAGGGGGAAAATCTATGATAACAACTAACAAGTGATTTTACTTCTGTGGAAGTGTAGGTTTGGTATTAATTATGCAAAATTAGTGAAGAGAACTGAACCAGCAGTCATGTTGCAAACGGTCCAGATAGACACGTTTAAAGGTTAAGGCTCCGGCGCTTCAAAACCGTAAATTAGCCGGAATTGCATTCCACAATCCATTGCCAAAAGTATCAGTCCCATATATACATCATCATACCCTAAAACTTCAACTTGTCATCTATGCCAAAAATTACTCGCCCCAATATACACATCATACCCAGAGTTCTACCCATCATTTCTCATGATCTTATGAATACTTTGTTAATCATATCCTTCAAATTCTTACACCCAACAATCTGAAGCTCCCCAAGATCCAGAGTCGACAAAAATTTCACATCTGATGCCGGAACAATACACTTCTTATAACCCAACTTCACCAGTGTATTAACCCTTTTCTCCATTCTTGGTACCTGCATGGACACCGCAAAAAAACTCACCACAGCAGCAAAGAAGAATGCTTTTGCATTCAGCTTAAAGCTTAGTTATCAACGATGCATCATGGGTTCTGGAGCAGTACTTTTTATTAATGTCAAAATACTGCTTTAAGTCAGTGTGGAAAAAAGGCAGTAAAAGCAGTACTTCAGCTTTAACCATCATTCACATCGATTATACAGATTGATGAAAGCTAAGAAGTTTCATACCGTACGTAACTCCCCAGCAAGGCCAACTTCTCCAATGAATGCAACCCCCTTCGGAATAGGATATTCCAAGTGACTGGAAGAGTACAAAGAAGCAAGAAAGAGTGATACACATACAACACATCAATCAATTAAAGCCTAAAAGAAACTTCAAGCAAAACACTAAATGTAGGATGTGCAGCACCGGAACATGATTTCAGCTACGTTTTTTACAATTCGCACAAAAATTAACCCAACGACTACCTCTGTAAACAAATAAGCACAACACCATAATAACAACGTACAGACAAATGCACAAAAACTTTAATCACGTATCCATTAAATATCTAAGATTTACAACAAACTCCCTGAAAGAGACAAAAACCATTTGCTCAGCCAACAGTCTTAGACTCAATTTCTATACCAAGCGTCACATGGACAGAAAGAAGCAAAAAAGGACTCCCAAAATATATCTATATGCCGTTGCATCTGAAGAAAAATAAAAATCTTGGATGTTAACTTGTATTACCTGCTGCAAATTGCAGCAGCAACGGCAAGATCTCCGGCAGTCTCTGATACCTTAGCACCACTCAAAACATTGATAAAAAGTGCCTACAATTGACAGCAAGAAGTTAAGGAGATATAAAAACTGTTCAGCAAGAGATGTGCACAGTAAAAGTTCTATGTCATGAAGTTTGGTATCGTTAACCCAGCACAGCCATTTGGACTATATTGTCCATGTAATCTCAGCTCCGGTTTCATTCTTACACCCTCGCTATGTCTCCTTAACCCTTTTAGGTCATAGAATCTTCAAAACCATACATAAACTACAGCAATTAACAAAAAAGTGTTCTAATAATGACAGATTGACATTTTGTAAATACTTTATTTAATCTACTTTTCCTTCAAAAACAAACAAAACTCAACTGCAGAAGGCATTTCATCTTACAGTCAAGATCATGCCAAAAAGATATACAAATAATAAAATAAAATTCTTACATCCACACATTATGATCATTTGCCCACAAAAGTTCACAGCAGTCCTCCAAATTCAACTGCCATAATGTTATCTTATAGCTACCAGAGCATATTTACATTCCAGAATGAGAAAAGACATACTTTAAGAAAGAATAGCAGAGACAAAAAAATATAACATCCATGAAAGGCAACTTCCTTTAATCAACTTAATTAAATTAGATCCAGAAAGATGCTTACATCCTGTTGCAGCTTTATTCCAGCTTGTTTCATAAGAACCTACAGCAGGACAGTGAAGCTAAATTAAATGCAATACCCTTCATGTCAATTCAGCATGCACCTTCAGTTTAAAGAAGCTACAGATCGCTTACGGCAGCTATCATCTCGGCTTTGCTCCCATGAACACCATTTAATTGTCTTGTGAATGAACCCGATACGCACAATGCCTGCCAACAAAGATAAAAATCCATAATCATAACAGTCAAAATGATCGAGTTAAACTAAGACTCTCAAACTAGAATTAACACTGGTACTACACGTTTATAAAAAATTAAACATAACACCATGCAAATAATAAATGGGATTAGCAAACCCTTTGCATGATGATTACACTTAAAGAAGGCAAATCATAATTGGAAAACAAAACATCGCAATTCTTTCTGTTTAAAAAAATAAAAATAAAAATCTTTTAAAATGTTTACCTTGAAAAGCACACCAATTCTTTAGCCTACGCAAGCACCAATCAAATTTATGTTTACAGTGTTAAGTCAGAAACTCAAGAAGAACACAAACAGAAGATCATAAGCCATTTACAATGTTCGCTGAAATTAAAAATCCATGCTTTAATTTCAAGTTAATAAACCTAAGCAGAGCATGCCTACAGCGGAAATATACATCAAGATCAACTCTAATCTGCTAAGGTATACCTGAATCTCAATGAGAAAAGCCCGTGAGCCATCCATAACTACAGCCACAGCTAAACCGACTAAGAACTCTGAATCTGACTGCTCTTCACTCATAAATATCTCACTGGGATTAAAAACAGCTTGTAATCCAGATTGCGACATTTCAAAAACTCCAAGCTGACAGCAGAACAATTACTGGTTAACCCAAATATTTTAACAGAAATGGAAGATACCACAAGAGCAGAAATCATTTCAACAAAAAGTACCTGACCAGTTAATTTACAAACTTGAAAAGAAAACGGTGCAGTAAATCTAAATTTGTGGGTAGCCACATAAATGAATTCTACATAATCATATATAGAGTAGATGATTTCTAATACATGGAAACTGATAGTTACCTCATCCGTGGTTCCAAACCGATTCTTCACAGATCGAAGCAGACGATGAGAAGAAGATTTGTCCCCCTGAAAATTTAGTTTTTGTTAAGCTAAAGGCAGAGGGACATATATTCACAAAATCAAAAGCTTAAAGGCAGTAATCTACGCAAAAAGATAGGAAACAACAGAAAAGAAGAAAGTTGGCACTCTCCAATATGAGGTTCTATGACCAAATAAGAGTTGCTATCAATCTAAAATGTAGAGCTAGTTGACTAATGAGTAAAAGAAGCAAAACTCATTTTTCAGCACACTCAAGAATAAAGGTATAGCCTGGTCAGAGACAGCTTTTTGGCCTCATCCGGCATTACAATATTTATCCACAAACAATAAACACACAAGCGTAGATTCCATATTGATCAGAAAGATCTGAACCGAATACAATATCATATTAAGTTACATATTCTAGAAATTACAAAAGATTCTGAGCATCAGCGTAAAAAAACCTTCATCTAGCATAATGTGGAAAAAAGGAAAATGAACAAGCAGGTGGATCTTAAAAAGGGTAACATAAGATACAAATAGCCTACAGAGTAACAAATGCGGAGAAAAAAAGAATAAGGAAGATGCATCCACCTCCATATATAGCACAACATCAACAATATGCTCCAAAGCACGGGGTCCAGCTATATCTCCAGATTTAGTCACATGCCCAGCCTGAAAATAAAAGACATGCTGGTCATTAATGTAAACGTAAATCTGGCCACACGACAAATCAAATAGACTACTAACTGACAGACTTCAGAGCACAAATAATACTAAGCAAAGGCCTCAAATTTTTCTAATGTATTTTGTGCACTCCCTTCTGTTTGGAATTCAATGAGACTGCTTTTACTCTTTCATACCCCACATGTTTCTAATTTATTTTGTGTCTTTCTGTTCCATTTTGGATATCAATATGACTTACTTATCTTCTTTCATACTTACCAAAAGGATTGGGATGTTTGTCTTCTTAGCAAACCGCAGCAAGGCAGCAGTGCATTCTTTTACCTGACACATATAACCTCAATTATAGAAACTTTTTTTGATAAGAAGAAAGGATATAAAGCATCTTACATTGAAATGGCTAAAATGTGCATTAAAAAGGTCAACCAAAACATTTAACCAGTATTCAAAGCTTCTTTAGACCTTCAGGCAACAAAATAAAGCGCCACAGAAAGTTGTGAACCTGCGTTATGCTTCCTGCACTTCCAGTCACACCCTGCAGGTAAACTGTCTGAATCGAATCAACCACCAAGGCCCGAGGGGAAAGAGGTTGCGCCTTTGCTAACATGTCCTGAAAAGGGGGGAGTGGGTTAAAAGGCTTGTAAAGAAATCATAATTCAGAATAGTAATCTAAGATGGAAAATTATTCATTCACACCCTTTTGTCTTCTTATGTCAGGATGAATATTTTGGTAACTCGTAGCAGAAAACGTTTAAAAATACATATAACAATACTTGTATTAAACGAATACTCTTTTTAGAACTCAAGGACACAGAGGTTGGAGCCTATAGAACAGATCCGGTTCAAGTAAGGTCGTAAAAAAATCTCTCTTAATTTAAAGTGAACCGTGGTGATGTTGACTGATGACAGAGAATAAGTTCACATCAAAACATAATTAATGTTTAGGTGGGTAGCAGAGAGTCAGGAAGCAATTATATTCCACTTGAGGAGATTATGAAGTTGTTCAAGTATAACTGAAATCCAAAAGAAGAAGAAAAAACTGACCTCAATATCAGTACTTGAATACAAGAAAAGTTCTGTCGTCCCAATTTTCATGCGATCAGCTCTGTTCCCAACTTGTTCAATGCTCTACCATATAAACAACAAAATAAATCAATTCCCAAAAGATACAAATTGAAATAAGACATGTTATTCAAATTTTGATGTTAAATGAAGATGCATCACATTTTATAACCCCCAAAAGTTATATATATTTCCCAGCAAATAATTAAGGATATATATAATGCTACCTAAGCGCCATAACACTATCGTAACTTCTGAACTAAAGAAACAAAGAATTTACTCTGAATAGGTTTTATGATCTCATCCAGAGTAGAGGTGATTTAGACAAGCACTGACCTCTTCACCAGAGACATAAAGAACTGGAGCTGGCCCACCTGTATTGTGCCCTTCAGCCATTATTGCAGCAATCTTCCATTGTAAATCAAAAGTTCAATGTGAGCAAAACATTTAGAAAGCATAATACGTCGTGATTCAGTTTTAGAATGGCAAATAACCAAGAGAAATCTCACATGATAAACTCGACAAATTGCTTAAAGCAATACAATACCTGTAACATTAATGTGCTCTTTCCAACACCCGGATCACCCCCAACTAAAATCAAAGATCCTGATAGAGACATAATTTCAAAATTAAAAAAGGTGAACAAGTCCGCCTACAAGTGTTCCAGCAGTCAAAGATCGCCTTTCAGATACAAACATTAGTCAGAAAAATGACAACTGATGATCAAATTCAGGAGGCACAACATCCATGAAGGTATATAAAATAACTGCGGAATAAGGCAAAAATGTTTTTAAGGATGTAAACATCTAGCAGAATTGCAGAACTAATAATTTATAACTTTCACACACGCATGGTTTCATTTACCTATATGAGAAAATGGAACCCTGAAAACTGTTTATGATGCAATCAAAATGGTTTGTGTCAGCTAATTATGGGTTGCACACACCATGATAGTACTCACAAAATTTGGTTTTAGTTCATCAAGATGGCTGGTAATATATCTTCAATTAGTTGTCATGTTCATGTGTATTTAACCATTGCACATTGAAGAAAACAGGCATTCTAGGATTTGCACCCTCTTCAAAATAACGCTTAGTCACGATTTACAATTACAATACAGTCAAGGAGCCACTCAAGCTCTTCTGCGTGACTTCAGAGGAAAGATGGAAGAAATGATAATAAATATAAATCAATGTCACCAACAAGACACATAACTAATTCCCCAGTGAACACAGAAAATTTTCAGGATTCAAAATTTAGACAAGCAGACGGCATAGAACCAAAACTTTGTAAAGGCTGCAAACCTGGCACAACACCACCACCAAGCACCCTTCCAACTTCAGCTCCAAATAGTCCAGACCTATATATTATTGATGATGAGTTTAGATTTGATGGCCTCCATACACCCACACCAGTTCAGAGGAATGGAGGTGGCAAGGAAACAGATTTAATGTAATATGTTCTATAGGAAACAACACTACCAAGTGTCCTTCCAACTTCAGTCCAAACAGTCCAAGATTATATATATTGTGCTCTGTGTGTCTATTAATGAGTATTATACATTGACCTATCATAACTTAGCTGCAAACACCATGATTATCTTCAGTTTTCCATAAGACAACCAGTAATCAACTAATCAAACAAGTTAATGGCTGCCACTATTCATACAGACGGTTAAACAGAACCTAAGTTTCCCTAAATATGTCAGCACCTGACACATGGAAATTCGAAAACATAGAAAAGCCAAACAGCAATATATAAACCGAACAAACACATTACACAAGGAGTGTCATTTGGATCAGAAAGTAGTAGCCCAGTAATAGAGATCTTAACACACATAACCAAAAAGTCAATTCAATTTGTTTAAGAAATAATTAGCCCATCACAAACTCCTAGATTACTGGAATTAGTTCCTTTCATTACCACTCATCCAGCACCACAACAACATGTTAAAACCCAATTTCCAAAGCCACAGCTAAACACATAATCATGCATAAGTCATTTTGCACCTGTTTTACTCTAATGAGCCAAACACCAATGCAATAGCAAACCAAAATTGCAACAAGTTAAGCAAACAACTGAGATCCACCTCACACAAACAAGCAAGGAAATTAAACTTACAGCGGAATTCGCCAATCCGTTGGGCTGATTGCTCTATTCACATCGGAGAGCCTAATAGGAACACCAGCATCAGTAGAACTCTGACCCAGCCAAGTCCGCGCTATATTCTCCGAGACCTTAATCCCACTCACTTTAGCTCCACCGTCAGTACTCTCTGCTTCTCCAACAGAAAAACGCTTCATAGTACCTGCCATCTTGCAAGAAGGACAACTCCCCCACCACTGACCATTCGAGTTGCCACAACTAGAGCACACCCAAACAGCCTTACTCTTCCCCTTCTTATTTGCCTTCCCAATAATATCCCCATAAACCCTAGACCCCCCGACCTCGTAATTCGACAAACCATTACTACCACTGTTGTCATCACTATCCTCGCTGCTACTGCCTTTTCCCTTCCGATATCTTACAGCCCTCGTCCTCACACTCCCGGACATCGGGTCGTAAAAAGTCTCCACGTTACTGTCATCGTTGAGGCTTCCCGAAGTCGAAAGGGAGTTTACGGACTCCAAATCGGACTTCCAGCCGGCGGAAAGATCAATTGCTTCGGCAGCATGTTCAGAGCATCTGAGGGCAACCGAGGAGTGATATTGGCGGGAAAATGAAGGGGTTTGGGGGTATTTTACAGATAGGAAACGGATGGCACGCATCGATTCCTTCCGAAAGGATAGAGCGACGAGATCATTCGTGGCTTGATACAGCTTGCAGAGCAACCTCATATCTGCAGCTTGCATGAGTCAGTAGCAAGAGATGGAGATGGGGGAAAAACTTTATTAGGGTTTCAACAGCATGGCGAAGTGGGCAAATTTTGATTCACAATTTGGGGGGCAAGTTCGAAAAACTTGTCCGCCACACTGACTGAGGCCTGTGGCGCTATGAGAGGCAAATACGACGTCGTCCGGGTGTTCTAGGTTTTCTGGCATGGAGGGGAGTTCTGATTTTGGAGACCGTTCCCGGGAATTTTGAAAACTGTTTTGTGCCACGACGACCGAAATAATTTGGGTCATTTACAGTATCTACCCATAACTTCTTAGAAACCTGCCAAATGAACCCCCAACGTTTTAGATCAAATGATTTCGTTGAAAACTCTTGAATGACTTATGACGCAGAACAAAATTTGACTTCCAAATGCAATAATCTCAGAACAATGTCCCTGAACTATATTTGACTTCGCGATCAATATTGCTTTTAGTTGAATGGTAAGTCCAAAATACTTGTTTCACTTCGACGTAACTTAATCAAAGGATAGAGATTGAGGGATAGAAATTCATTTATAGATTGGCTGTGAGAATCATGTCACGAACATGAAGTAATTTTAAATATATAGATATTGAGTAATCTTAAATACTTAGGTAAAGAATACTTTATAATGGCGAGAACCTAGTCTTTTATTATCTTTTATTTTAATTTTTTAAATTATAGTAATTAAAATTTTACCAATTCTACTCAAAGACTTCAAGTAATTCGCTAGGGATGAGACTCTACTATTGTTTTTCCAATTTGGAGAAACAATATTTTGAATCTCATCGATGTAAATGTAATAAACAAGGTTATTTCGGTCTTGTTTGGCCAACCTTTTGGTTTGCCTTTTGTCTTATTTTACCTCTTAAAACACATCTCAAACACAAAACACAATACTACCCAAACAATTTTTTTATTTACTTTTTTAAAATTATTATTTTTACATAATTTTTATCCACAACCACCGGACGCCGCCGACAGTCACGAGTTGGCCGAAATCCGGCTGCAGTCGCCTGCCGACGGTAGTCCAGTGGCGGCAATGGGTGGTCTGGCTGCGGCTTTGATGGTGGAGGTGGTCTGGTGGTGGTGTAAAAATACTACTCCCTCTGTCCCATAATTATTGTCCAGTTTGGGTTTTCACTTTTAGTTCAAATTGTACTAAAAATGAAATCTCAAACTGGACAATAATTTTGGGACAGAGAGAGTATTATTTTATTTAAAATACTACCCAAACAACTTTTTAAATTTTATCTCAAACCACATTTTAAATTACATCTCAAACTCAAAACAAAAACTAAACCAAAAACTAAAACAAACAATTGTCCAAACAAGCCCGAACTTATTTACTGCGAAACTTTGAAACTCATGGACATATCCACTGAGCTAGTAACAGCACCGCGGGTCCGTGCTACTTTGGATCAAAATTTTTAATTTTGTGCTTCGTCAACTTATTCACCAGGTTAAGATAGCGACGAACAAGTCAACGTGAGCCGTGAGTAAAGTATATTGAACGTCATCGACTTGATCATCAGGTTCTACAAGCGACGAACAAGTCGACACGCGTATTTTGAATCATAATTTTGAAGCCCGTCGACTTATTCATGGAGACAAGAAACGCGACGAACAAGTCAACGCAAGTATTTGTATCATAATTTTTGAACCGAAGTCAACTTGTTTGTCGAGAAGGTACGTGACAAACTAGTCTACTGGAGTATTTGTATCGTAAATTTCGAGCAATTTATTGATCCCGAACAATCGAAGCATAGAACGATGAATGACGAGAGTTCATTATATATTGGCGTTGGCGTTGTCTACTTTGTCTTTGATACTTGTATGTTCAATTAAATAAGCAGCAGTTGGTGAGGTGGGTGTGTGTGTGTGTGTGTGTGGGGGTGTGGGGGTTGGCGGCATGCCTGAAGCATGAATGTTGTCTCGATCCCTGCTGGCTATCTTATATTTAGATGTATAACCACATGGATAATCCTTATGGCTAATCCTTGAAATCCATCGACTTATTTGTCGAGATAGAATAGGCGACGAGAAAGCCGGTGAAATTTTTTGTATCATGATTTGCAAGTCGTCGAATTCTTTGTTGGTATCATAATTTGCAAGCTTCGACTTTTTTTTTTAATCAATATTGGGTGGGCACTGAACAAGCCGATGTAGGTTTTTGTATCATATTTTCACCGGCCGTCGAATTGTTTTTTTTTAAGGTGAAAGTATTTATTATTGTTTCGATCTTGGAAAAAATAGCTCATTATTAAATTTTTATGATTTGTATTATTTAGTAGGGAAAAAAAAATTGAATCTCATCGACGTATTCATTTGGCTAGAAATATTGACAAACAGGTTGAGCCGGTGCCTGTTTAAATAAAAATTTTTAATTCATCTTCTTGTTCATCGAGTTTAGAATGCGACGAACAAGTCCACGCAGTAACTGAGTACATTATTTTGAAAGGCGTCGACTTGGTCATCAGGCTGTTAAAGGCGACCAATAAGTCGACGCGGATAATTGAATCATAATTTTGTAATCCATCGAGTTTTTTGTCGAGATAATAAAGTCGACGAATAAGTCGACGCTGGTATATGTATAATGATTTTGCATTTTGTCGACTCATTTGTCGGGGGTAGGATAGACAACACACGAGTGATCGCAAGTATTTGTATCATTATTTTTCTACCCATCGACTTATTGTTGAGTTAGAAAAAACGACAGATAAGTTAATAAGGTAAATGATTGGTATATACGAGAGCCGTTATAGGTCTGCTGCTTATACTTGTCTTGTTTGATACTTGACGTTGATGCAGATCAAGCTGCAATAGTAGAAGAAGGAGGAGAAGAAGAAGTTGTTTTCTTATCCGCCATACCTGCTGCATTGGGGCTTTTTGATTGGAGCATGAATGAATTAACCTGTCTCATCCTTTACGGCTTTCATATATTCTGGCATAAGAATCACATGGCTAATTGTTATGGCCAATTTCCATCTCCATAATTGATTGTACAAATGGTCCAGTCCTGCAATCTGGACTTTCCTGATAATTTTTGTCTTCTCGTTTAGGGATGATGAAAATCACACAAATAGTAAAGAAATTATCTGTTCATAATGCGGAAAAAAAAAAAATCCACACCAAAATGAAAAAGGGTAAAAATAATGTCCACCACAACGCAGTTCAGTGAATGGGTATTCAAGTCATTTGTCGGAAGAAAAGTAAAATGGCTCTGTCGGTAGGATTGAATTAATCATAACCATATTCTTAGTTACCATCCTAACAGTCTAGGATTGATATTAATCATAACCATATTTACCTCCGTTTTAAAATATCTTGTTCGCTTAATCATTTTGAATCTGCTTATACAAATCACCATAATTTTTCAATTTTCAATTACTCTGAAAATATGTTAGCCTTTGATGATATCTTTTAATGGGTAGCCCAAGGGAGCAAGATACTTGGACACTTTTTGCATTTTAATCATTTCACAAATTGACAGGTACGTACCGAATGAATTATCACGGTCAAAGTATGTCTTTTATAGCTTGGATTTTCTGCGGCGATTTTTTTCATTTTCTTTCTATTTTTTCTGTACTGTTTATTAACACAAATGTGTGACACACCAAGTCACCCATACCAATTGGATATTATTGTCCAGAAAAAACAACACATATCAATATTTTAATGATGTGGGGTTATACATAAAAGAATTATTGTTAAAAAAAAAACTAACAAATACCAATATTTCAGTGATGTGGGTGGGGTAATACATACTACCTCATTTTGCTTTTTATTCGTTGTTTCAGAGTTTGCATAGTTATAGTTATTAAGAAAACAATGATTGATTCTTTAATTTTTAAGTGTAATTAAAACTATCTAAACTCTACAAAATTTTGAAATTAGAGTATAAAAAAGAGATAATTGTCATTAATATTGTATGTTATTAAAAGTAGAGAGAAACAAGGGATGAAAGTGAATGCTACGAATAAAAACAAAATTGACTCTAATGCGACAGATAAATAAATAGAGTTAGTAAAAAAATTAGATAAATCTTTTTGTACTATATAGTTCATTATTGTTTAACTTCCGATGCAGTCATTTTGAAATAGATAAAGTAATAATGAACATTAAAAGTAAAAAAATAAAAATTAAAAATTAAACTAGTCATTCATTTCGAAGGGTCTAAATTTTTTCCTCCACAAAAAGAGTATGATATGGTGAGCCAAATTATAGCACATATAATTGTGGGATGGAGGAGGGCAGGTGAATTCCATCTATATATACAAAGCATAAAACGCGAGTTTGCTCTGTTTTCCCCTGTTTCTGCTTTCTTCCACAATTCAACAAAATCACCATAATGAGAACCTCAATTCTTTTGTTCCTCCTTCTTGCACTAGCAGTAACCTCCCAAGCAACATGCACCAATGATAAGAACCCATCAATCCGCAGCCTAACCGACAAAACCTACTCATATGGAGAAGAAATCGCAACTCCAATCCATCTCCTCCGGCCAAAATCCGGGTTAGCCGGCCGGAAAGTCCCGCAAACCGACTGCCTGAGCTGGCGTCTGGCGGTGGAAACCAACAACATTCGTGACTGGCATTTGGTGCCCATGTCTTGTGAACAGTACGTCGGACATTACATTTTGGGGAAGCAGTACAAGGACGACTGTGATGCCGTGGCCGACGCTGCGATTGAGTATGCTAAGAGCATCAAACTTGGTGGAAAAGGCAAGGAAATTTGGGTGTTTGATATTGATGAAACCACACTCTCTAATCTGCCTTACTACGCTAGATCTGACGTCCAATTTGGGTACGTACTTGATTAAATTTATAATATAGATCTCTCCGTTCCGAAATTAGAGTTCAGGCTCCATCCTAGAAAAATACTCCTCCGTCCCGGAATTATTATTCTAAATTTTCAATTTTAGTTTAAATTATACTGAAAATAAAATCTCAAACTGAATAATAATTTTAGGACAGAGTGATTATATTTTTTTTTAAGTATCAGTTATCTGGGCTTGTTTGATTTGTACTCATGTTGTTGAATACAATACTGATATTCTTCTTCTTCTTGTTTCAGGGCACTGCCATATAATGATACAAAGTTTAATGAGTGGGTGGCAACAGGAAAAGCACCAGCCATTCCGGCAATTCTTCGTTTATACAAAACTCTGTTAACTCTTGGTATCAAACCGGTCTTCTTGTCAGGGACTAAAGAGGTTTATCAACAAGTCAGGGTTGACAATCTACACAAAGTCGGTTATTACAATTGGGAGAAGCTCATCCTCAAGTAATTCTCACTAAAACCCTTTTCAATTTCTCTTTTTTTTTTCCCCTTTAAACTATTTTTAGTTTTACCGATTTATGAAAGGGCAAATTATCGATGAAGCACTAGATTGATAAGTAATAACCAAATTAACAAAGGGAAGGTAATTGAGACTATTTGTGTGAAAAAATGTTGGCTTTAATTGTAGGGGGAAAAATGAGAAAGGTTCTGCCGTGGAATACAAATCAAGCAAGAGGACAGAGCTAGTGGAGGCAGGGTACATAATTGTTGGTAACATTGGAGATCAATGGAGTGATTTGCTGGGGACCAATGTTGGGGCTCGAACTTTCAAAGTACCTGACCCTTTGTATTTCATTGGTTGATGAATTTGGAAATTTATTAAGTTTCTCTTTCTGATCGCCATTCTATATTTATCAATAAGGCCGTGGTGATTATGTACTAGTAACTACTTTCTTTAGCTGAGATGCTGAATAAAGTGTTTTAAGTTGTGGTTAGTGGCATCATGGTTGACTTGCGACAGTAATATTTTTGAAAAATCACTGACAAAATGTCATACTAATTCCATAACTTCGATTCATATTTGAGGAAGAGCCAATATTAACTCTTCAATAGCCCATTAGATGCTCACTAATTAAACTCCGCTGCATAACAAGAGCTCCGTCGACCGGAATTCATTGCCAGTCACATCGATTGGAACCAGCTTTCAGTATCCATGAACAATGGGAATTTTGAAATTAACTTTGAAAATAAAATGTTAATTTCACACTAATTTGTAAGGTGCAACAACTTCGTTATTTATGTATAGAAGGCAGTGTGGGCTAGTTTGAAATCCATGTATATAGCCAGAGTTGGCAATTCGAATTAACTTTATCACCAATGTACATATATTATATTAGTAGTATATAGTCATATTAGATACACTACACCTAGTTTAACTATTTCATTAATTCACTAAACAATAATATTTTCACGGGATATACCAAGGGAAAATTCGTTTGTGTGTGTGCTTTTTAATCTTAAAAAATGTCATATTCCTGCACCACTTTCTGATGAAAACTTTATGTCTTGAACTGCATTGACAGGAAAAAAAGATGCCAAAATTTCACCATTTCAAAAAATAAATAAATAAATAAATAAATAAAAAATAAAATTCTCCAACTATGTAACATCACATGGACAAAATATTTAATCATTAAACTTTACAAAAATGCATCGCTCTAAAAATGAAGGCAAATAGTAACCAGACGCTAGCTGTACAGTAGTAACCAAATTACTGGGTAACACCAACAACATGATTCCAAATAACCACAGTTCAATTTTCTCAGAAGATATGCCAGTAAATTAAATAATTAAAATTACCTCCAATTTGTAATATTTTATTATATATTCCTTTCAAACATACCACCACACTATTTTCATTCATAATTTCCTATGCTCCAGAATCCTCTCTGTACTCTATATAAATCAACCCCATAGTTGTCTAGTTTACTCCATTAGTCTCATCTTTCATTTTTTTTTTTTTCCAACATTAAGTCAAACATCATTTATGGCAAAGCCAGTTCTCTTATTTCTTCTTAGCCTAGTAGTAACCTCCCATGCAACATGTCCTAGGGACTCAAACAACGTTCGTAACCAAGAAAACCAAATCCATCTCCTCCGGCCGATAACCGGGGCGGCCGGCCGGAATATCCCGGAAATCGACTGCCTCAGCTGGCGCCTGGCGGTGGAAACCTACAACCTCCGCAACTGGGGTATGCTGCCGAGCTCTTGCGAAGATTACGTCGGACATTACATGCTCGGAAAACAGTACCGGAAGGATTGTGAAGCCGTGGCCGACGTTGCGATTGAGTATGCTAAGAGCCTTAAACTGAGTGGAAATGGCAAAGAAATTTGGGTGTTTGACATTGATGAAACAACGCTCTCTAATCTTCCTTACTATGCTCGATCCGACGTCCAATTTGGGTACGTAAGAAATCCACAATTAGTAATTTATTAGAATTATTAATTCCATCAAAAAAGTTGTTTTGATTTTTAGTGGCCACTTATTTGGCACTTTTGCATTGTGCAGTATTTGACTTTGTTTCAATCAATATATATACATATATTTTTGAGTGACAGATTAGTCGGATTACCTTTTAATTGTGATTGTGTCACAATTTAAAAAGGAGGGAGTTGACTATCCATTTTGCGGATTAAAGTGCCATTATTTATTTATTTAATCAGTTCATTCCTCTTTCTTGTTTAATTTGATATACTCTACATTTGGTTTTTGTCATACGTTGGTCATATGATGATCTAACCTTACCGATGACTCTAAATAATTGATTACATATACACTTAAAAATGAAAATTCAAATTTGATAATAATTTTGGAACAGAGAAAATATGTAAAACGATTTTTTTGACCAAATTTTGTATTTGGAAATGGCTTCAGGGCACTTCCATATAACGCCACACGATTTGACGAGTGGGTGGCTACCGGAGATGCGCCCGCAGTTCCGGCAGTTCTTCGTCTATACAAGACGGTGTTAGCTCTTGGGATCAAGCCGGTGTTCTTATCAGGGACAAAAGAAAAACTCAGGCAAAGTAGGATCTCCAATCTAAACAAAGCCGGTTATCGCAAATGGGAGAAGCTTATCCTCAAGTAATAACAACCAAAACCCAATATTCAGTAAATGATCGATCAACAACCAGAATTTAGTTGAATTTGAAGTTTTAAAATTAATTAGTTCTTCTAATATTTTTGATTGCAGGGGACAAAATGAACCTCATTCATCAGTGGAATACAAATCCAACAAGAGGACAGAGCTAGTGGAAGCTGGATACATAATTGTTGGAAATATTGGAGATCAATGGAGTGATTTGATAGGGACAAATGTTGGCAATAGGACTTTCAAAGTACCAGATCCAATGTATTTCATTAGCTGAAAAGTTATTAGGGACTCCCCCCCGCGACTAATGTGATGCCATTTTACACTTAATTAATAAGCAGCTTTGTTTTCCCAAAAAAAAAAAAAGCATCTGGAGCTTGCCATGTATGATGTACCTCATATCATTTGGTGAACTATGCTGAATAAAAAAGAAATTCATCGAATTATTTTGATTTAACAAATACGACTCTTTTTTGGGAGACGGAGTGACCAGATTGGCCATATTTGCTGCTAAATGGGATGATGATTTTAGGCTTTGGATAGGCTTTATAATTGCTACCGAATTTGGGTTGATTCTGTTGTGGAATCTTTGTGGTGGAAGAAGATTTGGAAGCAAAAAATGCATCATGGTAGAAAGATAATGGAAGGCAGAAAAGCACAATGACTACTAATGGATGTTGAGTCAGTACATCCTCAGTGAAATGAATGCTCTTTGCAGCTCCCCACAACTGCCATCCCCATAGCCAGAAATGGACACTAGAACTGAAAATTTGTGCATGTTTTTGTCCGGGAAATAATCACAGCAGTATTACCCATAATTTAAGGTTCCAAGTCACTTAATGGGAAGTCATACATACACCTTAAGGGCGATCACTCCACAACTTTCACTCAAACAATGGGGATTTATTTTTTTTAAAAAAAAAAATTAAAAAAAAAAAAGGATAGAAGGGATAAGTAAATAAGGAAAATTGAACTCCCCAAATCTTCCAGAAAATGGGCTTGGAATGCTTTCCGGAGTCGAAGAATCCATTTTTCACCATTTCTTGTAGCAGAAATCTATCAAACCTGATACAGAGTCTGATCCAGAAACACATGATTCAAATAGCTGAACTGTAAGATGGAACGAAACAAACTAAACACTGAAGCCTCAATCTGTGTTGTTACGCTTCACCTACAGCCAGAGATATGGTTGATCCTGATCCTTTAATTGAGCTACTTCAATGTTCTCCTGTGAGACTTCCTTTAACCAAAGACAGTAACTTCTAAGAAATCGTTCCCCATTTCCTGCTGTTCTTCAAGAATTTCCCTGGCTGATCTCGAGGCTTGGAAACACCAACGCATGTCAATCTTCTTCAAGGTAGGAATGTATCCCAAGCCAGATGGAATCCCACCAAGGCTGTAGCAATCTTTTACTATAAGTCGTTCAAGGTTGGGAAACGGCTCATGTTTCACAGTCCATTCTTGAATGTCTAACTGCCGGAGTTCCAAGGACTTTAGGTTTATGAATTCACCATCTTCCACATCCCAGCTTCTTCCTGAAAATGCTCGCGATCTTAGCTTGAGAACCTCGAGATTAGGCAACTGCCCAATTATCGATATTGCATTCCATGGCAGGGAAAACCTTCCCAGTGTCAATCTTCTGAGACTACTGGGGAAATCAAAAGCTGGGAACTGATCGTGATTCTCACCAAAGAATACAATGCCATAGCTATACACTTTGAGTGCTTCGAGACCAGTCAGGCGGCTCAGTTCTGGAAACTTATAAGGATCATTAGAGCAACGTCTCTCAAGAAAATTGCACTTAAGCTTTCGAAGCCCGGGCAACCTTCTAAGTAGTTCTTTTGTGTCATCTCCTGAATTAAGATGTGGTGTTGAGAAAATGTCCAAATGCTCTAACTGACCGTATTCATGATCCTCAAGACCATATAGCCACAACTCGGGAACATATACTTGTCTCAAGCTTTTCATCTGCCAAAAGATACTTGGAAGAGGAATTTCAGCAGCAGAACCCTTCACAATTAAGGTTTCCAGACTCCACAGATTGGCAATGGATGGTGGAAGTGCTGTAGCATGGCAGTGGATTGCAAGGTATCTCAAATGAACCATTAATGTTACTTCTTCTGGAAAAGGACCATCTATTACAATGTACTCCAAGTCCAACACATTAAGAAGCTTAAAGCAGTTAAAAATGGTAGAGGGGGATGGAAATACTTGCCATGCTCCAATGTCATGCACAAGAACTAAAGAATGGACAAATGGACCTGCAGGTTTAATATCGATAAACTTCGTCCATTCAGAATGAATAAACAAGCGATAGTTCTCATACTTCCTGGGATACGGGGAAGAATGAGAAACATCGCTGTCATGCACACGAAATAGAAAGTTATCCTCTTGAATTTTCGCCAAGCACAGCTCGTGTATAAGATCATGTACACGACATGCCTTTATGCCACCGTTGGAACTTCTCTCGGAAAGGATTACTAAACTTCGACTGATAAGATCAGACAAGCACTCCTCTGCCACTTCATATGAGCTCTTTGTGTCACTTCTTGGTATTAGACCTTCTGCAATCCACAAGCTCATCAGCTTTCGGGCTTTAACAAGTCTATCCTCTGGAAATGCACCGAAATAGAGGAAGCAAGGTTTCAAAATATCTGGTAAGTGCTTGTAACTTAGCTCGAGTGCATCCATGCACCCTTCGCTAACAACTTGTGAACTTGTGCTCTCTTCAATTTGCCTCCAGAATGCTTTATCCTTGCCTGATAGGATACCTGCAACCAAAACCACGGCTAAAGGCAGCCCCTTACAGTTTTTGGCAATGTTTTTACCTATTTCTGATAGTTCACCATCAGGGGGGGAACAATCCTCATGGAATAGCTTCCCTTGTAGTAACTCCCAGCTCTCCTCATCAGAAAGTGACCGGAGAGGATGGGGACTGCAATTCAGCTTTGCTTGTGAAACCAAATTATGGATCCGGCTAGTAAATATGATTCGACTTCCATTGTTGTCATCTGGAAATGAATCTTTTATGCAATCCCATGCTTCAATGTTCCAAATGTCATCTAAAACAACGAGATACTTTTGTTGCTTCAAACTTTTCCTGAGCGTTTCAGCCAAATCATCATCAGTACTGCTGGGGTCAGATTCACGAGCATCAACACCAGTGACATCAGTTAAAATATCCAAGTACAACTCCCTACGCTTATATACTTGGGAAACACAAGACCATGCACGTCTATTGAAGAAATATTTAATAGATGGATCATGGTACACTTTTTTTGCTATGGTGGTCTTGCCAAGGCCAGGCATGCCTACAATGGAGACAATGTCAAGTTGGGTTGTTCCTCTTTTAAGTTTCTCAATTATAGTCTTTGTCTCATCTCTCCAACCCACCACAGCATCAAGACTTGAAGGATATACTTGCCTCATTGGGAGAAGACCAAAACTTGTGACCGTCCTAGACATTCTCACTTCGCTTATTCGATTGCTACACTTCTTCAGCTTCATTTCAACTAGCTTAATCTCAAGTAGTACATCTGAAAGATGGAACAAATCATACCAAATAGGATGGTCTATGGTTAAACACGAGGTGATAACATGTTCTGCTAGAAACACAACATTGATGATTTGTCTCCAAAAATCTTTTAGGTCCCTTCTTTCTATCTGCAGCTCCATAATATCTTTGAAAAGTGGTTTAAAGGACAAAAGCTCCTTGTGGACAAGCATCATTTCATGCTTCGCAAAAGCAATTCTGTTGGGGTTCTTTTTCATCATTTCCTCCAAGTTATCCAAGAAGAAATTGATGAATCCCATACCATTTGTCATAGGGAAATTAAATTCTGATGATCTCAACACCGGGACATAAAGCGTTCTAATATCTGCCTTAACTTTCTCTATCTTTTCTTGGAGATCAGGACTATCCAGTACTACTAATTTGTCCATGCAAAATGAAGAAATGAGATGAAGTACCTCTGCTATGAGAAGGTCAACTTGTGTGAAAAGCCCATCTTCAGCGCTTGTCAAAGCTTCCTCTTTTGGATCCATCAAGAAGGCTATCATGAATATCAAACCCTGCTTGAGGATTTCAACATGATCCTTCAAAGGGACAACTAAACCTTCAAGTAGAAAATCGACAAACCTGATAACAATTTCACCGCTTTGAAACTTGTCAGATCTGGTTGACTTTGAAGCTTTCAGGAGTCGTACATACATCCAGATACTCTCTGGAGTGCAAGGCTTGAACTTCTGCAGTAGATGAAGAAACGTAGTTTCCAATCCTTGGGCAATCATTTCATCTTTCCCTTTCAACAAGAACAGCAAGGACATAAGTGCCACATCTTGCACTAAATCCTTCACATAATCCAAGAAATCTTCTAGCATTTTCTGGTCAGTGCATCTTTTAGCAGAGAAATCCACAAGGATTCTTAGGAAACTTAGCTTTTCGCCAAGAACCATGATTTGGTTCATTACCGGAAGAAAAAGATCAGCTTTAATGTTGGCAAGATCCTGGAAATTAGCAGAAAGGCAATTGATAAATTCCAAGATCTCATCACCTGAGCAAGAAAAGGACTTCAACGAGTCCAACAAAACAGCACTCAGTCTTTTGATCTCCGGTTCAAATTGCTCAAATTTGGTACACAAATCAGGAGCAATAGAATCCACATCAGCTTCTTTCAGTATAGCTTCAATACTAACAATTGCATTAGTCAAATTGATATCTTTATCAGCTCCCTCACACTTAGTCAGGCAGCTGATGAATATCTTCAGGAATCTCAACTCCTGTCTAAGAATTTCAGGAAAGCCAGGCTGAATATCTAACTGCCCAAGCGCATGAACAACAGAATCAACCCCAGTGGAACTGTGAGCCATTATAGTCTATATTTCACTCTTTGCTCTTTCTTTTCACGACAATATGTTCGCTGAGAAATTTTGAAAGTAAACTTTCCGAAGAAGTTCTGATTTTAGGGGTGCTAGATTGTTAACCCTCCATTAACATTAAGTACTCTCCCTTGTGTTTTTAATTAGTTTCTCAATTGGATCGGATACACTTTTCGTCCCCCAACTTTTAACGGTAATAAGATCAACTCACAATGAATTTTTAATTAGCAAAAACAATCCCCTAAAATATTTTTCTCGTCAATTTTAGTCAATTTAACAAAATTTTTGAAGACTTAACGGTTTTCTCCGTCAAATATTTAATTTTTATTATTTTATACTGATTGTGGGGCCCACTAGTTTGACCCAACAAAAAAATTTATTTTTCCTATTTCTTTAATTTAAAATTTAATATAATTAAAAAAATCAAAAAGCTTTTTTTATGGCTTCTGGATAGCATCTCCTTCTCCGGTCTTCTCCGATCATCCGGCCATGGAAAGCGAATTGGCAAAAGTGAAGAGGGAACTGAAAACCAAACGTTCAATGGTCTCCCTATGGCTTCTAGCCTTTATGTTTAGAGAATCGTAGGTTCCTTCTTCTTTAATTTTCTTTTTTTTAATTTTTGTCTCCGTTTTTTTTTGTCCCCCTAAATTTTATGTTTCTGATAACCCCTTCTGTTTTACAGGCTCACCAACGGCATCAATCGTGTGGATCTGATGTGTCGCAATGGATTCGAGAAGATCTACCCCATTTTCTCACCCCGCCGCCAATTGGATTTTGGAACACCTTGTCTGCTTCGCCGGTTTAGACGTCACCTATGTAGTCACTGAACACATCGATGGCCCCCTTCCGTTACACTGACAACGCCAACCCACCAGATGGAGAAAAAACATACCCGGGAATTCCGAGCTCGGCGGCGAGGCCATTTGTCCAACCCAGAAAAAAATTGAAAACAACAGCGGTCGGTGGAGAAGGGTGCGAATGGAATCACTGCTTAACTGGGTCGGAAAGTCGGGTTAAGGTTAACATCATAGCCCGGAACGCATCGTGGTATTTTCAACTCCGTCGGGGATTGAAGAGTGCGCCGGAAAAGGGTCTGAATAGATTGGTTTCCGTGAGGATTGGGGATAAGAGATGAAGGTTTTTTGGGGTGATTAATATGGTTATGTCAAGGCCACGATTGGAGAGTTGATGGGTGAAATTCAGAAGAGGCACCAGTGTCCCTGTGAAGGTTATGGAAAGATCAAGATGTGAGCTTTTGGCTGGTTCATCTTTTCTCTTGAAACACAAAATTTTTAATTTGTGGGGTTTATTTTTTTGGATTAAATGAAGGGAAGCTATGGGTTTATGCAAGTCTGGGAAACAAGGTGGAAGAAGAAGAAAACAAACAAAAATACTTTGGGTAGGTGTAAATGCGTGCATCAGAAAAAAAAAAAAAAAAAAGAAAAATGTAGAAGAAATACCATCTGAAATTGGATCATCAGCAACGTTGTTTTGAGTCAATTTCAATTCCCTTTACACTGATATCTGGTTAATGGTGTCGGCGGCGGCGGTTGATTCTGTTGCTGGGAAATTCATGGAGAAGAAAGGAAGTTCCAGAATTGAAAAAAGAAAAAATAAAATAAAGAAAGAAATAAAATGTTGGGAATTTGTTTTTTTTTCCGAACTGAAAAAGAAAAAATACAAAAATACTTTTTTTTTTTTGTTGGGTCAAAGGCATGGCCCCAAAAACAGTAAGAAATTATTAAAAAAAAAATAACAGAATAAGAGTTAGACCCGTTAAGTCATGAAAAACTCTGTTAAATAGATTAAGATTGATGAGAAAAATATTTTAGAGAACTATTTTTGTCGATTGAACATACATGATAACTTGATCTTACTACCCTCAAAAGTTGGAGGACTAGAAGTGCATTTTGTCCTTCTCAATTCCTTAGAGCTTAAAATAAAATAAAATCCCAGTTCGTATAATTAATGCCACTAACCTATCATTGGCTTGCTTGCATTGAACGTTCCAAATCATAAAATTATCAGAGGGAAAAAACCTGGCAAGGAGTGCCTGTCTAACCATAGCCTGACAAGTAATACATTTTATATTCTTCATCATCATCATCTATGCACATTTGTGAAAAAATAAAAAATAAAATAAAAAAATAAAAATTCAACCCAAGAGATCATTACTGTCTAGTATCAAATTTAACAGGTTGAAACTTATTCCTACTGATTTGAGATAAATGATCATGGTTCTGGACAAAGTTCAAGTAGCAGGCCGGAAAACATACCTCTCTTCCTGGGTTTCTTGAGCAGAAAAGTTTCCCATTGCATTCAAGTCTGCCAGAGCAGTAGCCGCCATATCAGTCACGTATCAAGGAAGATTTCCATCCACACTCAGAGCCATTTTCTTACAACTTAGGTAGCCAAAAAGTTTGCAATGTCAACACCCTTGGAGCCTTTTTGTTACAACACAGGATCATCATTTTCCCTTCTGTTTTACTGGATATATATAATGATGAGAACACCTTTCAAAAACCAAAAAGACGTCCCTGATTCCCTCTTCCTCCACAAATAATGTACTCCCTCCGTCCCATAATTATAATGTACTCCCTCCGTCCTATAATTATTGTTCAGTTTGAATTTTTATTGTTAGTTCAAATTGTACTATAAGTGAAATTTCAAACTGGACAATAATTTTGGGACAGGGAGTAGCCTTTACTACAGCCGTACTGCATTTGTATATTTGCATCAATTTCTCAGCCAGGATTGCTTCCTCCCCTCCGCTGTGGATCTTCACAAACAGTTCAAATTCCTACTATTTCTTCTCCTAAAAGAATGCCGCGTCTACATTCAATTACAGCATCCCTTCAGATGGGTGGGCATAATTCATTACGAGGAAGAGAAGGAATATTGAGATTCCGTGTGCCAGTTTGGAACGACGACGCTTGACGAGGAACTAGGGCAAAATTGAGTCAGGAGGGGGATATTTCAATACTGGGCCGTTAGCTTTATAAAAATTGGCCCCAATTTTAAAAAAAGATCCATATCAAAAGCCCATATCCCTATGTATTAAAACCAAATCCCCCAACAAACGAGTTGTCGTTACTTTGTCACAGCTCCAGCGGCCCGCCACCGCCACTCCCCCACCCAATTTCAGAGTTCCGAAACCGGAAATTTTACAGGAACTTATTCTTCTGTTGAAGGGTTTATTTTCTTCCCCTCTCCTGTTAATAAAGAGTTTACTAGGCACTTTCAGAAAAACAATGGCTTTCTTTAGAGGAGGGAGAGGAGGGCGTGGCGGCAGAAGCTTTTTCCATGCTAAGCCACGCTCTTTTGAACTGTTTCCGGTAATGTTTAGTTTCCTTTTTTTTTTTTTTCTTTCTTTTTGGTTTTCTGTTTTTACATTACATCTTCAGTTGTTTATCTCTCTTGCTTACTTATCTGCCAGTGCATCTCGATTCTGCTAGTGACCACGGGTTTTAACGAATTATGTAACTGGGTAGCGTGGTTTCTTTGTAAGAATAGGTATTCTTGATCTCAAAAATTGCTACTTGATTTAGCTAATGATTATGGGACTGGGTCAATTTAGTTACGTATAGAGAGCAATATGTTGAATAGCCGATCTCATGGTTGGATAAAGGCTAAGCTGTTCTTGTTGATACTGTGGGAAATAGTACATGAGTTCTTGGAATTCAAAAAAATTGGGCCTTATGTTTTATGATATACATTCTGTTATTGTCAAATGGTTGTAGGTCGACTTCAGAATATAATCACATTGGTTAGGCCCTGTTGCAAGTTTTTTTCCGTGGATATGTTTCTTATTTATTTATTTGAATTGTTTGGGGGGTTTACTGTTACTTTGGTGTTTATGTGTGCATAGCATCTAATGCTAAATGGTTTGTGTAAACCTTTTCTATTGTGTTACCGTAGGCCATTCCTGAACTAGGTACTGCAGCAGGTGTGAAACAGGATATTATGTTCGCCCGTCGGTATATGGTGTTAGAGAATAACTGGGCCACCTCTCCTTTCTATATTGGAGATGAGAGTGGAAGTTCAAAGAGTAAGTATTCAGAAGTTTCTAATTTGCCGGTGGGAAGGATGGTTTCTTGATGAACTAGTGTAATGTCAAGCTTCTTTGTTGTTTTAGATTTCAGCTGTCTTGGTTTATGCTTGTAGGAACTCAAAGAAAAGAAATTGAGAGGTTTTCAGATAGGAAGTTGGGAAGGACAAGAGCAAAAGAACGACTCTCTGACTATGTTAGAATGGACCCTGACTATGTTCCAGCAGAACTGGCAAAAGGTTTGCTTCCTTGGTGCTTTCTGGAGATCTTTTTGGGTATTTTATAACTTCCATTGGTCGTTCTGCTTGTTCTTAGCATTGTTTTTCTGTCTTATGAATGCGTGAAACAGAAGAAAGGAAGGATAGACGTGGTGTCAAGAGAGTGAGATTGAATCCAGATTCAGGTAAAATATAGTGAGTAATTTTCCTCTTTCTGCTTGGTCATAATGTGTTCTCTGCTTTTATGCTGACGATTGTCAGCTTCAGGATTATTTATAGGAGATGCCATTTGAGACAAAAGCTCTCTTATGTCTCTTTCTGTGGTAGTTCTGGCAATTGGATTGTAATATCATGTTAATGGTTAATCCGGATATGTACGGGAATGTTGGGGGGTTGGAGGAAACAGTTTTGAGATTATTGAACAGTTGAAGTTTATAACCAAAAGAAAGAAAAAAAAAAAAAAATCTTGTTTGTTTCTCATTTTAAGGGTCAGGAAAATCATTAGTGGAATTTCCCTGTTCGTCATATCTTACTTTCATTTGTTCAATGTTTTAGTACTCGAGAAACCTTTAAAATATTCCTCTAATGCCTGTTTGTTGTAATTGGTGGCTTCGAATGGCTAAAACAATATAACCTAAGATCCTTTCCTTTTGCTTGTTGAAAGTGATTGTATTGAAAATTTTAGAAGTGGTTATTCTTCACACTGACCCTATATTTCATGTGGTAGACTTGAAGAGATTGGATTTTTTGGAAAAGCTTGAGCATGAGCGTCAGGTAAATTGCTGGCGCTGTCTTTTTGCATTATTATGTCCCATCCTTTTCTTATTCAAATTGATGGAATCATATAACAAGACTAGGGAATGACTGAATGAGTTTTGAATTTTATTTGTACTTCAGTGTAGAATCGATTAAGAATCAGGAGGCAATGAAAGCTCCAGCTCTTTTTAATCGCATGGATCTATTTATTGTCTTGATTCTTATGTTCCATGCCCCAAAATGCACTAGGGTGATGACAGATATGAGAAGAAAGACAAAGAGGAGGAAGAAGATGAGGTAGTAGAAGAGGGAGAGGAAGGCGGATCTGAAAGTGACAACGGTGATTATGATTTGGTACTTGACAGACTTCGGTTTTCATTATATTATTGGAGCTAAGAAATAAACGGTTTAGAGTATAAATCAACCTAGCCCGTATACTTCAACTTTTGCTTATCATTATATCGTATACATTGTTTTCTTATTCTTTTGGGTGACGATCTCACTGAAACTGAGCATTCTTGCAGCATCTTGATGATTTTCAAGACGATGAAGATGACTTTAACCTGTCTGATGATGATGATGGTATGAACTTTTTCTGGGTTTCACCTTTTTTTCCGTTCTTATGGACAAAGAATACATCTGTGTTCTGCGTTGTATGTGCAAAATTGGTTATGCAAGATGATCATTTTGTCTTGCAGGTGAAGGAACATATAATGATTAGGTTTTTGACCCGTAAAAGCATGATTTGATGACAACACTGATATTGCTGGAGATAAAATCAGTTTTTTTCCTGTTCAAATCCCGATCAGATTCCCCAAATACAACAAGATTTATGATGTAAAGTTGCATGGTTTTGGATGCCATATATGCTAATGACTAGAGTACTTCCGTGTGTGCGCTTCGGTTTTTGTTAGCATTAGCCAAAGGGAGACTGTTATATTCTTCAAGCAAGATTTTGTATCTTTGTATTCCCCATTCGAATTTAAACATTAGGATCTCGAATCCTAGGAAAAAGTGACTGAAAGGCCTTGATTTCGGATTCAAACTCTCCTCTATTGCAAGAAACTTGACGATCCAGCCATCTCACTCCACCTTGAGGGAACAACAAAGCCAAAACCTGCTGAGCCTGGAGAACCCCAAAAGCTGATGAATCTGTGTTTAAAGCTGCAAAATAATTCCGTCCACGAGGCTGTTCGAAACAAAGCGCCACGCAAATTGAAAATCAAGTGCGTGCTGATCCTTCTTTATGTAAGCTTAATAGTGTGATCTAGATCTTCTGGACATTTTTTCCGGACCTTTGCATATTCACTGCAGGAAATCACAATGGCTAAGAAACATCTTCTTTGAGTTTGAGTCCCCGCTGAATAGAAAGAATGTTTGGGTAAATCATTTTGCAAATTTTGGTTTGGACATTGTATATTCTTCGATATTTTTTTATGTTCAAGTCGATCTAAATATTTTGTCAGTAGTTCTAAATCCACTAAATTACGAAAATTATACCATGCTCATTAATTGCACGTAGCTAGGTACACATAGATTCTTATTTGACAATTAGTATAGAAAAGGAGGGCTAAACATGTAAGTCTTCATGAGTTAGATGAAACACACGCACCGCTCCTTCTTAATTTAAGGAAATGGGTTTTAAAATTTTCTTTAATTTTCAAATCATTTTATTTCTTAATCGGTAATTAATTATACAAAGTTTCTTATATCATTTTGATAGTACTCAAAGAGATTTATCCAACAAAATTCATCATGAGTATATTTTTCGAAATTTTAAAAAATTTATGAAATTGGCTTGGTCTTCCTAAAACACTCTCTGGTCTTCTTTGTTGCTCTTTGGTGTTTGATTTTTGGTCTTTGGCCTTTGGTTTTTGGTCTTTGCTCCTGTTGCACTTTCGTTCGTCACTCTAGTCTTTGCTCGCTCACAAAGACCAAGCCAGTTTTGTGTTCGTTATTATTATTATTAAAGTTATAACTTTGTAATTTTTTTTTTTGTTTCGTAAACGAGACCTTTGCCTAATTGGTTTTAAAAAATTTAAACAAAAAAAGAAAGTTAGCGTGTTTAGGGTTTATGGGGGTTTAACCATTTACATGTCGGTTAGAGTCTAGTTGTTTAGGGTTTTGGGGGTTTAAGCATTTTCATGTTGGTTAGGGCCTAGTTTAGTCTTTTGGACATTGGTCTTTGGTCATTGCTTCTCATACACACTCGTTATTCTTTTTGGTCTTTGGTCTTTAATCTTTAGTTTTCGGTTTTTGGTTTTGGCCTTTTATCTTTGGTTTTTGTTTTCCTGGTCTTGGATCTTCGATGTTTGGTCTTTGGTCTTAATTCCTCACACACACTCGCTCTTCACTTTGATCTTTAGGTCTTTGATTTTTTGTCTTTGCTCTTAGGTTTTTGGTTTTTAGTCTTTGGCCTTTGTTCTAGGTCTTGGTCCTAAAAAACACAAGTAAGACCATAGCATTTTTTAGGATGACCAAGCCAAGTACATAAATTTTTTAAAGTTTCGAAAAACATATTTATGATGGATTTTGTTGAATAGAGCTTATCGAGTACTATCAAAATGAGATAAGATACTTGGTCTAGTTCATTACGGATTAAAAAATAAAATCATTTGAAAATAAAAGAAATTTTTTAAACCCATTTCTTAAAATTAAGAAGAAGGGACACGTGCGAGCATTGAAAAAGAAAAAAAAGGTATGTTAAATAAATTACATATAAAGTCCCTCCATTATTAAATAATTAAAATAGAATTTAAGTGCAATTAGCTAAATGCACTTAATGTGCATAGTATAACAACTCCCTAAATTACATAAATACAACATCTCTTTTAATTTCGCGCAGTAACATGTCTTATATAAAAATAATTAATCATGTTCCTTTGGGTTATGAATCAACCATGTGCCCGAACTTCTTAAACTACTTTCTTCCTTTTTCAGAACGTAACGTTGATGATTGGAAAGCAAGAATGATGGGAAAAGTATCTATTGCTGAAGAAATTAATGCATGCTTGATTAATTTTTTGTTTCCTTTAATTGACAAATTTCCCTCGGATAACTTAAGATCGAAAGCCCATCAATTCCAGCGGCAAAATGACAATTAACTAGTACTACTGTTTCTTCAAAAAAAACTAGTAGTATAGTACTCCGCCATGCCAAAGGACTACGAGTTTCAACCCGACTGTCTCAATCTTGGGAACTAAAAGATCACGGCGGGGTAGGCAAACCGCCATTTAATAATCTTAGGACTTCATCTTTTCCATGACTAGATAAACTTCAATGTCGTAAGAAGTGGCTGATATACACTACTTTTTGCGTCCTAATAAAGATATGACAATTATTTTAAAATGAAGATATCCTTGTAATATTTTGAAATGTACTGTATTTATTATTCTTGACAAGAATCGTATGTGTATGTAACTCTGTTGACTCATGATTGTGGATGTGTGTATATATATATATATATATATATATATATATATATATATATATATATCAAAAAGTGTATTTCTTTTTTCTTCGATAAAGCTAAAAAGTGCAATTTTAAAAACAAAAGGGAAAAGAAAGGAGGAGATAAGGGGGGGAAAAAGGTGGGGCTCACAAAGTATACATACATGCATGTAGTAGTAATAATAATAGGGTGTTTATTTCAAAGTGAACATCTTTACTACTTGAAGCCACATATTTTAAAATTGGATCATTTTACCCTTATAATTTTTTTAAATCAAATAATTTGACTAGAAAGAAAATATATAAAAAAAAATTGAAAATTAAAAAAAAAAAATTCACCGACCAGACGGGCAAGGAACGCGTCTTCTTGTTCGCCCGAACACGTTCATTTGACTAGAAAGAAAATATAAAAAAAAAAATTGAAAATTAAAAAAAAAAATTGACCGACCGGACGGTTCACCCGTCCCGGGTTAACCGGGGACGGACAAGGAACGCGTCCTCTTGTTCGCCCGAACGCCTTCAAATGAACGCGTTCGGGCGAACAAGAGGACGCGTTCCTTGCCCATCCCGTGTTAACCTAGGACGAGTGGATTGCTCGTCCGGTCCCGGTTCGGTCCGATATGGTGAACCGGACCGGTCAGACCCTTTTTCTTAATTTTTAAATTTTTTTTTGTTTTTTTTTTAATTTTTTGGTAATTAAAAAATAGCAATATTTGTTATTTAAAAAAGTCTAAAAATTAAAAAATATCAATCGGATTCATTGCTATTTTTTTAATTTTTAGATTTTTTGTTGTAATTAGTTAATCTAGTTTTTAGGTCATTAAATTTATTAATAATTTATTATTTGAGTTACATTAAATATCACCAATCTTTATAGTACAAAAAATAGTTAATCTATTTGCACATATTTGTCACAATCTTTGTGGTACAATTATTATTTTTCATTATAAATGTATAATTATTATTTTAACTAAAAATTATCTTTAAAATAATGATATTTTTCAATATCAATTCAAATGAATTAACTTAACAAGTAATCTTAAATTTTTTTCAAGTAAAAATTAATTACTTGTTTATTTTCGAGTAAATATAAAATCGAGAGTTTAAGCAGTAAAGTATAAATATTGTTAATAATATTTAAAGTACGAAGTATTTAATGTGTAATGATACTGTGAATAAACTAACATTAAAATAAAAATTAATAATTTGTCTGTTCTCACGTGAATCAGACCGAATGACTTGCCCGGTTCGATCCGAGTGGCAGGGGCAAAATGATAGGGGCAAAATGGTCTAAATTTTTTTTCGTGGCTTTGACTACTAAAGTGGGTGGCTTCAAAAATCCACCCCCTAATAATACTCCCTCCGTCTCATAATTATCGTCCTGTTTGAATTTTCATTTTTAGTTCAAATTGTACTAAAAATGAAATCCAAACTGGACAATAATTATGTGACGGAGGGAGTATATTCTAATCGGACATTGAAGTAACATGTAGTACTACGTTACAGTACATCTATTTACACTTATTATTCAGTCAAAACACAAGTAAAACAGTCAAAACAACATATTTGCCTTTTGGGCTTTAATTAGACGGACTTTATTAATGCACACCCTTACTCCAAAAATCCACGTCATAAATCTCAAGGGTTTTCCATGAATGGGTACGAAATTACGAACGGAGGTTTGGTTTCATATATATATAATACTACAAATATATAATAAATAATTCATTTTTTTTCAAAAAAAAAAAAGAGAGAAAAATAAATAAATTCATCCAAGGCATCTTTCCCTTATCCACTTCAAAAGAACCCCCTCTACGTTGACTACTATTAATAACAAAACAAAGACAAAAACTAGTTCAATCCTGGTTTGATTTGATCAACAAGTGCTTCAATCCATTCACCACCCACCGCGTCCCATTTATTGTGTGTATTTTGGGCGGGAATGAAAGGAATAAAACAGAAGAAAAAAAAGATAGTGATAATAACGAGTAGTATAATATATACACATGTACATTATCCGAGATAAGGCACTGAAAGTGAAATTCTAGTTAGGAATAATTTATACTATTTAATTTCTCCCTCTAAACAACGAGGGTCCACTGTATTTTAGTGCCTAAAAATTTAGATCAACTTCGGTCGTCCACCCCATATTCCTTACCACCTCCAAACCAACAATGCTCATCAGCTACTACTACTCGTTTCTTATACGATTAATTCCACATTAAGTTTGAAGATTAAAGAAAATAATTAAAACACACACACACACACAATCAAATTCGTTTTAAAGCAATTAATAGTCTTTAACTTTATCACCTTAAAAGTGGCGAGAGAGTTACACAAGATAATAAAATTTACCGTTATTGTACCCACGATCAGAATTGAAATTAAACTTAGTCCAGATAATTTAATTTGAAAAAGGAAAAAGAAAAAGTGAAATGAATATTCCCAACATGTAATGCAAATTTTTCATTAAAAAAAAAATGTGTTGGCGGGGGAAAGAAAATGGGAATGGATAAAAGCGTGACTTGTAACATCAAGCAGCTTAAAAGGGAAAAATAATAATAATAACAATAATAATAATAAGATAGGCTTCACATGTCAAATTGTCTCTCATATTCTAGTTTGCAATTTTTGTGGCGTGTCTTTATCCTATCTATCTTCTTTTTTGATCAAATTTTATCTTCATTTTCATTTCGGAAATTCTATCTTCCAACCTGTCACAAAAGGAGGAGTTCCGGATGGGTTTATTTTATTTTATTTTTTTTTTTAACTAAATAAACTCAACTAATCACTCTAATCCAATATATATCCCACTTCTTCCTCAGAAAAAGAAAACATATATATGTATATATATAACAGACACGCATAAGACTCCCCCTATTTATTTGTCCCAAAGATATACACCCGTTACATGATAAGCTTATGTAGGAAGAAATATTAGCTAAAATTAAGGTTTCTTTCTCTTTTCCCTTTTTGGAAATCGATCCAAAGTTAGATTGTATTATAATAATAATTCATTCATTTTTGTGTTTGTGCAATTTGTTGAATCCGAAAATTCCAAAGAATGGGGCAAGGGAAACCTCATAATGTTCAAGATCAAATGAAGAAAAGAGACGGTGCCAAGATTATGATCCATGATGATGATGATGATGATGATGATCATAATCGTCATGATCAATTCCCATCTTCTTCCATTGGTCATCTTCATCACGTTGATCATGATGATGATGATGATGATACTGATGATGATTCAAGTATTTCAAATGGATCATCTTCTTCAAATGATGATTTTGATGATGATGATGATGCATCTTCAACAATTACATGTTCCACGTCCTCAAATTCTAGTACTGGAGCTTTATTTGACTTGTCGGAGATCATGGCTCAACTCCCAATCAAGTAAGCTTCTTTTCCCCTGTTTTCATTTCAGGCCAACAATTAAACGTTGTGTTTATATGAATTTTTTTTGGGTTTTTGGATTTGAATTCATGAACTGAAAATCTGTTTGCAGGAGAGGGCTATCTCAATTCTACAACGGGAAATCAGATTCATTCACATGTTTGTCAAGGGTGACAAGCTTAGAAGATTTGGCAAAGAAAGAATCACCTTATAATTGCAGAAGGAAGAAGAATAAGGCAGTTGCATATAGATTATTCACTCTTCCGAGGCCAGTCATTTCCAAGAAAAATACTAGAGGGACCTCACTTTCAACAAGTAGCCTAAGAAGAAGTTTCATCAATGCTAACTGTATTAGGCCTCCACAGATTCCTCTTCACAAGGGCTTCAATGGTGGTTAATTTGTTTATTCTTTTTGTGGGCATGTCGATTATCATCAAGGAAATTTTTAATTTTTTTTCCCCTAGGAAAATAGAGCTTCAGAAATTCTCAGGAAACATGAGTATAGCACCTTTGTACATTTGAGGCACGGGAGGGAATTGTACGTACTCATGAACATTTCATATGTTACCCAACTCACATTCTTTGCTTTGTTCCATTTAGTCCTTCTCTTTATTTTGTTTCTGACTTATTATAGTTGAAAAGTTTAGAATCTTTATACTAATTTGCTTCCCACCATATCTTTTTGTTTGAGACGGCCCTTTATTTATTTCCCATTGTAGTGTGTGTGAAAGATTCCATGTCATGAAAGTCCAAAACATCAAAACTGAATATAGAATTTTGATTCCTATAAAGTGTGCGGTGCTATAGAAAGAGCAAGATGCCAGTCATCAAAGTTATCCAAATGTGCACTTTTAGTGGCTTGTGTGTAAGGCAGGGAGAGGTGTAGCCAAAAGAAGATGATGTGTTGAGGAAAAGAGTAGTTTAGAACTGACATTAAAAGTAACACTTGGGCCCCCGATGGTAACAGAAAAATCAATCAGACTGAAATGTTAGCTTGGCTAACTTCCATTGCCAAATTATGACAATGTTCTGCTCCAAATGATACAGCAAGCTTTTTCCCTAATACCCTACACTACTGGCTGGTTCTAAGATCAGTTCCAGCTGACTGGTTCTAAGATCAGTTCCAGCTTGCTTTCCACGATGGCTAATTGCTTCCAAGTTAAATTCCTAGTGGTTACAGAGAAGAGGCTACAAAATGCTGAAACAACAGAGATTCTGTTTCAGTGAAGCAAAAGAAATCAACAAGTCGCGGAAGATCATGGAGGTGCAACTGAAAGGTTCCGAATCCTGCTTGATCTTCTCACTGGAGTTGTGATCGGCTTTGCATCTCCATCTTTACCCGTCTGTTTCAACGTATGCGCAAAGTCAAAACAAGCTTTCATGAGAAGAGCAATACTACATATGGTATGGATAGATGAAAACACACGACTTGTATTGGTTCATCCACCCATCAAAAGTTATAAAGACAGCATTATTTTGCCTAAACTAGATCTAGGACCGTTCTCCTAGTATACAAGCACACACACATGCCTAATGTGCAAAGAAGTTTTATTGAAGACAGCTCTTGTGGTTGCTCTATTAAAAGATCATGTAATGTAATAGATGTGTTCAGATTTACCTCTTTTCGTAGGAGAATCTTCTCAGTTGTAAAGCTTCCATATGAGTTAGAATCTGCATCTGAAACATTCAGCAACCGAACCTTACCAACTGGCTGAGTTTGTGAACCAACAAGGCTGGATTGAACAAGTGGTTGGGGTTTCGATGCAACAGGACTGGCATCAATGTGACCTGCATATGAGATGGGATTAACACTCTCCTCAGTATCAATCCTGCCTTTTCGACCACAACTTCTGAGGGAGCTGCTGTATTCTTCAATTACAAACTCTCCGAGCAGCTCAACATCTGGAGCCTGGATGCGAGCATACTCCCTTGTAGTCTCTTGATATGAATAGAAAGCAGATGAAGGTTTCACAATGGATTCAGCTTTCTCCTGCTTATTCTCCAATTTCACAGAGGGTCGTGCTGAAATTGGTTCAACCTTTTTGCTAGATCTTTCATGAAGAGAATCTAGTTCAGGAGCTTTTTTTGTCCATTTTGAATGTAACCAAACCAGAGATGCCATGATAGTGAAAACAACAGATAACCATATGACAGACAAGTCAATTGCCTCAAGTTCCATAAATCCTACAGATTTCATTGACTTCATTACTCCTTTAAGCATGCTGGCATCATCACTTTTATTGCCATCATTCTCTGCTGGTATAAAATCTTCAACATCCACATCACTACCCCTAATTTCCATTGTCGGCCATCCAGTCTCCAACAAATTTTCTGCAGAAACTCCTCCTATCTCTTCAGCCTCATGGCCAATTTCAGCTTCCTCGGAAATTGTGTCAATTTCTTGATCATTTTCCAATTCATTTCCTTCATTATCTTGATTAGTATCATGAATATTTCTAGAAACACTCTGAATATCATCCAATGCACCACCACACAAGTGGTGCGCTTTTGAAGCATCCTCTACTTTAATATCTTCATCAGTTGTTGCATTAGAGTCACTTTCCCACTCAGCTGGAAACTGATGGTGTTCCTCCTCCTCCTTACCATTTTCTTCTACTTCAAACTCAGAAATCTTTGAATCTGACCAAATCAAATCCTTTTCGCTTTCTTCACCATAACTTATTTCTTCAAGCAGTGAATCAGATGCTTCATTATATGGCTCACTCATTTTAACAATCTCCTTCACAAAGGGATTCACTTCCAAGAAACCTGATTCATTACCTACAACATGAGTTCCTGAAACATTTCTCCGATTGTGACTATTCGTGGGGACTGCGTCAAAGGGATTCACAATTGGAGAAGGTGTCGCATCATTCATAGCTGATAGATATGAAGTTGATAGAATTGCTAGAGCCAGCAAAAACAGAAATTTCATCATCCCTTTGAAACTCCAGCCTTTCTCCTCCTCAAACTCCTCATCTTCCTCCTGGTCGGTATCTTCAGAATCATAATCATCTTCCAATTCTAACTCAACAGTTGGAATCTCTGAAGAGCTTTCTTGAAGAGACAAAGACACCTGCTTCTGGTCAAATTCAGAAGCCTTTTGTTCCTCAGCCCGGTAATGGAAATCCGAAATCCCAGTTGTACAAAGGAATGAATTATCTTCCTTCCCTTCAGACTTGCTAGTAAAGAACATCTCTTGTCGCCTGTTGGGCTTGTAACGCAGATACTTAGGCCTTGGGGAAAGGTAATTAGTCAAAGGATCATACGGCTTCAATGATGAATCAGAGGAAAAAGTACCAACATCTTCATCATCTGATTTAAAGGTATAACTACAGGTTGATATTGGATGGCCAAGGGAGGTTCCAGAACCTGAACGATGGAGACCATTTCTTGAATCAATATCTGGTGAATTTTTTGGGAACTGGGTATTCTCACCAGAAGTGAAGGAATCGTTTTTCTCTCCCAAAATCTTCTTCCTCGGAACCTTAACCTTTGAATTTGCAGACACCGTAGGTGCCATGAAGTGTTTGACCACAGACTTCTTGGCGTTCTGAGACTTCGAATTGGAACCCATTGCATTAGGGTTAACATCATTCTCATTAGATTCGCCTGCATCGTTTCCAGAACCTTTACTTGCCATTTAAAAGAATAATATAAACAAGAAATAAAAGAAACCTCATCCGTTAAGCCAAGATCCAAGAACACAAAATCATTGCTTCAGAGTTTAAATACAAGAAAATTTCTTTGTTTCTCCTTTTCCCGTCAAAGTTCTAGAGATTAATTTTACAAATACAAGGAATACAGACAGCCCAAGAATGTCAGCTCTTTATTTCATTACATCAAGAATCAAACCAGTAAAATTTCCTCAAGAGTTAATAAGCCCAAGTATCCATTTTCATCATCTCAAAAAGAAAGATAAAGGATTTAGAACAGGGAAGAAGAGATCGAGAGAGCTTACCAGAATAAGAAGAGATTGGAGGGTGTTTTGAGGACGAGAAACCCTTTTCAGCGCTTTCCATTTCTTCCTGATAAAGTAGATTTCCGGGGCTCGATCTTAGGGGGCAGGTGAGATTGGGCGGAGATGGTAAATCTGAAAAATTGAGTGACAGAGTATCGTTGAATTCAGACTTCTAAGGAGTATTTGATTTCTAGACCATTTCAGGATCAGAGCTACTTTTTCGACCGTTGGGATTTTGTAACGGCTATATTTGCTTCTCAGATGAGACCATGAGAAGAAGAGAGTTAGAAAAAAGACTTCTTCCAAATCCAAATGGTTCATTTCAAATGGGCTTATCAATAAAGACTTTGACATCTGGCCCATGGAAGTAGTATCAAAAGCAAGCAGAATTTAAGACGCTGTATAGTTAGGATTGAGGCCCAATTGATGAATTGCAATAGGTTTTTCTGGTTTGAATTTTGATTTACAATATCAGAAACATTACAGAGTCCAATTATACTGCTTTACTCTATTGTTACATTATCAGTTAAAATGCAGCCAAAAAAAACCCCGAGACAAAAAAATAGATTCAACGAAAAAAAGGCTTGTTTTGGCTCGTAAACAAGGAAAGATTACAAAGAAAAGCACAGCTAACAAAAAGGGTTTATACCTTTGAACAACGATTCAGGTCCACCGTAGACGAAACCGTTCAGAGTTTAGATCTAAAAAAAAAAAAAACACATAAAATCAGATGAAAATGGACAAAGTTGATTCAATTCATATAAACGCCCCAGTTGTTCGACTGAAAGAAGAAAATCCAACGCCAAAATAAAATGATCTACATTGGAAGCCCAAAATTCACGAAGGAAAGGAGAGCGGCGCCACAGAGTTTTGGCGCAGTACGTCTTATGATGCTAAATTTGGCGAGGAGGCAAATAACCCATATCAAACTTCTAGTACTTATTATTATAAATAAATACTTAAGATGAATAAGTATTTAATAATCTACTTATTTTTTTTGCACAAATTTGGTAATTGAGAGTTTAGCCTTTATGGAAACGAAAAATATTTCATGATGAATGTTGCCAACACCAAAACTTTCATCCCAGTATTTCGCTAAACTAAAAAACTATAGCAGTACAGTACATTGTCCCAACGTAAACACAACATCATATCTAGTCTGAAAGAGAACTGCATTCTGATTCTTGTCCCGACTGAAATCCGACATTTTTTCCTTCACAATCCAAAAGGTTAGCCAACGAATGATCTTCCTCGAGGCCCTTGATCTTCTCTTTCTCGTACAATCCTCTGCTTCGGTCCAAAAACCCTCGCTTCAACATGCTAAAATATTTCTGTCTTACATCAACAAGAGGATGTTTCTCGATAAGTTGATCACGGTTATATGCTTCCCTAAGAACCACGGTATCGGTATCATCTTTTCTGGAAATGTAGAATATCCCCGGATGACGTTCAAACGCCTTGGTAAACTTCTGAGGCAATCTCAATGGCTTGCGCATATTACTCACATTTTTACGCTCAGTTTTCTTCTGCAACATTAGATGCAGAAGCTCGTGAAAAACTCCCACCACCCTTTTCTCGGATTCATCTGTACGAGGATCCAAATGCGAAGCATCAACATAAGGGGAAGTATATGGCAACTTCTGCCATTCTTCTAACCACTTCAAACATTTTCTCTTTAATCCATAGCCCCTTGTAAATCCAATAGGAAATGCCATCACGCCGGCATCATTTTCAACATTTGAACCGGAGCTGAGCGCATTCCTTTCCAAATATGACTTCGCCAGCCTATTATCCCATTTCACAAGCTTAACTTCATCACGGCCATCATCCAGTTTACCCATTTCAAACAGTTCCGAATGCCGCTTAATTAAAGAGTTTTCATAGTCATATGGCAAACCAAGATCCCATTTCAGCTGATCAATCGTCTGTAGTGGAAGTGTACGATTCTCACAAAGCATCAGTAGTTTCTTGAACCTGGTAAGGATGTCCACTTCACAACTCTGAAATGCACTGATTTCGTCCTGATAAACATCTAATGCTTCCGATGACAGCTTAAACCAGGGAACATGAGTGCTGCCACTAGTATCAGGTAAATGAAACTCTTCAAATACATTCGGATATCTTCTCATAAAAGAAGAGACCTTGATCCCATCCGGGAGGCCTAATTGACCACGATTACGCGAAATGTGATATATAGGCATACAACCATCCGGGTTGGAGGCGATGATGGATATAATTAAACACCCTGCTCTGAGATGTCTTCCGCCCGCTACAGCGTTGTCTAAAATGCGATCTTTTACCCATTTCAGCTTCACATTCACTAATGTCCTTCTTTGGAAATAGTTAAATGGCACGGCTCTCTGAAACATTTTCTCAAACACGTAACCTGCATATACTGCTAACATACCTTCAACACCATCTACAGAAATCATAGGTCTTCGACCGATATCCCGCGTAAATTGGTATCCCCGAACTCCTTTTTTCTGTCGAAAACTTCAGAAATAACGCTTGATTCTGGCAAAACATCGAACATGAAGCAGAAAGAATTCATTCTGGCGGCGAGAATGATAAAATCAGGTACCCTTTACAACTTACATGAGAAGGGCAATTATAAATGTGATAAAAGAGAATCAAGCCTGGAGGGGGAAGATCAAAGAAAGGAGAAGGTGAAGACGAAATCAGCTGACACGGGGAAACAAGGGAGGGAAGAGGTAGGTTATGGAAGGTTCCAAAATTCGACATTGGCGCCAAGATCTGAAATACAACTCAAGTGGGCTGGGCTCAAAACTTTAGTACAATTCAAGTCCAGACTCTTAAAAGAGTTTCGTGATTAATTAAAAATAAGAATTTATAGTGGATGAAATAAAATCTAAGGTAAATTATTTTGTGCCCCCCATAAAATATGTTCATGATCTAGGAAGGAAAAATAGCAGATAAGGTCGGTGGCCAAATCTTGTTTGCTTTTAACCTTTTAATGCGAAAAAGAAGAAATTAGGATGTCTTTTTTTTCCTTTGCGAGAAAGGATTGTCTGAAAGGGAGTGCAGTGCACATGAGGAAGGGAATGATATTTGAGAACTGAGAAGTGAGAAGAGATTGCAAAACATTTATAATAAACTCATAAGTCACAAAAAAGCAACTCACTAGACTTCGTTGTTTTAATTTTGATTTGTTTTTACCAAAAAACACTCCCTCTATCCCAAAATTATTGTCCTATTTGAGTTTTCACTTTTAGTTCAATTTATACTAAAAGTGAAAATCCAAACTGGACAATAATTTTAGGACAGAGGAAATAATAAATATAAAAATCTCCCCATCTCACGAAAATTAACCATTTGTTACTAAAAAGTAAAAAAGAACTAATTTCACAATCATTTTACGAAAGAACAAATATCAATCAAGGAAATATGTATCTCCCTTAACCAATCGATTAGTGAATCAGCAATAATCTATTATAAGGTCAAATCACCATTAGAAAATGGGGCTTTCATGACATATAAATCATGACATTTTTTTATAAAAATATCTTAATAAAGGGTAAATATGAAGTCACTAACTTTAAATGTCTTGATAAATATACGAACAAGGCATTTTGTTCTTTTAATAGTAGGCTACACATTAGGTGACACACCTTTAACCACGTTTAGGAGAAAATAACTCATTTCCTGGGTTTTCAAGGTGGTGGTGGTCTTCTAATTAATTTATATTAATTAATAAAATACAGTTAATGTTTGAAGTAAGGTAAAATTTATGGGTAATTTTGATAAAAATCACATACCAAGTACTGTCTGTTTTCTTTTTGGTTATTTTATTTTTTCCCCGTTGGACTTTTTTTTTTTTTAATTAAGAGTCCCACATTACTTTCACTACATAACTTCAAGAACTTTGACACAAACGTGAGTGGATTTGGGGAAAAACATCATTGGCAGATATACAATTTGGGGAAGAAAGGTAAAAACATTTTGAGCAGTTCTACTCCAATTCGGGAGAAAATAATAATTGCTTCTTTGTCTCCATAGTTCAGGAAACAATCCTAATTTGGATTAATTTCTGGGCTTAAGTTATTGATATTGAGGTATGTCTTCCTCTTTTTGTTATACTCAATTCAATTTTTGTTTCAAAAATTAGATCAAATATCCTTTCGACAGTTTTTTTCTTTCAATAATTTTTACTTAGCGCCATTGAATTTATAGCTTCCTATGGACAGCCGTCGTCTTCCTATCAACGTAAAAGGATTTGATTTTATGCGTTGTGTTAACTTGAAGAAAATTGCTTTGCTCATTATATAAATTCTGAAACTTTTCCTCGCTTATGAAAAAGCAACCTTTTACTAGAGAAATTTATTTCTCTTCTTAATTGTTTATCTTCACCAATTTCTCTGATTTATGTACTAAAAGGTTGGCAAATCTGATTGCTCGTTTTGTACATGATTTGATGCTGACCATTTTAGAAAAGGCATAATTCATTTCTCTCTTCTTTTATCTCATTATTTTTATTCATGATCGTTTAATGTTTATGCAATATGATTGTTAAGGGATGTCATTCTTTTAGCCATTGGTTATTAACAATGGGATTAATAATTTTCAACTCTTTATATGAAGGTGTTGATTATCCTAGAACCACAATTGATTTGAGGTTACAATTATTCTGAAACTATTGAAGATACACATGGTGATTTGTTGCTTGGCCATGTTTTTTGGTAAATAATGCAAAATATTCACTACAAGTCTGTTTTTTTTTTTTTTCCCATATTGCAAGGTGTCACCATTGGAAAAGTGACTAATCTACCTCGCTTATAGTAATTATTTGAATAGCTTGGAGAGCTGATTAAAAGATTTAAAATTGTTCCAACCCATGGCAAAGTTGCTCCATACTCATCGAGAGATTCGAATCCTCGAACTATAGTTAACCGTGGAAGACCCCTTTAGTTTTTTTTTTCCCCTTAGTATAGGTCGAGCTATTCACAAATATGTCTAATATTTGAATTTTTAATAAGCTTTTGTTTATTTATTTCATTGTAAAGTGCGCATAGTTTGTGTTTTTTGAATACGTGAAAGAGTTACATATTATGAATTTTTATTTTTTTATGAAAGGATTTTTCTTATGATATGTTTATTTAGTTAAGCATTGACGGATTTTAATATTTAAATACTAAGAAGATGTCTCTATCTCATGAACGATTAAAAGATAATTAACTATCTCTACATAAAAATGTCTTGATATCATAGTAAATGGTAAAAAGGTATTTAGTTATCACAAAACATTGAAATGTCTTTATATTATAATAATTTGTGAACAGTTAATTATTTTTCTCCACACTTTTAAATGTCTTTATAGATATTAAACAGTTAAAAGAAAATTACTTATGAAGACACTTATAAATGTCTTCATAGATCATTAAGTCTATTAACACATTAGGATAGACCACATTTAGAATCAACCTCATGATAAGTAAAGTGTAGTTATAGAATCATTATTAAGACATTTTAAGGTATCATTTAGATCCCTTTTTCTTGTAGTGAATACTTTTATATATATATATATATATATATATATATATATATGCAAAAGCTCTTATTCTTCTCCGCTCCAGAACATTGAATAGTTAGAGCAACTTCAACATTGTATCAAAACATCAATTTGGTAAAAGATTGGATTTTTTTTCTCTAATGTTGTAGCAAAATAGTAAAAAACGGCAGCAAACTGTTGGTGGGGCTACAATATTACTCCAGATTTGTTTCTCTACTGAAGTTGTAGCCATTCATGTGTCTCACCAATTCCTTTCTTTCACTTTTCTTGGTTCTGGTTTTTTTTTTTTTCCTTTTAATTTTGGGTTTCTAGTACAATTGTACTGCATAAAATAGACTTATGGGTTGGAGTTGGAGATGAACAACATCAAAATAGCAACTTTGATGATTTGGTGTGCAGCAAATGACTTTAAGTTTATGGATGATATTAACCATAATTGATTGTATACATTGGGGTAAAACAATCCACAAACCAAAATACACTTGCACCGTCAATTTTTTTACTATCACAATATTGGTATGGTCCGTATGGATAAATACTAATAGTTGTCTCGATGGTCAAACATTGATGGTTAGAAATTGTAACAACATTGATTTGTAAAAAAGATTGATGCCATAAAGTAGAGCATTGACTTTTGTATATGTACTTCATTTTTACTCCCTAATTTGAACATTTCTTACAATTTCTATGTTGATAAGTCACATTAAAAAATCACAACGTTAAAATTTCCCAAGGAACATGGAATGAATGGGGAAACGGCTATATGCTTTATTCTTTTATTTATTCATAATAATCAGTCTTTGATAAATTTAGAACATAAATATGAAAGCAAACATTTTCTTTGACTTGATGCTGAGAAATTTATGAAGATTCTTGATTAGGGAAATACTCATAATAAACCTTGGGCAGCCGTTACTTTGATACTTACGATTTTATTAGAGTACTATTATTTTGATAAATTCCACACTACTCCCTCCCGCTTTTCAAAATTCAAAAGATTCAAAAATCCTCAGTTTTGCAATATTCTAGTTTCATGGGACTGACAAAATATAGTCGAGCACCTCGATTTGCCGTTAATCACCTTGATTCGTACGTTAATTCATTAAATTAACCCCTAACACATCCTTAATTAATGTATTTTAATTCTTAATTTTTTTGCTAAAATATTAGGAACTCGAGAATAGAGGATAAGATGACGCCAGCATAGCCGCTCGACCAATCATCATACACCTCCCATGTTCTCTCGTAAATAGAAATATTCTTAGAAAATCTCAAAAATCGAAATTAAAAAAATGGGGGAAGACGAATGCATGAGGTCACAATTTTTGTGTTTGAATCCGTAGAGACATGCCAGTTACTTAGGTGTTAATGCTTCTCTAATGTTGCAAAAGTTAACTATCAACAACTTGGATTAGACAGGTAATATATTATGTATATTTCGAATATGTCAACTAATAAATTTTTTATTTTTTCTGATCTTCTTTTTTTTTTTTTTGGTTGCATTAATTCCTTCTCTGCCAATTTTCTGGATTAGCGATGTGTTTTAAATTAATGTTCTTTGCCAATGCCGTTGGTTCAATGTAAATTAGTAGTACTGTAGTAGTATTATTAGTACGAACTTAAAGTTGATTAAGTTGATTATCAGAATCGATCTTATTGTACTCCGCTAAATTTAAAAATAGTGGATTATCAGACCTTAAAGTTGATTAAGTTGATAAAACATGTTTTTTCTTCTTTTGATGTGAGATTCGGATATGGTTGACATCTGACAATATACATCGTGTAAGTAATATTCTAACTGAATCTATGTACTGATCCATGGAAATACAGTACATACTAAAGCATACATGAATAAGATATGGCTTTATCTTTTATTATTGTCAATGGAAAAATACAATTCATTTGATCAGAAAATTCACTATCTTTGTAGATTTAGAAGCAATGATGATATTAGAGATTTCTAGAAAATTTGGGGGTTAGATTAAATTCTAGATCTCATACTGTATAGTTTTGTTTGTATAGCACAGGAAAGACTTGGAGCATGTACTGATAAAAAAAAATCAATACAAAGATTTTTACCTTTGATAAAATGACACAAACTAAATGGCCGACATAAAACATTATTCTGTATTGATCGGTCCACAGAGGGATTATATATACACATCATTTAGGTTTAGGGTGGAAACCCTAATACGTACAAAGGACGAAACTAACCCTATACAAATATATATACATATATCGTAACATAAAAATAAAATAAAATAAAAATTCAAAATGCGAACATTAAACATTGCTTTATTCATTTTATGGATAGTTTTCACGATCATCGTATTCACTTTCTCAAACTTACACCAACTTAAAATACACACTGGAAAAGCGTCATACACAAGCCTAAATTTACTTGATATTGGTAGCGTATATTTGGATCGTTTTTTCAGTGTGTGTTTTTGAGTGTTTTTTTATTAAAAATATAAAAAAATGCATTGAAAATGTAAAAAAATATAATGGGATTAGACATTTATTATTTAATTATTTTGAAAAAACCATAAAAAAACGTTACAAACAGGTTTCCCTTTTTCAAAATATGGAGCCCTTCTTTTGTGAGCTTGGTCAATGGCTTTCATGGGGGCATGTCATTTTCATCATACCCCCACAATGAGAATGGTCAATAATACTAGTAGTGGTGTAATACTACTAGTATTAATCATTGTATTTTCAAACGCACAGCCTGGGAGAAATTATTAAGATATAAGCAGTATTTAAAACGATAATAAATGTTCGTACGTTTGAATTCCATCATTTTCAAGCAATAATTGATGTCAAGCATCAAACTTCACAAATTAAAACCTGGTGCAACTTCAGTTACGTATCTTTCCTCTCTTTCTTCTTTTGTTTTGTTTTTTTTTTTAAAAAAAAATATAGACTTTGTAGCTTGTTCCAATTGAGTGTTTTCTAGAGAAACAATAATCAAATGAGGTATTCAAAAGAAATATCAACCTCCATGTAGGACTTAACTCTTTTTCTTGTCAAATGATAATCATATATATTAAGAAGAAAAAATCTCATACAAGAGTAGTTAAATTACAATTGGTATGTTACCATCCGCCTTAAACCATTTGTCTAGTCGCAAAAGAGTAGTTATATCTCAATTTTGTATACAACTGCCAGGCAAAACTAATTTGCCAAGATGATGGCAACTAGAGTTCCACTGCTTCTTTATAAACATAAATTTAAAACTCAAAGAATAACATTTTAAAAGAAATCTTTTTCCTATCTAAGAATTGATGATCTTTGGGGTTCGAGGGAAGTGTACGATCCTTCAAAGATGCTCCCTGTTTGTACTTCTCATAAGTAACGGGATGCATTAACAACAATTACGAACCAAAAAAAACAAAAGAATATACGTAAAAACGTGCATGACTGCAAGTTTTGTGTCCCTAAAAAATTGTAAACATAATATGGCAACGCCGAAATTATCAAACTAGAGATCAATACACCTGAGGTAGTAGTATAAGCTGCTAGAAAGACTAAAAAAGGGGGGCATTTGGGGGAAATGACAATGTTGTCCGAAAACAGTAGCGAGAAGAATCTTATCTTCACACTGCACGAAATATCTGTGATGACGTTTGTTGAGCAGAAAATGATGCAGTCAAAGGAATCTGAATTTACCAAAAAGACCCTCTTTCACTCTTTGCTTTACTCGTCGTACTAGATGGAGAAGATGCTAAAGCAGAAAGGCATCGAGTTTCAAGAGATCCTCAACACGTCCATCAAATCAAACACTAATCATTACTGATATGAAATTTAAGATTCATTTTCAAACACAAATGAAACTACAAAAGAAAAAAAATTGCCACCTATTTTAGCTAGTGCTAATATTCCTTTTCAAAAATTTTTTTTCTTTTCTTTTTCTTTTAGTTCCCCTTTTACAGGGTATTGCTTCCTTGATCACGTGCCTCCGACCTCAAAAGAATTTTTTTTAAAAAAAAAAGGATTTAAACAAGAATGTAGATTAACAAAATGAGGGAAATACGGGAAAAAAAAAGTTTTTACAAATTCTTTTGGGGTTCAATCATTCAATGAAGAAATAAAATAACTTTTAACTGTTGAATCAATGGATTCCACAATGAGAAAGTACTGATTTTAAGTTGTCTTTTAGTGTCAATTTGATCATCTAAACCCCAAGCAGCACACGCAGTATTTCTCTCTGAATTCCTGGTTAAGATGGCAATTCCCCCACTGAAATTGAATGATTGCTTAAGGGAAAACTATAAATCCTTTTAAATACATTGATTTGATAAAGGAGGAGTCTATACACATAAATCGAATTTGAAAAGATGGCATTTTCCCGTTGAAATTGACTGATTGTTTGAGCGAAAATTGTAAATCCTTTATGAAACTTTGATTTCATGGAGGGATCTATAAGATGAATGGAATTTGAACTCGTTAAGCGTATACATTGATCAGTAGATAGATAGTAAGAGAACACTAAACAACACATGCACTTACTTGTGTATAAAGTGTGCAAGCAAATTGATAGCTAGATAGTTAGTAAGAAAATACTAAACAATGCACGTTATTGTGTATAATACTTTTCCGGTCCTTATTATAAGTCATTTTGATTTGTCCTAAATTTCATCTAATATATATTCTTCATATTGAAGATAAAACTTTAAAAACGTATTTTCATATTTATTGTGTTCTTCTCATTATTATGAAATAATTTTATTTTATTTTCAATTGTAATAACATACTAAATAAAACTTAAGACAAATTAAACTACCTTATGATAAGTACCAGAAGAGTACTCCGTGAGTCATATAAATTTATTGTAATAAAAATTACGAACAGGTACAATAACATACATTGAATAAAGGCATATACAAATTAATCTAATCAAGTGAAAACACCACAGATCAAATCGAACAGGAAGTACTTGAAGGACTGATTGCCTGGCCTTCCAACGATCGAATCTGAAATTTTGAAAACTTTTGAAAAATATGCAACAAAATTATTACAGCACCACAGAGGAATATTCTGTCCAACATAAAATAAATCGTCCGTGTTGTCGAGCTGAAACCTCACATTCGAAGCTGCTGTCTTGTAGCAAGAATGAAGAAATGGTGGTGGGGGGAAGCAATTGGGAAATGTGAGCTTCTCAAACCCCCCAAGTTTTATGGCTTTTCGGATTAATACCTACATGGAAGTTTCATGGAAAGTTAACCCTTTGCAGAAACACAAGTACTAGTTAATAAGATTAAAAGGGGAGGGGGGGGGGGAGGAGAGAGAGAAATAGAAAAGAAAAAGTGGTAAGTATATGGTATGGGATGGAGCTACGGAGGAGGTCGCATTCCAATGAAATAAAGTGCCAAATTTTATTCACATTTCCCTATTTGTGACCTTGTTCAGACTCCCTCCCTCCTTCACATTGTTGCCACTCTCCTCTTCTCAGGAAACTGCATTATCCATTTTCTTATTTTTAATTCCATCTTTCGCTTGGTACTAGGTAGTGTCTTGAGGGTACCTTATGGGGTCACATGTACCAAATTCCCCTCCATTAAGGTTAAGGTCTTATAACCCTATACTAGATGTAGATTTTGAAATTAAACCTCAAACGCAACAACATCATATGCCCAAATATCCACTCTAAAAGTTCCAAATCCAAGCATCATAAGAATATACGATCCTAACAAGTTTTTTTTCGAGAACACGAGTATTACAAATGCGCTTTTTATCCTTTCTATAGAATACATGTGTTTCCTTTCTTCTTAACGCTTTATTTCTTTATAATAACACGCAAAAAACGCATTTAAATGTTGCAGATTGAGATGTTAAGAATACTATTACCAAATCGACATATAATCTAACAAGGCAAGTTGGACAAACACTAATTAATCCAATTTCATTCTTTTAAAAGCATCATTATCATCATCAAGTCATCTTCATACCCTAGTATCACTGGAATAATTTACACAACTCTGCTGTTCTTCGGTGCTCTACTAATAAGGAAAACCTCAAAGCATATATAGAGAAGTTATGTTATGTTAGCTCGAGTCTTCTTCTCTATGCACAAACTCCATTTTACTCTGTAACACATAAAACTAAAAAAACTAGCTAGCCTGATCATAACCACCTTCTTCATCTACATTCAAAGAAAAATAAAAAAAGTAAAAATCTAAAAAAAAAAGAAAAAAAAGAGCACTTTTCAGTTTCAGAAAGCCAAATCTTCTTGAACTTGGGTACATGACCTCTGCATTCTAACCCCACTAAAGCTAGTCCTTGAAGCCATAATTTCATTAAGGGAAAGCCTCTTTTTTGGACCAACTGGTTCTGGTCTCTGCTTTGGAGCACTGTGTGATCTCAACTTTGCCCTGGATGACAATGTATTAGCCATGTAATTAGGATAGTTTGAGTACGGCCTGAAGTAAGCGTCACCGCAGACGCTCTTGGACGGCGTTACAGGCGGATTGTGGTGAGAATAACAGCCGGAATTAGCAAATCTAGGTGTGCTCTGAGCAGTTGCAAACTTATAATCATCGCCAACGACGAAATTCCAGTCGAAATCCGGGCAATGGTGGCAATCGGGGATGGATAGGCGAGCTGGAACAGGACAGGGAAATGGAGATGACATCCCCTGATAATAATGATGGTGATCATCCCCTGAATCTGACATGCAACTTGTGTTAATCCGGCGCGATCTTGATCTATGCTTGTTGATTGTGTCGATTTCAACGATTTTCGGGCTCTCATCATACCCACTCAGTGATGCATCATAAGAAGCTGATAATCTTTTGCTATGATACTCACTCCTGCATTCATCAAATTTCTCCTGAAAAACACCAAAAGAAAGAATGCATTTTTATCAGCAAACCAACTAATAATAAAGTAATTAGAGCTAATTAAGGGGTTTTTTTTTTTTTTTTTTCCTTACAATGGATCTTCTAGCTCGTAATTCGGGTGGAAATCTGAATTCATTACTATTGATTGATCGGCGAGCCCTTTGGGATCTCACAGCAGTCTGAGCTCTAATTAAAGCTTGCATACTATGAAGAGTTGCTGCAGCTCTCTTCCTAACAAGGTAACCTCTGACAAGTGCTTGAAGCTTTACCAATCCTTTAAGGGCTTTAAGTGCTTTTCTAGCCTGCAAAAATAGTTACAGAATCAGTGGTTTTGTTATAGAAAATTGAAACATCTTCACAGTAGAAGACTATATGCATTAAAAGCATCCAACCCTGAAGTACAGACATACATATATATTAATATGAAATGAGTCTTATGATTGAAACACAGGAAACTTAGGACCACCTTTGTTATTTTGGGTAAGCTTACTACATTGTGAAAACGTAAAAACTACTCAACCAAAGATTCCAATTTTAAAAATATCTTTCAAATTTTGAAAATCTGAAAACAGAGGGAAAAATTACAGAATAACTAATGGAATGACAAAGATGTAGGCAATTAAACCCAACTTACCAAGTAACCTCTGAATACGTTCTGAATCTTAATGGCAGCCCATTTCTCCTTTCCACCACCAGTAAACATGGTTCCTCTGCCCTGGCTTGTTAGCCTCACAACCGCCACGGCGGCCTGAGCTGCAGCTACGGCGGCATCGGCAGCAGCGGCGGTGGCAGCTGCCACGGCAATGGCGTGTTTGTTTTGATCTTTCTCAGTCTCAGATATGTAGGACCTTAACCAAGTTGAATCATTCACAACAGGAATCTTTCCCGGAGGAGGAGCATCCTTAGCAGATTTTGCAAAACTCCACCTTTTCTTCTCCATCTTCTTGTGGTTGTTGTCACTGCAGTTTGAAGAAGTCTCTACATTTTCCTTATCCTTCTTGGAGGACCCAAACAAGCCCTTAAACCATCTTGAAGCTTTTCCCATCTTCTCCCCTGTTTTTTTGTGTACTTCACTCAATGAAGCACTGTATCTAAATCTACAAAGACATCAAAAAGGGGTGCCTGTCAAGTGAATTGGTACAACTTGAAAAACATTACTTTGAAGCCAAATTTTTTAGAGGGAAGCAGGATTGTGTGAAGAACACTTGGAATCTTCAGTGCTGTTGCATGTTACAAACAAATGGAGGAGTGGGAGAGAGGTGAGAAAAGGAAAGGAGTGAAGGAAGAAAAGGTTTTGATTTATAAAAGAACTCAAATGTTTAAATAATGGAGGGATAAAGATTGGTTTTTTAATATTTTTTCTCTTTCGTTATTTTGTTTTCATTGAATAGTCTGACTGACACTTCCTCGTGAAGAACTGTATTACAAGACAAAAAGGCATCACTGAAAATAACAGGTTTTAAAAAATATTAAAAATTTTGTGTGTGTGAGAGAGGGAGATTGAAGCAAAGGCTTTTTTTTTCTTTTTTTTGAGTTTTGCCAACCATACAAACAAGAAATTACAGACAAAATCAGGGAAAAGTTTGAATTAAAAGAGAGTCATAATAATGCCCTATTAGGTAGAGGGGGAAGAAGGAAGAGACTTGACTGTGTGAGTGTGTGTGTGTGTGTTTCAAATAGTTAGACCAATTCTCATGGTTTCCAATTGCCACCTTCTGAAATTCAAAAAAAGGATTATGATGATGATGAATATTTATGAATTGCACCCATAGAGACCAGACCAACCAATGAGAACTCCAACTACTGCTTCCAGAAAGCACAATCATTTCATCACTTTTCTTACCTTTCACTCCATCATCAAACACACAGACACACGCACAAAGCTGGTCAAAACAACAAGAATTTACAGACATAATCTTATGATCTATCCATTTGTTTAAAAGCAATGTCAATTACACAGAGAGAGAGAGAGAGAGATAGAGAAAGACAGAGTAGATTTTACTCAAAAATACAAAACCACCACCAACACCCCTTCTCAAATTCAAAAAGCCACTCAAACTCTCCCACTTCCCCCAATTAGAAACTCCAAAAACCACTCATCATCACCTTTTTTTTTAAGGCCACTTTTATTTATCAATATCAATTTAGTATAAACAAATCAACACAAATTTAAGCAGTAAACATTAAACAGATAGTAACTTGTATGCATCTCTCTCTCACTCTCTCTCTCTCTCTTCAACTTTTTGGAGCAATGTGCTCTAAAATTGATAAATCTAAAACCATATACCAAAAGACTCAAAACTCTGAAGTCCTAAAAATAAAACCATATTTCTACCTCTAAAGTTATGGCCTTTTTTTATTTCAATCAATCCTTTTTAAGGCAGGCAACCAAATGGGATTATGAGGGGAAAAAAAAAAAAAACCTAATGATGATACAGAGCAGCAGTTGTACTTGTACCCATTCCGGTCTGTAAAAAAAAGATCTGAATTCAACCATAATAGCACTCACCAAACTTTATTTGACAGAGTTTGTAATAAAACCAAAAGGGGGTCGCTGCTGGTAGAAATATATTTTCGATTCTGGGGAGGTGACCGTATTATATATCTCAGTGGATTTTCATTGACTTGGGCTTGATTTGCTCAGAAACAATCTGCCATTTTTGGTGCATAAAATCTCTCTGTGAAGAAAAACCAAAAAAGGTGGTGACTTTGGAAAGAAACTGGAAAAAGATCAGGACAATTTTGGGTAAGCAAAAACTCTCTGTTCTCCCTACCGCGTTCAATGAATCATCAATTTTGGTTGAACAAAGGACAAATATTAAGCCAATGTAGGATTAAATCAATAAAATTGAGTTAAAAATATTCTTTTTCGAAATTTCTAAACTTAGGGGGGGTGGTTGAGTTAGTATTAAATTTTCAGCTGCATTCCCAGGATTTGGGGAGTAAACAAGTAATTATGATGATGATGTTACGGCTATTAAATCAGACGGCAATAAATGGGTTTCTTTATTTATTTCTTTCTTTCTTTGGTGCTTTTGAAATTTGAAATTAGGGGAGATTAAATTAATTGGTTCAGTTTGAATAGTGTTGCGTGGTTTCGGGGGAGCGTAGTCAATCTACTTACTTACTACTATACGTTTGAGATAGTAGGACTACAGTTTTTGAACTTTTGATGTCACTATACGTTAGGACTAGAGTAACGTATGACATATACTGTAATAATAGTATGATTCTTGTCTTCTTTGTTTACATTTTTTTTTTTTGCAAATGATTTTGACAGAAAAAAAAAATATTATTTATTCTGTTTCGAAATAACTATTCAATTTAAATGTTTATTTTTAAACAATTATCAAAAATGAAAATTGAAACTCCACAAACATTATATGACGAAAAAAATAACTTAATACAAGATCTAGTAAGTCATTATAATTTACATTTTTGCTTTATTGAAACAACTAACACTGAGTAGAGAGTCCGGTTAATCTTTATAGTCGTGACTCGAATCCACGAAAAAACTTCACATTATAGAATGTAGATCATTAACAAGCAATTTCTCTGTCTTACATGTCAAAAAAAAAAAAAGAAGAAAGAAAAATCTAGTGTGTTGTATTTATGCCTTATAAAATATTCCAAACAAAAATACTCCTAAAATTGAGGGGGCTGTTTTTTTTGCTTATTGGGCCACTTAATTTCTTTAACCCACCACGACTGTAGCCCGTTCAGATTCCAACCATATAAAGCCCTTACGAAAAAGGCCGAAACTCATCTCCCTTATTCCAGAAAAGCAAAGCACAGTTGAGTTTTCGATTGTGGGCTTAGTATATTGATCGGTTTAATTTACCTTTTTTTCTTTTTCCTTTTTGGTGAAGATAGAATTTTTAGGATATGTTTGTTTCGTTTCTTTAATGTGTGTGTTTTTATGTGTTTTTTATATTGAGAATGTAAAAAAATATATTGAAAATATAAAAATATATGCGGAGATGAAATAGTTATTATTAAAATTATCTGAAAAACCATCCAAAAAACCAAACAAAGAGAGCCTTAATTGCTGCTTTTTTGTTAGATGCAAAATAGACATGGTGATTGTCAACGTAAGAAACAAAATTCCAAATCAACGAGTAAAAATGGTGTACTACTATATCAAGGATAATATCGTAATAAGCTAACTCCTGATTCATCATTGATCTCGGTCAGGTCCAAAAGAAAGTATGTCAAGTAGTAGTATTACAATCTTGTCCATTAAACAGACCTCTCAAATCTTTGCCTTCAAGAAAGAAAAAAGAAAGAACCTTTCCATTTCGTGCTTTTGTGGAGGGCGGCGGCCATTTCAACCACAAACCACCACTCACCGGCCACTGCCCACGCCATCCACCACTTTCCCCTACATCGCCACGTTTTTTTTTCCTCTGTTATAGTCATGGGATTCTAGTAAACTGTACATTTTTACACGTTTATATAGCACACGCCTCTTCCGTTCACCGCCACTAATGCCGCAGTACGTATTTTATTTTTGCTCTCACTCGTCCAACACAAAACGGTTTTACATCACCTCCAAGTTCAACCAGTCAACCTCCTAAATTCACACCATCTGAATTCTGTAGTTGAAAAAACAGGAGAGAAAAGAAAAATACTCTTCCTTCACCTCCCTCCTATAATTAAATGGTTTGATTCCTCTCAAGTTTCATTTACCGTATTTTTTTATTAAAAATAAAATTTTAATATCACGAAAGAACACAATAAAAATAAAAATATATTTTTAAAATTTTTTATTCTAAAGTAAATTAACACAATTAATAAAAAATTTTTAAAAAATCGAAATACCTTAAAATGAAGACAAGAGTGAGTACTATTTTTTTTGGGGGTCCAAAGGATAATAAAATTAAAAAAAAAAATTAAAATATACAAAATTGTACAGTAAAAAAAATTGGACAAAAATTATATAAAGATCAGCTAAATTTAACTATAACAGTTGTACAATACTCCTTCCGTCCCATAATTATTGTCCAGTTTGAGTTTTTCATTTCTAGTTAAAAATTATACTAAAAGTGAAATATCAAATTCGACAATAATTTTGAGACAGTGTGAGTAAAACAGATCAGGAGTGAGTATTATATTAAAAATAATTTTAAAAAACTATACAAAAATAATTAAATTTTTGTTTAGGTAAGACCGTAAGAGCGGAAAGTAAAAGATAAGATCGGATAAATAAAATATTTATTAGAAGTGATAATCTTTATAAATATTTTGAGCACGCAAATTTCTTAGCAACAAAACTAACAAATAAAATCCAACGTTGATGTTAGTGGTAGTAGTACTATTAATAAGTAGCTTGTGCTTACTCCATTAGGATATTGTGAAATACAGAATGTACACAAATTAGAATCTTCATCTCTTCATTTTTATTTTCATTTTCATTTTCATTGTTTATAAATAATATAGTATTAAAAAAGAAAAAAGAGTAAAAAAGAAAAAGGAAGAACAAAAGAATCTTCCAGGCGCCCAGCTCCGCGATTTTTATTGGAAAAGTACAGCTAAGACAAACGTAAAATAAAAACGTTAGAGAAAGAAGAAGAGAGAAAAAAAAAACAAATCAAATCCACCCGCCCATCGCTTTGCTTTGTAGTACTAGTATGCCGCCCGGCCTATGGGACCCGCGTCAGCAAATATCTATTTTTTCCTTTTCTCTTTTTTTTTTCTTCTTCTTTAATCTCAATTTTCTGTCTCTTTCTCTCTCTACCCCCCCCCCCGAAAAAGTCCTTCTCCTTCTCTTTCTCGCACTAGAATGTGAATCTAGTCCGTTTCCGTGTGCCAAAAAATCCCTCCTCCGTCCTCCCTTTTGTCCCCAGACCCAAGTCTTTCCATTTTTCCGTTCCTTTTTTTTTTTTTTTCTTTTTTGGCTTTAATTTGTTTTCGTTGTTTTGGGTCTGATTCGGAATAAGTTGTTTTTTTTTTCCTTTCGAGTTATGATTTTCCCCTTTTTATTTTGATTCATAAATTACCTAAGTTGGAAATTTGTTGGAATTTGGTGTTCTTCCAGTCAACTCGAATTTCTTCAAATTTTGACCGGTGGTGGAAAATCACGAATGTGTTCCTGTTGATCTAGGGTTTTCAATTCCCGTTTTGTTTTTCAATTCTGAATGGGAGTTCTATTTGGGGGGTTTCTAGTCGGATCCCTAGTTCTATTGCGGGTTTGATATCTTCGTTTGGAGTTGTTGGGGATTTAGGGTTAGATTAGGGTTGGCCTTTGTTCGAAAAATGGTGGGTTCTGATAATTCCAGTCTGTCTCCGCCGCTTTCGTCGTCGCCGCAGCCTGAGTCGGCGGCTGCACCTAAGCAATTCGGCGTTACAAAACCTATATCTCGCGCCGGCCCATCGGAGGCTGATATTATGCGGACCAAGGACTTGGAAAAGGTTTGAAATTTATATAATTATTATTATTGGATATATGTTCATCAGCGCTTGCTAATTTTTAGAATTGTGTGCTCCGTTCTGAATTTTGTGGCGCCTTGTGTTCAGTTTCTGGAAGATTCTGGACTCTACGAGAGTGCTGAAGAGGCTGCCAAAAGAGAAGATGTTTTGTCTCGGCTTACGGAGGTATGTTAGTCTAAGTAGCTGTGGCATTGTTGATCAGGATGCCGTTGGCAATAAGTAAAAAATATTGTTTTGGACTACCTTCACCTTTGTAATTGTCAATTAAGTGCTGTTTGTGCGGATCTCAGTAATGATTTTAATTAATGTTATCAGCAACTGGAATATGAACTGGAAATATAAATGAGATCTTTTATGCCCAGTTTATTTATTCCTAGTTTCCAGATATGAATAGCGTAGTTGATTTTGTATTGAAACAAGGGTTGCTGTTGGTTGGAGGGTGTAAAATGGCTGGCTTAGTGTGTTCAGTGTTTGAAATAATTTTGAGGCTTATCATTTATGTGAAATAATTTTGAGGGTTGTCATTTATGGCGAATGGTTTCCATTTGATACCATTGCAGTCTTCTGCTGGTGCTATTATACCTTGACATGATAATTGAATCTATTGCCAGGGTGTTGTGTTTGCCAAACTGTCCTTTGTTTGATGTGTTACAATTGCCAGGATTCTCTGCACTACTGAGTATTTAGTTTTATATTCTTTTTTACATATTTTTCATCTCTGCACAGATTGTGAAGGACTGGGTGAAAGGAATCACTCGTTTGCGTGGGTATACTGACCAGATGGTGGAGGATGCCAATGCTTTGATACTTACTTTTGGTTCTTATCGCCTTGGGGTGAACATCCTTCTCTTTTTCCTCTTTAACTTCATTGTCCTGTTTTGTTGACAATGCGGCATCAACCTGCTAGAGCTTCCATATTCTCTTTATTTAGCTTTCCTGGCCATGAAATTTAACTTTTCTGCAAATAGCGCCGACAATCTAAGTTGGTTGGGTTTCTGCAGCATAACCTTCTCTAGATGAGCTTGACATGATTTTGTTTGAGCTTCAGTTTGGCTAGAGTAATTTTGTTGAAGATGTAAAATTTATGCGGTGTGAAGTGATTTTCTGTCCTCTTTTCCTAATTGCAATTGTGTTATTTGATCGGAAGAGATTTGTGGAAGAAGCAAATACCTTTTGTGTGTTAATTATCACGGGCTTCCTTTGTTGACCAATACAGTTGTATTTCGTCAAACAAATGATCTCTAAGAGTTTTAGATACTTCTCACTGCCACAAGTGTGTTGGCTATTAACATTGTACTTTTGGTACCCTTGTCTCAAAAAGTTTTCAGTTCGATTCGTAATCATTGTTGTTGATGTTGAAAGGAAATTTTGCTGTTTCTTCAACTGTTACTGTTACTGGATTGCTTTTTCATCCTCTAAACTTTTAAAGTCCTCTCCTGGAGTCTTAGTATCGTTAGTCGTGACAACATAATGTTTCTGTTTATCAGGTACATGGCCCTGGAGCCGACATAGATACCTTATGTATTGGGCCATCATATGTAACTAGAGAGGTAATTTCTAGATTCAATGCCTTAAAGTCATTTTCTTTTCTTTTTTTTTTTTTTGGGTGCGACTTTAAAGTCATTTTCTGTTACCATGACTTGTCTAATGTTCTTCGATCTTGCTACCACTATAGGACTTCTTTTACGTGTTGCATGATATTTTGGCCGACGTAGAGGGAGTTGCTGAAGTGCAACCAGTTCCGGACGCTCATGTACCGGTTATGAAATTCAAGTTTGATGGGATATCAATCGATCTACTTTTTGCCAGTGTGTCTCTTTTAGTTGTCCCAAATGTAAGTTATTCTATTGTGGTTTTGTAACTTATTTCTGGTATCTCATTTAGCTAATTTATTTATTTATTTATTTATCCTGGGCTTGGTGAGTGTTCGAACTTGCATCTCACTCGATGAATGAAAGAGTTAGTAGGCTTATAATTTATGCTGTTTAAATAGACGCCTTGGAGAACTTTCTCAAGTGCATTTGTTAGTATCTGATGATTTTCACTTTCTTCCATATCTTTGATGGACATGGTGTTGTAGTATTATTCCAAAGTAGCATTATCTGATATGATGTATGTTTGGGAAAACTATTCAGGATTTGGACATTTCAGATGTCTCGGTGTTGTACAATGTCGATGAAGCAACTGGTCGGAGTCTGAATGGCTGCCGAGTTGCAGATCAAATACTAAAACTCGTTCCAAATGTTAAGGTGATCTCTTGCCTTTCTTGTAATACATTGTATTCGTTATATGATTTATATGTTCTCCCTTTTGATATTATCATCGTTTGAATGTCTTACATAGCATTTCCGGACGGCACTTAGATGTGTAAAGTTTTGGGCAAAACGACGTGGCGTTTATTCAAATGTGAGTGAATTCCTACTTGGTAGAGTTTGTATGTTGGCTTCTGAGTTTGTTTGTTTTTTCTTTAAACTCCATTTTTATGGGTTGTAGGTGACTGGTTTTCTTGGTGGAGTAAACTGGGCTCTCCTTGTTGCTCGTGTATGCCAACTATATCCAAATGCAAACCCGAGCATGTTAGTTTCTCGCTTTTTCCGAGTTTATACCCAATGGCGTTGGCCAAATCCTGTAATGCTTTGCGACATAGAGGACAACGAGCTTGGATTTTCTGTTTGGGATCCAAGGAAAAATCACTGGGACCGAGGCCATCTTATGCCAATCATAACTCCTGCGTATCCATGCATGAACTCTAGCTACAATGTTTCTGCAAGTACATTAAGGGTAATGATGGAGCAATTCCAGTTTGGTAACAAGATCTGTGAGGTATAATATCTCTTACTCCTTCTTTTCACCTTTTGAACTTTGATAATGATTTGACAGCTTTTCACTGAGTGGTTGGGTTCTATTCAAAATTCATTCTTCAGGAAATTGATCTGAACAAGACCCATTGGAGTGCATTGTTTGAGCCATATATGTTCTTTGAGAGCTATAAAAATTATTTACAAGTTGATATTCTTGCAACTGATGCTGATGACCTGCGGACCTGGAAAGGTTGGGTCGAATCGCGACTGAGACAGTTGACTCTTATGGTAATATCTTTATAGTCTGGAATAATTGGTAAAAACTCCATTAAAAACTCTGGTGTGCAATTTCCCATTAGGGGAAAATTGGATAGTTGAAGAGGAGGACAATCTACATTCTCTTTTATTTTGTTTTTCTTAACCATTGCAGATTGAACGGGACACCTTTGGCAAGTTACAATGTCATCCATATCCTAATGAGTATGTGGATCCTTCAAAGCCATGTTCCCATTGTGCGTTTTTTATGGGATTGCAAAGGAAACCTGGAGAGGTGATTCAAGAGGGTCAGCAATTTGATATCCGTGGAACAGTTGATGAGTTTAGGCATCAGGTGAACATGTATACTTTCTGGAAACCAGGAATGGAAATATATGTGTACCATGTTCGCCGGAAGCAGATACCAGTGTATGTGTTTCCAGAGGGATACAAACGCAGTCGACCTCCAAGACTTTCAAGTCAACAATCAGCTGATAAGTCAGAAAATGGTGAGATTCACAGGTCAGGATCTTCTGAAAAAACGCTTAAACGGAAAATGGGGCCTGAAGCGGCTGGTGTAAATGAAGACAGTCCCGAGAAAAGGCATTCGATTAGTCCCCAGAGGAGAGATTCCATCTCACCCGAACTTTTCAGTCAAATAAATAGCATTGATCTGAAAGCATGCTCTTCAGATGCAAATTCAAGACTGCAAGAAAGTGGTGGAGCCAATGGATTATGCTTGAGCTCTGCCGGATTCACACCAGAAATGCTTGCGGAAAATTGTGACAGTAGAGGAACTAGCTTGGACTTAATGGAGGTGCAGCATATTGTGCCACAGAAAAGTATCTTGGATGAGTGCTCCAATATGCTCTTTGATGAGAATGCTAAGCCTGTCTGCGTAAGTGCAGCATCCCACCTAAATGGTGAGATCTCCAGCGAGGACACAAGAGATGGAAGTATTATTGGGATGGTGGCTTCTAAGGGGTCTTCAGATTCTGATGCTTTTAAGTCGGATGCCAAATTGCCGATGGGCAATGGAAGGGGAAATGGGGCACATGTGTACGAAGATGCACTGCGGGAGTTGGAGGTTTTGGCTTTATATTTTCTTTGCCCTTTTTACTCACTTATTTGCATAGTTATCATTCTTGTTCATCTTGCATTTTTTCCCGCTACTAACTTGTTAATTCCTATCGACTATTGTTGTTGATGTTGCTAGCTTAGAATAGAGTTTTATCATTTCTTTGAACACAATTGATTCTGTTTGAATATTGATTCCTTTTTTTTTTTCTTTTTCTTTTTTTTTTCCTGCCTTCCTTTGAAGCCAAATACTGCTGAGGAAGTCGTGCTGAAGTCCAGGGATGGAGTAAGCTCCGAATCTGTACAAAAAACGGTGATGAGGCATGTGAATTGGTTTTTTGTAAACTATTTTTCTTGTATTTGATCGTTTTTCTACCATTTTTGTCTTTATGCTGCTGTTTGTTTGTGGTTTTGCTATTTGCAGCCGGTTGAGCCTTGCATCAACAGCTTGATAAAGCAAGTTGGACCTTATGTAACAAGATTGATTGTGGATAATGATATTAAGGGAAAGCCAGCACGTCCGGTAAGTATTATGTACATTGCTGGCTTTCATTTCCTTCTGTTTTTTCCAGGCGCGATTGTGCTTTTATCCCTGGGGAAGGGGACCCTGTGAGCCAGGAATACAAATAGGCGAGATGAATCCTGTATTCACTTCTGCTGTGTACAGTCTTTATTTTCCTTGGGCAAGGATGATGCTGCAGTTCTTTATGAGCAAGCCTTGGTGCTTTTGACAAAGACTGGGAACTTGGGATACATCTGAGCTGATGTTAGCTAGGAACTTGGTCCTATTTCTTGTTGAAGTGATAGAACTGTCTGTTGAAGAACCAAGGTGATTGGAGACATAAATCGATCGGGGTACTCTGCCTAAGATTTTGGGAGTGACTTGGTTGTTTTGTTGGAACAGAAGTTGCTATTCCAATCACTTTGTACTTGTTTCTAAGTTCTAACACCTTGAACTCTTCCTGTACATGGTTGACCGTAGTGATTCTGGAGATTAGATCGTTGACAATCAATCAGATTCTCCCTTGTCTATTTTTATGGGCTTTTAGCTTTCCGCCTTACAAAGTATGTACCATACTTGTGGTTTCCGATCTCATCGCTAAAATTGACCATGGAACTATTCAAGGTTCGCGGAATACATGATTTGTGAAACTATGGAGCACGTTTTAAAATTCGAACTTGGCAAGTAACATGCGGAAATGGACTGAATGCGACTTCTGACCTAACAATGTATAGTCCAAACAAGAACATTGTTTCTGTATTTCATAAAGTCCAAACGTGGACAAGAATAGTTCTAAAGTGTGTGTAACTTGGGTTGTGGTACGAGATAGAAATTTGATTTGATACTATTGACATATTGTAGGAGATGAATAATAATTTCATTAATTTTGATGAACGATATGAACTTACCATGAAAGTTGAGACGTCCAAAATATTCGCTTCCCATAATGTGGGAGATGGTCAGGATGCCACTTGTGTGTTCCCATGATTTTGGAGTATCATCAGATCAACAATGAAAAATCGAAACCTAGTAGCCCCATGTTACCTAAAAGTCCTAATAAGTTATAGTTCTACCCAATTATTCAGCGAATATATCGAAACTGATAATGTAGGAAAACCAGACTTGATTGATATGCCCTTCCAAAAATAGAAACTTGAAAACACCAAACACAAAAATCAGATTCCTCTCTCTCTCAATTCTGCACCGTTGGTAAGCTGGGCAATCAAAAATCCATCCTTTTCTTTTCTCCCCCAAAAAAGAAAACGAAACTTGCTTTAAATAAGAACATGTTTTTTCCATAATGAATTCATCACCATCGTAGTTGGTTAGAAGGAAAAAAAGGAGGGGAGATCCATATTTCCCATTCCCAGTCCTAACTTTCCCCTGAAATTCTTATTCACTTCAAATCTCACTTTTTTCTCCTTTTTCTTGAAGATCAAGATTATTATATCTCTATCCATTTTTTATCCCTTTATTATCCCTTTTATCCTATTATATATATACCGATTTAGCTGATTAATTTTTCGGCCTAATCTTTTTTCTTGTTAGTAAATAATCTATCCGTATTAAAATCTATTCTTTTTTTTCGCTCTTTGAAAGTTTGGGTAAATTGAGTGCTGAGAAATCATGGGGAAGGTTGCGGTGGGAGTGGCGGTGATTGGTGCGGCTGCCGTCTGTGCAGGGGCGGCCTTGATTGTCAGGCATCGGATGCGATGCTCCAGCCGGTGGGCCAGGGCTATGGCGATTGTCCGGGAACTGGAGGAGAAGTGTGCGACTCCCGATGCCAAGCTCCGACAAATCGCCGACGCCATGACCGTCGAGATGCACGCCGGCTTGGCCTCCGAGGGTGGCAGTAAGCTTAAGATGCTCATCAGCTACGTCGATAATCTCCCCACCGGGTGAGTTTTTTTTTTTTTTTTTTTTTTTTCTTGAACCGAATTGATTTCTTTTCCTTTATTTCATGATCATTTATTTCAATTTCCCCATACGTGTAAAGTGTGATCTTTCTTGCATTGTTTCCATTTGGGTGATAATCTTGACTGATAGTTTGCTTATGTGTGGGATCTTTTTATTGGAAAATCAAGGAAGAAAGATTGCATCGTTCCTTCTTCTTCTTTTTTTGCTTTTAATTATATAGAATGTTAAATTCTCCTGGATTTTGCCTTAATTACCGTTCTTTATTCAGAGATGAGGAAGGTGTTTTTTACGCATTGGATCTTGGAGGCACGAATTTTAGAGTTTTGCGAGTTGAATTAGGGGGGAAATCTGGTGGAATACTCAGTCAAGAATTCATGGAGGCATCTATTCCTCCTGAGCTGATGGTGGGAAGTGCTGATGTAAGCTATCTTTGTGTTGTTTCTTTAGTTGTTGGGTTTTTCCTTTAGGTGATCTCTTTCAATCGGTTTTCTGAATGCTGGGAAATTCTTTGTTTTCAGGCACTCTTTGACTACATTGCCTCAAAGCTTGCGAAATTTATTACCGAAGAGGAAGAGAAGTATCACCCACCACCCGGTAGACAAAGGGAATTAGGATTTACTTTCTCTTTCCCTGTGATGCAAACTTCAATTAATTCGGGAACACTTATTCGCTGGACAAAGGGTTTCTCTATTGATGACATGGTAATTCTGTGGTCCTCCTGAGGTTTTGTGAGTTGTCTTTGGAAAGAATAGTTAAGAGAATCCCAGTGCTGTTATGAAGTTGGGTTGGGTAACAACTTGGCATCTATATTGTTAGAAAACTGTGATTGTATCTTAGATTCGATTTCTTTGGGGAAAAAAATTCTAAGCTTTGAACTGAATTTCCTACATCGTGCATTGACCTCCCCTTTTTGTTAGAGCGAGGTGTCCTCGTTGATCTGTGCATTTGCATTGCTGCTTTTGTGTTATCTTCAATTTGTAACTATTGAATGTGATCCGCAGTTGTCATGTTTCCTTATAATAGGTCGGCAATGATGTTGTGGCCGAATTGACAAAGGCCATGCACCGACAGGGTGTTGATGTTAATGTTACTGCCCTCGTAAGTGGTTTTATGAAATTGGTGTGCCTAATTGGAAATACTGTAAAAGTTATCTACTTTGTTTAAGAACTTGCTTTATATGATCATGATCCGTAGGTTAACGATACGATTGGAACACTAGCCGGGGGGAAGTTCTCTAACAGTGATGTAGCAATTGCTGTGATCATGGGTACTGGAACCAATGCAGCATATGTAGAACGTGCTCAGGCAATTCCAAAGTGGCATGGTCCATTACCAAAGTCTGGAGAGATGGTCAGTAAAGTCATTCATTGTTAATCTCTTTACTGAATGTGATTCTGCCTTGACTTTTAAGCTCATCTGTTTCGGTGTTTTCACATGCCTGTATTTTCAATGATCAATGTGCCCTTCTGTTGCTCCCTATGGAACAATATGAGTTTTCATTATGCTAGGATTCTAAAGCATGTTAATGAAAGTTCATCTCTACTGAAATGTAGGTTATAAACATGGAGTGGGGAAATTTCAGGTCCTCACATCTTCCTTTAACAGAGTATGACCACGCATTGGATACTGAGAGTTTAAATCCTGGTGAACAGGTCAGAATATTCATAGTGTCTGCTACTTCTCTGTCGTTATATAGACAGTCTCTTGTACCTTACAATTGGTTTTTGTTTACAGACATTTGAGAAGCTAACTTCCGGCATGTACTTGGGAGAGGTCTTGCGCAGAGTGCTGCTTAGATTGGCTGAAGAGGCTGATTTCTTTGGAGATGAGGTTCCACCAAAATTGAAGATTCCATTTGTATTGAGGTATTTTTGGGAGATTGCATGATCTATAATTTTCAACGTGTAGTATTGTAGTTCAAAACTAGTCTGCTTTTCTTGTAAGTTTGATCCTTGTCTGGGTATTATTTACTCAGGAGTTGCACCATTAGAATATCAACAATTTAGGGTATCTGGGTTACTGTAGACTGATATAAACAATGAAGTAGCAGCATGTTCCAAATGATACTTCCCAAGAAGTACAATTAGAAGCTTAGAACAATACCTCCATGATACATTTTCTTTTCAAGTCTGTTAGAATGGTTTTCTCAACTTGTAGCTTTATACGCTAATATCTTCAATATTCACTTCTTTGATTCAATTTCTACGCTGCTGTGTAATAGGATTATATAACACTATGCTTATTTATTTGTTTATGATTTGCAGGACACCTGAAATGTCAGCCATGCATCATGACACATCCTCTGATTTGAAAGTCGTGAGCAGCAAACTAAAGGACATATTAGAGGTACTTTTCTCTTGTCAAATTTTATCATTTGGGTTGGAAATCGTGTATATCTGATTCCCACTTCCTCAAAATGTTGATGGTCTGTTCAGAAAATAAATAGTAACCAGATCGGGTGATTTATTAATTCAGTGTGTTACATTGTGATGACGGATGTCTGTCCGTGTAAATTTGCTTAGTTAGAGACGATTCTCTGCACGGTTGACTCTGGCTTATTGGACAAAAAACTGGGATTGGAATCACGGAATGTTCTAGTTCCATTTTAATTCATCCCAAGTTTCAGCATCCGACTTAAATTGGTGGATACTGTCAGTAATTTTCCAATCATTCACATCTTCATGAAGTTGTGATGTCAAAGAATAGTAACTTTGAAACTGGTTGTCTTTCACATCCTTGAGAGCTTGTGGATAAGAGAATATCAATACTGTTCGTTGTCATTATTAGCAGTATCATTACATAATTTCTGAATATTGAAATCCTTTGATGATCTGTTGAAAAAAATACTTGCATCAAAGTTAGTGTCCCAATTATGTTGGACCGTTCCCATTAATGTCTTACCTTTCAGGTGTCCAATACCTCCCTGAAAACAAGAAGAATCGTGGTTGAGCTATGCAACATAATCGCTACTCGTGGTGCCAGACTTGCTGCTGCTGGGATGTTGGGTGTCCTCAAGAAAATGGGAAGGGACATTCCCACAGGAGGAGTGCCCGAAAAGACTGTGATAGCTATGGATGGTGGACTGTACGAGCATTACACTGAATACAGCAAGTGTTTGGAGAACAGTCTGAAGGATTTGCTTGGAGATACCGCGAACAGTATATCCTTTGAGCATTCCAACGATGGTTCGGGAATCGGTGCTGCCCTTCTAGCGGCTTCTCACTCCCAGTACCTGGAAGATAGATCCTGAGAGTACTCACAACCGCAATCAGACAGTATTCCTTTTTGAAGCATAGGACATCTTTGTGTCTGCCTGGGATCTCTCCTAAACATACCTTTTCTTGGGCTATTTTAACCTCCGTTTTCTTACCCCATAAAACCATATACATACGTATCAAGAGATATATGGTTTTGATAATTGGGGAAATGAGTGGACTTTAGATGTGAAAAATGAGGATTTGCATTTACTCTTTTTTTTTTCCCCCCAAACTGCACAGCCAATTTTTACCTCATGATGTATCAAACAGATTAGTCTAACTTTAATAAATATACTCAAGTTTCCAAATCTTTATCAGGGTCGGTTATCATAATATGGAGAATTTTAGCGTTAGCCGGTTAACATCGGGTATGCAGATGCTTTTCTTTCATCAGCAGAGATGAACTCCGTTTGGCTTCTTAGGGTTCAACCCAGAAAATCTCACAGCTGTGATTATTTTCAGTCATGCAGAGCAGAGCTAGATTTGTTCCTGGGAACTACATCTTTTCCTTTTATTAACACATAAAATAGATTATCACGATTGATTGTGAATGATATGTAGAGCTGTAGCCATATTTCATGAGGTCCAATTATACATCACTTCTTTGAATAATCACAAGAATGAAAAAGGTGCGAGATTCGATTCTGTTGTTGCTGATAGAACTTAAAAGAGTTTCAAGCATAAACCCCTAAAACAATTGTGAATATAGTATCCTCCCCCCTTTGAAATTTTATTTACAGTTTGCACGTATAATTTTCATTAAGTTGTTGGTCTAGATTTGTTCCTTGCATCAATCGGGGTACAAAATATTACTCCCCCGTCCCAAAATTATTGTCTAGTTTAGGTTTTCATTTTTAGTTTAAATTGTGCATAAAGTGAAATCTCAAACTGAACAATAATTTTGGGACGGAAGGAGTATCATGACAGGTAAAAAAGCTCACTAGATGCAGAGCGGAAAAGGACCAGTTAAGTTAATAACCATCTGAAATCAAGAACATGAGATACTTACATGATCATCAGGGGGTAAAAAGTTACATACTTTTTAACTCCATATTCAACAGTTTAGCAAGAAATATATGCACTTTTGCATCAGACACTCCACACATTCCACGACCAAGAAGGATTTTAAAAAAGGCAAAAAAGTGAAAAACAAAATAAAAAAAATTCAAAATGACAAGTTTGTCCTTCCTAATACAACCACCCATCATCAGCAGCAGCAGTTGTAGTTAATTACAAAATCATTTGCCCTTGTTTGGGTTATCTTTCCAGCCAGCCATATATAAACTGTTAAAAGTGCAAGTCATTACACAATCAGAGTTGTTTCCTCATTTCAGTGAAACGTCAAGTGAGGTATTCCCTAGCTTGCTCCCACCTACAAAATCCAAAAAAGAAGGAAGAAAAATTTCATGTCTTAGAACTTGCTTCATTTCATATTCTTAGCACAGTGTCACAAGGGTAAATGTGAAATTACGACTTACGGCATAGTTTGGAAATCTCAGAGCTTTTCAACACCCGCAGCCTCTTTACTGTGGAGACAAACATGCTGCAGACAAATACAGGACAGCCAAAATGAGTTAGGCAAACAAACAATTTTGCCAAAAACTTCAAACTTGATTGAGACATGTTTCTTTTAAGACAATAATATCAACAAGGTTGGGTTGAAGATGATATGAAACTCCCATGTAGACGATACATCTAACAAACAACCACCACTAATTTTTCTCAAAAACTATTCGGGTCGACTTTATGAATCACTAAGAGCTATCGTATAATATTAAAACACATGTTTTCATTTAGGTTCATGTAGATAATATAATCATATAGACTCCATACCAGACAGCTGGTCTTATACTCTTAATGAGTCAGTTGAGAATAATAGCATGTTCTTGTTGGTCCTAATTTCTAACAATAACAGCTTGCAGTTTGATTCCAATAGAAGGAAGATAATTTATATGATGCAAATCTAGTGAGATTAGGTTGAAGATATGTTCTTTTTTCCCTTGAAACCAATAGTGACAAATTGTACTAGGAATATAAAAGGTTAGCAAGTAGTAATTTTATTTTAATAAAAAATATTAAGGAGGCATCAGATCCAAAACAAGAAAAGATGCTTACTGCCATGGGACATCCCCAACAAGCATCCTGTCTCCTTCATTATCTTCATATACAAGGGTATATTCTCCACTACCGTCCAATAAGCCACTAATCACTTTCTCTCCCTCTCTTCCATTGTTGTTGTTCTGAATTCCACCAGCAGGGGAATCACCTTGAGCTGAAAAAAACACAAATAAAAAATACAAAGTAATTTAGACCACCTTTTATAGAAAAAAAAAAAAGAAAAAAGAAAAACTCAAGTAACTATGTAGGATTTACAATTAGCAAGGACCCCAGATCAATAAAGTTCAGTAAGCATGAGAAAACCATCATTATTGATCATCATACCTGTGCTAGTCTTGCAGAATATATATTTTTCACTTAAAAATATTGAAATAGTCTAGGTTAGGGAAAGATCCATTTTGTGAGCATGTAATAAAATAATGGATACACATTCTTTTTATAGTCACACTTCAATAATTCAATCATGTTCACCGCCGCACCATCCCAAGCATAAATTATATAATATTCTTAGAAGAAAAAGATCTAGTGAAAAACTATAGCAGTAAAGAAAAACCACCTGCTAGAAGGCCTCTGAAAAGTTCATCAACAGCAGAGGAGAGTTTGTCATAACTATCATAGGCATTAAGGTCAACTTTCCTTCCAATAGGGACTCCATCCATATTGATCTTCACAAACAAACCCTTGAGCTGCTGGCATTTTTCAGTTTTCACTTTTTCATCAGCAGTAATCTTGCTGGTATTGTTAAGAGATCCAGAAGTGGACTTCAAATTACTGCTACTTGCAAGGTTTTTTCTGAATGAACGAATTGGTGGCCACCCCACAACTGGAGCTGGAGCAGTAGTTCTGTTTTTCACCAAAGACCATATTTTATAAGATAAGATAAAAAGTAGTCATTTGAAACCATCAATAATTGAATTATATATCAAAAGTTTCCAGACCCGAAATGATATATAACCATTACGAGGGGAGAAAAAAACAACTCTTTCTTCAACGTTTAATAGTTAGTACTATTTGTTAAAAGCTTTTCTATTAAAGTCCAAACATTTTGGTTAGATCCAGGACTTTCTCTTATTAAATGCATGTTTAGCCATGAAATGGACTGTTCAGAAATAGAGCTTAATTCGAGTTATGACAAAAGACTAAACAAAAATTCAGACCAAAACATGTAAAGGAAAAAAGGATAAGATTTGTTTACATATTGCCAAAACAGACCAACCATGACTATTCCCATTATTGTTGATTATACAAATGAGCAGGTAAAGAAAGAAAAAGAAGGAAATAGAGCTAGGATATGTCTAAAGAGCTCAAAAATGTTCACCTTCAGAAAAAATAGAGATGGGATGCTTGGAGGATGTACAGTTACATATCAGACACCAAATTGTATAACAAATATGATAAAAAAATATTGGACCACAAACATGCAACAGAGTATTTGGAATAGTGAGAATCATCTGTCCAAAAGAAAAACCAAACATAAATTAAGAAAGGAATTTTGTTTTTTTCTTCTTCAAAAAGAACAAATTAAAAAGATAAAAATATTAAAGGAAAAAAAAAAGCTGAAGCAGTACCTTTTCTGAGCAGTACTGTTGGGCACAGCTGTGTTAGCAGAAGAAGTTGATGAAAATGCCTTCTTTTCTGCAGTCTGCAAGTCTACTGTTTTGGGACAACAGTGCTGTGATGATTCCTTTGACATAACAGCAGGCAGACACTGTGAAGTTGACTGGAGCTGAAGAAATGATGAATTCCCTTTTGTTTGCTGCTGCTGCGGCTGATGGCCTTTCCCTTGGTTATAAGCTGATGATGAAGATGAAGTTGACCATGGAGTTGTTGTAGTGGTTGAGAACACATGATCATCAGAAAATGATGGGAATTTCTGGGCTTGTTTACTACCATTTGCAGTGTCTGTGAAACCTCTCTTCATCCCAGAAGTTGTAGAAACATTGGTCATCATGTTAGGAAACCGGTTAAAAGAAGGAAGAGATGGAGATGATGATTCATCTCCTCCAGGTGGACCAAGCCTGAGCTCCAATTTCTTCTCCTCTGAAACACCATCACGGCCTGCTTCCATTTTCACATTCCATTCCCCTTCTTTTGGTATCAAATCGAGTAGTTTAGGACATCCCTCCATTGTATTTCCAAGATTCAATTGGAAAAAAATGAGGTCTGAGGTCTTGGGTTGAGATTTTTTAGAACAGAAATGCAAGAATTATATAGCGTAGACAGATAAGACTTCTGCAGAGGGAAAAAAAAAAAAGAAAAGTGAGGTTTTGGTTAGAGAAAAGAGAACAGCTGCAAACAAACCTATAAGACATGCAGTTCATGTGGTTTTTATAGAAGAGATAAAATCCATCCATACGTGTGGAGAAAAAAGAAAAACTAAAAAAGGGACAAAGAAAGAATGAAACTTTACCTTCAATGTCTAACCAAAGCTGAAAAACTTAGCAGCCCACATCATTGAAAAACAACATAAAAAGGAAGAGGCAAACTTAAAGAAGGAAGGAATCACTGGATAGCAACCGGACAGCAGTACTAATAAAGCTCAAATCTTTGACTGAGCAGAAATTTGTTTCAAAGAAAACAACACATGTAAACACACTCCTCTTCAAATCAAAATTTAACCCCACAAAAAAACCAAAAGAAATTGATAGTTCTGGACTGCAAATCTTCAAAGTTTTTACTTTAAAATGAATGCGTGGAGAGTGGAGTGTGTGTCTGTGTGTGTTTATCCCTTTTGGTTTAGTCTCCCAATTCCCCTTCTTGTGTTATAAACCAGGCCTATGTGAACAGATGATTAAAACGGAAGGAAGCAGAAAATGGGCAAAAGAGTATAGAATAAATAGAAGAAAAAAGACGCAGAGAGAGAGAGAGATCAGATTCCCTTTTCTACTACTGCCTTCTTTCCCCTCTTTTTCTCTTGGCCCCAGAAAAGTAGTAAAATTTAGTTGACAAAACACGCAACCTCACAATCCTAATGCCTAAAAATGTGTCCTTGTTTGGTTCAGGAAGCAAAGCATGCTGAGTTGCTGACCTTTCTTTCTTTTCTTCTCTTTCTTTCTTTCTCAGAATACTTAAATAAAACCAGGGTGATAAGAAGGTCTATAAATCCTACTACTACTACTGTTTTGCTACCATATTTGCAATAAGTAGACCATGACACAGATCCCTACTGACCTATATGGACTTTTTTTTTAATAAAAAAACTATATATTTTTTCCACTACAGCATTTTTGGCACACTCCCCCAAAACATCCCCCTTTTCACTTGATTGAGTTTTTGTTGATTTGGTTTTATGAGACATAAAGTCAAGAACTTGAAAATGACTACTTACTCCAAATCCAACTATTATTAACTCCTTACACAGTAGCCATTTTTACTAATCAGTGTAAGTGACTTCTAATTGCAAAAGTCTTGTGATATTTATATGATACTATGATTCAACAAGTATGGTTAAAAGGGCTGGCATTAAATCAGGAAAAAGAGAGAGAAATGGAAGAACTCTGAGGAGAGGATTTGCATGATCCATATTTGCAGATGGGCAGGGCAGAGAGGGCAGGAGGAGTAGGGGGTGGATTATGCAAATAAAAAAACATGCAGATCCCATGATCTTGTCCCCTTCTTTATCTCCTTCCTCAAACTTCCAAAAATCCATGCAATTTTTTTGCATCCCAAAAAAAAAAAAAAAAACCAGAGTTGGAGAAGTAATTAGTTCCCTGTGACACTTTCTTCCTATGGTATTATGTTATGGGTATGGGGTTTTGTTTTTTGGGTATATCATATATGACTCAGCTGAGCTGATCCCTGTCGCTAAACTTTGAGAATTTTGATACGCAAGTTTCATTAGGTGATGTAATTCATTTTTGATGGATTAAAAAAATGTGCATCAATTTCTCTAATGCCGTAACATAAGCATTGTTATCATTTTATTTCATGGGATGAGGATGCTTATAATAAAAAATCACTTATGATGAACAATAGTACACAAATTCAACAACAATATGATCAATCGCCATGAAAGTGTCTGTCTATATTGTAATCACAAAAATTTGGTAGGAAAATTCTTCCTCGCTTGTTATGAACCGGGAAAGAATCAAAGTTGGTTAAGTGGTGGCAAATGAATGAAGGAATTGGTGATGGGTCAATTTTGGGAGATTTTCTTCACGTGTGGATTTTCACACTTAACCATACCAATTTTAATCCATGATTGATGATATACGTATAACATTCGAGTAGATTTGGATCCCAATAATCAACCCCTGAATTCTTTATAATTTTGTACTACAAGTCTTATAAGAGTAGGTGACAATCCCCAACTTGTTCCCCCCATTTTCATGGAATTGGCTCGCAATTCTCAGAGTCAACAGGACACCATCTCTAGCTAGCTTTGCTTGTGTCTATTTTCCTATTTTTCGAAATAACATTGTATGACAGCCAAATTACAAAATTACAACCACATTTCACATAAGTGATTGTGTTCAAAAAAAAAATAAAAATAAAAATGAAGCCAAATGATTTTAGGAGAGCAAATTTTGTAGCGAATTATCTGGAGCCTCTTTTATTGGGGGAAAAAAACAACAATAGCTAAATAATTATTCCCTCCATCCCATAATTATTGTTCACTTTGCCCAAAAAATTTTATCCCAAAATTATTGTCCAATTTGACTTTTTATGGATCAAGTTACACATTTGTCCTTAGTAAAAAACATTATCCATAAAATCTTAGTGGTTAAATAATTACTTATGTAGAGGTATATCCGATTGATTAAGGTAAAATATAGTTAAGTTTGACAAAAAATAAAATCTTTCATTTTAGTAAAACTGGACAATAATTATGGGACGGAGAGAGTATATATTTGTTTGTGATGGATAAGTCGCATCTGTAGCTTGTTGAATGTGTAGGAAAATAACATAAAAGACGAGACAGTGAGTATAAAATTAAATTGAAACAATGAATAGCTGAAAACATGCATACATCGTGGATTCAATCTCAATTTCGTGCATCAACTACTCACTCACTCAAGTGTTCAAGAGCCAACAAAATTGGTACATACTACAAAGACCAGTGGTAAAGTTTCAAAAGCAGTAGGAATAGGATAATATTTTTACCTAATCTTTTCTTACTTACTCTTAATTATATCCTGTACTTACAAAAACTTATTTTTGGCGAGATATCATCAAAATCATAATGTTCCTACCTAATACTCCGTCTAATCTTAGTTTTCATAAGAGTGAATCAATAATATTATTATGCCTACAATTAAATTCATATAACTCCAACAAAGGCAATTTGATAAAAGAAAGATGTGGGGGTGAAATTATAAATTGTGGTAAGAGAGGATAAAAGCAGGTTGTAAACGTGGCGGTGAGTGTGAGGACTTGGGAGGCTGTGTAGAGAGTTTTGGATAGTGAGTTTACGCTATTCCCTGCTCCTCCTTTCTTCCTAACCAAAGGGCCTAAAGCCTAGTTGTCCGCTTACAGGGAAAAAGGCCACACCACTTTCCACGTGCCATAACTCCCCCAACCACACGCCGGGGACCACCGTAGTCCGGGCAAATCCCAGCCGGCCGTTTGCTCCGGTTTACCCCCGCGCGTGATGGTGGCCAGCTGGCCATTTGAGACTCTCTCTTACTATTTCTCTCTCTCCGTCTGCGGCTTCCGACCAACCAACATGCGCTCTAACTACAAATGCCCAGCTTCCCCCAAGTCGGCGGAATTATGACTTTCTTTTTTTAATGTTTTCATGCGAACCCACTTGCCAATGTCCTTTACCACTCGCACTCTCGACGCGTGGCACGGAGTTTTCATGCAAGAATTTGGGAAATGTTTTATTGAGAGCAAGAATTCGGGTGTCTTTTCTATACATTTTTAAACTCTATCTTCTTTAATACAGTGTTCACAAATCTAAAAAGCTCTAGGTATGTATTTGTTAGGAAATTACTCTGTTGAGGGGAAATTATGATCCAATTCGTTTGAGGATGAGAAGAATTGTGATTCATTTTCGTTTAAAATTTTGCACGGCATAAAAGGATCGCCGAAATCTTTATTTTTTTTTAAGACTATGTTTCTTACAGTACGTCAGTATATGAATAATGAACACTTCTACTCAAATTTTGAGTGCTTAACCATAGGATTTGAGTTTTTGAGCAACTTAAAAAATATGATACAAAGAGGCAAAAATGTCAGTGATAAGCATTTTATTCATCAATTAATTTCTGTCGTTTGAGAAGCAAAAGAAAAAGGAAACAATTTTGAAGCAAATATACAATATAATAATAATTAAAAAAAAATGGAAGGGAAGACCGGAAATGAGTAGTGGGTAGACCGCGGAAAGATTGACTGGGGGGCTCCCTGGCGGCAAGTGCCCCCACGCACCGGCTCGTGTCAAATATGTCATTCTCCTTCCTCTTGCAGAGAATCTGAGGGTTAGTAAAAGTATTGTATTGCTACTAAAGCCAACAATGGCAGTTTCTTGTGCAGTGCCAAACGTTAGTAGACTCCATCCTAAATAGTCTACGCGGGTCCGGTCCCGAAAATACAAATTTTTTTTTAATTATTTGAAATTAACGAATAAATAAAGAAAAAAGCACAAACAAAGAAGAAGGAAGAAGCATAAAAGAGAGAGGAAGGAGGCAACTCGTGATGAAGAGGTCAAATCAAATGAAAGGAAAAAAAAAAAAGCATCTTTTATTAGGACAGAGAGAGAGAGAGAGTTGTAAAAGCAGTAGGGGAGGAAGATAGATAGATAAGAGGCTGGGTCTGGACTCTGGTCGTACATGGTAATGATGCGTTTTGTTGTGTTTTAGTAGTAACCAAAAGCGAGCGTCAAGGAAATATTGGAGTTCATTATTACACCCAAAAGTTGGAATTTACACATGGCGCACTCACTCCTCTCCCATTTTTTAACTTTTACTATTTTACTGCCTTTGCTAATTTTTTTTGACCTCTACATACCAATTTGATCATTACATTTGGCAAATGACAACAGTCACCGCGAGCAAAAATAATTTTTATTTCAAGATGAATGAAACAATATTTGTAACTCAAAGAGTAACGGCTATTAATCCTAGAGATATAACCCCAAATGGAAGAATGAATGGAGGTTGATGGGTCTTTGTGGGATTGATATGGAAACATGATGGAGTTGATCATCTTGGTGCTCTGTATTTTTTCCCCTTAAAAGCGGGATGTAACATCACTCACCTTTACAATTGTATCAACGACATTGGTGACATTTTATGAGCCCTTTTACAGACTTCATCTTAATTAAATCTCCATGTCAAAAAACTCTTTGCAAATAAATTTATGCCACTTTTTTTTTCTTTTTTTTTACAACTAACTCATGAGAGAGGAGTGAGTCGACAGAGAGTGCTTTTCATTCTTGGCGTCTATGGGGAAAAAAAATTGATGAAATGTCCATTTGGCCCACAAAAGGGAAGAAGTAGTGATCAAACATCAAATCATGAAACATATGAAAAAAGGAATTTGGGAAATGCGCGATCCCAAGTCTCTCCAAACTCCTACAACTGTTTCAATGGAGGGCTGCTTGTAAATTTCGATATTGATTTCTTTCTTTTTTTTTTTATTTCTTCTATTTACTTAGGTAGAAGATTTGTCCACGTTTTCAATAACTATACATATGAAGGGGAAAAATAAGGAACCAAATTGGCTTTCAATTCGCACTTTGTTGAGCTTTGTAGGTTCCTCAATCCACTGATTTTTATTTTTGCTTTGATGATCGTACTTTGTTCTTCAGTTTTAATTCGTTTCTGGTTTTGTGTAACTTTGAAATGGTCTATTTTCTTCCTTCTTATCATCAGACGGTCCTTTTTTTTTAGTTTTAATGCGCATCCTTCAACTCAACCCCCAAATTTCAATCCGGAACTTTTGCCACTTTTCCCCCCTCTATTTTCTTCCTTCCACTCATAACTTCCATCATATATGTTCCTCCACTATCGTGATAAGAATTTGCGTTAATTTGCTGTCCTTTTATTTTCACTTATTCTTCTCTTCGGTTTTTCTTTTTTTTTTTTTTCCCTCCATGTAACGTCGGAAACCCTATTTGTGGTGAATAAGCTCAAGTTATACATTGAATATATCACTTCTAAAACTTGGCCAACATAAACGCCCAAAATCATAACCCAATCAATTGGAATTAGTTTCACAATACACATTTTTACCTCATCTCGAACGTGATGGAATTAGTTTCATTTTAAGAAGAAGATAAAATATTAGAATTCTTAAATACACAGTGTTTTATATATATATATATATATATCTTTCTCTATTTCTTCTTACACAAAACTCCTTTAAATTAAACTAAAACATAACTAACTTGATTACTAATTTGGAACGAAAAGGATAAGTAATATCCACTATGTCCCAAAATTATTGTTTAACTTAAGATTTCACTTTTAGTACAATTTGAACTAAATTTGAAACCCAGACTGAATAATAATAATTATGGGTCGGACCGTGAGAGTATTTCTTCGGAAAGTTAGC